ATTTATAACCTGCTTAACCATGTTACATAGATCATGGAATTTAATTTGCGATCGGAGGATAAATCGATAGCGAGCAAGGAATTATAAGAATTCTTTCATCAGTCAGTATTTTTCTTATTATGTTTATGTAGTTTAAAAGGAAAGTTTTGATTTTTAGTATAATTGAATTGTGGCCAGCATTAGAATGCAGGAAGCAAGTTTTTTTTTCTAGTTGAGACTCATTGAGTACTAAGTTCGAGTCTTTCAATATAAACTTCAACACTGTGATGCATTCCCATCCATATGATCAGTTCCAAATAAAATAAAGGTCTAGAATTTCATTACTAATCACAGGTTAAGTATATTAAAAATTTGTATCCAGAAGGACAATATCAAAGCAATCCATTCAGGATGCATATATGCCGACAAAGACTAATCAAATACAGTCCTTATTTTATCTAGAAACATTAAAGTTAGCTGTAGATGACAATCGTTTGAAGATCAAACACATCTTCAAATGAAACCGAATCAATTATAACCATACACTTACCCGGTTGATTAATTTCTCGAGACAACTTCCTAAATTTCTAGTGCCAATTGACAGATTTAAACTATATCAACAATCATAATGGTATCATTCAACATATCAAGAAAGATGGTCACAATATTGTACAGGAAGTGTATTGAATGCAAGATCAAAATCTTATGGCTTCAATTCTTGGCAAAGTTACATATATAGAAATTACAACATTCTCACTTATACCTCAGTTTATATACATTTTAAGCCTGTTATTCAGTCAATTTAATGATGATTGTCATATTAGTTAATAAATCGCTCTATGACTTATTCGATTTTATATATGTGGTTCTTGACATCTTATTCATTTGCATTACTACTTTTAATCGTAATCAAACTGCTGTGCTTTTGATGGTCTTTTGATTTATGCCGTACCATTATAAACTGGAATCATAACTTTGTAATGTCTTCTCAAATTTATACACTTGTAGCAGGCCCATTCAACTATTGTATCATTTGTCTACTCACTGTAATTCAGACACTTAATTCACTGTTAATTTCTGTGTGTGTATGATTGAGCGCGTGTTTGCACATCAATCCTTAATCTATTCTCCTATTGGTTGTAACATACACATAATCAATAATTTATCCACACTTGATTATGACTCATAATTATATATGGATTTTTAACACACACACACACACACTGCCGTGGTTTCATAGTGTGCTTGCTCGCTGTACGCTTGTGGATTTTATTTATCTTTAACAATAAAATATCTCTACAACTGGTGTTCAGGCTCCTGAATAATCTCGAGTAAATCCATAATCCTACTAGGAGATTTAGCCTGCCTTGAATACTCAGTTAATGGGATATCATTTATTGGAGTTAGATATAGAGGAAACTAGCCATCAACACATTGTTGAGAGTTATCTAATAACAATTATTAGAACGAGTGATATACAAAGTATAAGAATAAAATTGAAAATATTCCATTACAAACTTAACCAGTTTATTTACTATTCCAATATTAAAGTGTTGTTAATAAATATAAACCCGTTTCCATATTATCCCATCAGTTTTATTTCTACTCTAAAATTATATATTTATACATATAGAACTAATGTTTATGATATTCTGTTATAAAATGAACAACTGAGAAACAAGTATAATAATCAATGGAGGGGTATATATATATGAAAAATAAACTATTCAAAACGACAATAACAGTATTATCAAAATACTAAGGATACTCTACATGAATGTACACATGCAAATAATAGTAATCATAGTAATAATAATAATAATAATAACGTAATTCGGGTGGAGTTTTTATGCATATTTATCTGCTAACTTGTTGTATATTCATAAAAATATACAAAAAAAAATGATGGACACACCATGAATACTTATAAAGCTATTTACAGTTTAAACAATTGTTGGCGCCTAAAATTTTTTTCTTTTTTTAGAAAATATTCTCTCTATACGAATTGTTCTCTTCTTTTTTTCTTTCTTGAACACATGTCATTCATCTATTCTATCCAGTATCTTACTAATAATGGAAAAGTGAAGTGTTCTAGTGTAGTTTTCAATCAATAAAATTGTTATGTTCTTTTTCCTTTCAAATAATTCGGTCAGGACAATTTTTTTAGGATGCTATTAGAATAAACCAATTTGAAATTACTAAATATTTATGATAAGTGTTAAATTTATCGAAGTGTCTAAATCCTATGATTGAGATATACGTGAAACTGAAGTTTGAAAGACGGTTCTCCATTGAGGAATTAAACATAAATTACTTACAAAACTCAACTTATGAAGTATCTGTGGCAAAAAGCCTATCTGTTAGTTTGTAAGAAAAAGGACGTTCTGCACTAATAACATAAAGAATAATTACGACATATGATAGTGCAAACGACAGCTGATAGTCGTATCCAAATTTGATAACAGTTTATCACACTTGTTCGATAGCGGTCATATAGTGGACAGAAACAACTCGTTCAAAGTTATTTATCGTATTCCCACTAGTTTTCCTTATGGTGTTCGATCTCGTCTCTTACATATAGCAGAAGCTATAGAAATTCGAGCCAACAAGCCAAGTCTTTTTGTTCAGAAGAAACTTGTAACACCCTTATCTCTCCCCTGGCCTTAAGTAATAAATGAATTTATTTATTCTTTTTCAAACTTTCTCTTCGTTTATTATTTTTCTTCACCCCCTCCTACTACTTTATTTTCTCTCAGCTATACGTTTCATGGTCCAATTATCTGAACATTTCTTATTACGTCATCTCATAGTTTTATAAATGTTATCTCAGTTTCTATATTTTTCTAATCATTGATCTATTTCCGATTATGAAACACTGATTTGAGCCTTCATTATTCTTATCAAAACGAATGCACCTGTTGTCACACCATCAATTTATACTTTTCACTTATTTGCAATCGTTTTCATTGTTATCATTGACTTAGAAACTACCTTGATTGGCTTAATAATTTCGTATATGCATATAAATATTACTGTATATTAGAGTAAAGCCTAATAAGGATCTAATTGAAAACAATATTGTTCACTTATATATGTTTGGCTACCTCCAACCACCATCTAAATCTCAATACATAGTCCCCGCAGTGTCGAGTCACCTAGACTGGTGGCCACATTGCAACATGATCGATAGCATTCGATCTGCACTAATAAGGACTAGACAAGCATGACATTGATCACCACCCAGTGATCAATCAATTGTGACTTATATATGTTGTTCTAAATTTACAATATGGGAATATTTCAAATTTTAAAAGTTTATCAATAAGCAAAAACGGAACCAGGAGCAAACAATTATGTAAACCGTTGCGTTTAAACAATGATTAAACAACTATACAAAAACTAAGAATGACTGCTATCGAGACTGAGAGAAAGGAATTATAATAATAAATACAATAAATGTTATAAGTATATGTAATTATTTAAGAAGATTACACGACAAACTTGAGTTACAACATAAGCGTAGTAATTGCTAAGAACACAATTGTTTACTGAATATTAATAAGTAGTATAAAACAATATATAAAAAGGATTGACGAGAAGAGAACAAGGACAAAGAAAAAACTTGACACGAAATGCTAACGAATTAACTTCGTAACAGATAGTTGTACGTCTCAATGCTACAAATATTTAACCATGTCAGCATTACTACCTATATTACTATTAAAGTAGTATGAAATTTAAAAAATAAAAAGTTCAGTCATATTCTTTAAACCATCTGCCACCACACGTACTTTATCCTATTTAGAACCAGTCTACATCTTTACATCAATGTTCACATTAAAACCCAATGCGTGTTGAATAAATATGGGTGTTAAAAGTACACTGCTTATAGGTAACAAATTATTGAGATACTGAATTATTATTACTTATTATTATCGTCAGGTTTATTCAATATTATATTTTTGGTACAATATAGAATTCTCAGCGCATAGTATTTCAACAAGTTTCTGTTTCTTTCTTCTTGGTCGGTCCTGGCGATGAATATTGAGTGATCGCCAGTTGGATGTTAGCAGTTCAATAAATGAACATCTGAAAAATATGCATTCTTTTCGCTGTATATTGCCAGCAACCACATTGTCTCTTATTGAGTTTTTTGTTACATTGACAACGAAAGGTTGTACACTTTTCAGAAAAGCAGCAGATAAGGGTATGCGATTAATAAACATAATGATATATTAAAACAAATAAAAATAGATAACTTGTTGAAATATCTAGATGACAGGAACAGGTAGCCCAGATGCTAAAGTAGGCCCGCAAAAATTAAAAAAAGACAATAAAGACGTTGAAAAATACAACAGATTAATATCTATTGGAATTCATGCATCTCATATATGATAGATGGAAGGAACAGTTGTAAGGTGATGTGATATCTTTCTATTTATTTCTTATTATATTAAATTGTTTTCTCTATTTGGCTTGCATTTATTATTTTAGCCTCGCTTACTATCTCAACTGAAGACGTATACTCGATCAGGTCAAACAGCATCGTCAATTTGAATCATTGTAATATTTTGTAGTTATGAAAATATCAGAGCGATTCTGTATTTATTATATTTATTTAAAATTGAATATATCATCACAATAGTAGTATTATTGGTAAAGGTATTACCAACAAATATTACGTAATACATATGGGAATGTCCATTAGTGAAACTGTACAAATAATATATATATATATATATATATATATATATATATATATATATATATAATGAGGTAAACAATTCACAAGGAACATTTTTGCCAGACAATCAAATAGAAAATTAAAACTAAAATGAAGAAGATAAAAATGAATTTACTTGGTGATAAAAGAAAGATTGTGCACATTTTAGATACATAGAATTTTGGTAAAGTCTAACCATCAACTTAATTGTTAACACCAAGCAACCATGGAAAAATACAAGCTATCCATCATAAAAACAAACCAAATGAAGTTACAATTTCAATAAGAGAAAATATAATTAGAATGCTTTCGATTTGAAACGTTTTCGTTTGCCCGTCTTGTTAGGTTGCTGAAAAAGTAGAAGAAACATTGGGGTGGTTTATTTTCTACTAATATTTTACACTACTGACATCTTGATCAATAGTAAAAAAAGATAAATAATAAAGAAAAGTAGTTTGTATCATGATGAGGAAATGCGGAGAACTGTTCACATATGTATCCGGATAATAAACTACTAATTTTGTTGTTCTCTGATTGGTATTGTTTGCGAGATGTTTAGTAACAAGAATCTCCAACAACTCCTTTCCTGCAACTCAATTTGTCAGCGGCAAGGTCTAAAAAATACCTAACCAATTGATCAAAGAATTTTTACTAGAAAGTTGTAAGTGACCGGCTTCGAGCAACCTTCTTTTAGGCTCTGAGGTCATGTTTTCAGACCGCAAAAACGAGTACTAATCCAATTCCAAATTTAGATACCGAAAGAAATATTCTTCCTCCATATTCTCAACTTGAAAGTGAATATATGAGCACATCTTGGTTAACAAGATCACTATTTGTTGATAGTGATCATGGGCTAATTAGTGATAAGTTTTCATATGAATTGCGAAGAATTCTAATAAAAAGCTATGTTGTATAGAGTGGTAAGCAAGGTACTGACTTACTGCAGACTGGTAGATTGGGTTAAGGATCAGAGTTACATTTTAAAATAAATAAAGTTGAACATTCGAACTATAAGATTTGTTGTTAATGACTGAACTAAATGTTCAACGATAGAAATATATGTATGTTGGGTCGCCTTCCGGAGAACTTCAACGGAGCCTCCAGAGGCCCACGAGGAGCCGAAGAGTCCTGGCCAATAAGAGTGTGATGGAACGTTCTAGAATTCCAACGTGGCGTGCTACTATTGGTCGGTAGCATAATGTGTTGTTATCGGATTGGCTGTAAAATGATGTTGATTTAACAGACGCCAAAATCTATAAATACCCATGATTTTCTGTACAAAAATGAACCTTGGGATAAAGTGCTTTCTCTCATTCTTGTGTCTTCTCTCTGGAGTTCAAGTCGCTGTGTAGTTCTAGACTGCGGGTTATTGGAATAGCTTAGGAATCGTATATAGCGTTCAACCTTACACGACTTATCAGTGGCGACGGGGATGAAAACTTCAATGAATATTTCCTTGGAGCAATTAGAAGCTTATATGGTGCGTCAAGAAAAAAGGTTTGAAGAGTCCCATATTAGAATCATGGAAACCCTGATGCAGAAATTCTGCCTGTCCGAGAAAAACCCTGCTTCTAGTGAATCTCAAGTATCACATACTGATTCAGTCATTAACGCCATCCATGAATTTAATTTTGATGGTGTAGCAGGTGTAACTTTCGAGTCGTGGTTTAAGAAGTATGAAGATTTGTTTTATATTGATCTTTGCAAACTGGATGATGCTTCAAAAGTCAGAATACTTCTTAGAAAACTTGGGACTATGGAACATGAACGCTATAGCAACTTCATTCTTCCGAAGAACCCACGAGATTTTAGTTTTGATGATACAGTCAAAACCTTATCCCAAATCTTCGGAGAACAATCATTTCTATTTAATATTCGTTACCAGTGCTTAAAGTTAACGAAAGAACCAGGAGATGACTGGGTGAAGCATGCAGGAACTGTGAACCGAGAATGTGAGAGATTTAGATTGTCGTCCATGTCTGAAGATCAGTTTAAATGCTTAGTATTTATCTGCAGCCTGCGTTCACCCGAAGATGCCGATATCCGAACCAGAATCCTAAGCAAACTCGAACACTGCCCTAACATGACCCTGTTCAACCACTGGTAGAGCAGCATATGGTACGGGTCTCCTTGGTCGAAAAACGGGAGTAGCTGCAGGCTTTAGAGTTAACGGTGCTTTAGCTTTCGTACATTCTCCCAATCCTTCTCTAAACACGTTTTGATGTCTTTGTAGCATGGCGTTTTTCTGATTCCATTCTGGGGTGTTGTCTGTACTTACTCGTCTGCAGATACTGTTGATAGAATGATCTGCTAGTTTAAGTGTTTCTATAAGGTCCAACCCCATTAAGTCTAGTGCTGGCTTCTTAGTAAGATACAATATTGCATTTGTTGTTACCGTACCTTTAGAAACAATGCATGGCACTTCTCCAACAATATTCAACTTCCCTCCAGATGCACTGTGTGCCAGCTGTGTTGTTGGGAAAACTGTGGGTCTCCCAATGTTCTTCCACGTTTCTGGGCTGATTAAAGTAATATCAGAAGCTGTGTCCAGCTGAAGGCGGGTACGGTGTTTATTAATATTCAAGGTCACATACTTTCTTTGGTGGCAACTTCGTGCTCTGTTATGTGATACCAATATCTTGTTGGTTGGAGCACTATATCTGTATTTCGTTGAGTAAGATTTCACGGAACGTTTTCTATAGTCTCTTCTCCTGCAGAAGTTTTCTTTATGCCCCTTCCGATGACATTTGCTGCAACGATGTTCTTTATATGGGCAAAACCTCTTATAGTGCCAACCTCCACATGCCCAGCATGGAGATGATGGTTTGTCGCTGTTATTTTGGAAATTATGGGTACTGGAACCTTGAAAGACTTTTCTCTTGACTGCATTGACGTTACGGAAACAGTTACCGTTTTCTACCATTGAGGTATCATGCTTTAAGTTTACTAACCTTTGGCACTCAGTAGTCACTTCTTGCAGGGTCATGTTAGGGCAGTGTTCGAGTTTGCTTAGGATTCTGGTTCGGATATCGGCATCTTCGGGTGAACGCAGGCTGCAGATAAATACTAAGCATTTAAACTGATCTTCAGACATGGACGACAATTTAAATCTCTCACATTCTCGGTTCACAGTTCCTGCATGCTTCACCCAGTCATCTCCTGGTTCTTTCGTTAACTTTAAGCACTGGTAACGGATATTAAATAGAGATGATTGTTCTCCAAAGATTTGGGATAGGGTTTTGACTGTATCATCAAAACTAAAATCTCGTGGGTTCTTCGGAAGAATGAAGTTGCTATAGCGTTCATGTTCCATAGTCCCAAGTTTTCTAAGAAGTATTCTGACTTTTGAAGCATCATCCAGTTTGCAAAGATCAATATAAAACAAATCTTCATACTTCTTAAACCACGACTCGAAAGTTACACCTGCTACACCATCAAAATTAAATTCATGGATGGCGTTAATGACTGAATCAGTATGTGATACTTGAGATTCACTAGAAGCAGGGTTTTTCTCGGACAGGCAGAATTTCTGCATCAGGGTTTCCATGATTCTAATATGGGACTCTTCAAACCTCTTTTCTTGACGCACCATATAAGCTTCTAATTGCTCCAAGGAAATATTCATTGAAGTTTTCATCCCCGTCGCCACTGATAAGTCGTGTAAGGTTGAACGCTATATACGATTCCTAAGCTATTCCGATAACCCGCAGTCTAGAACTACACAGCGACTTGAACTCCAGAGAGAAGACACAAGAATGAGAGAAAGCACTTTATTCCAAGGTTCATCTTTGTACAGAAAATCATGGGTATTTATAGATTTTGGCGTCTGTTAAATCAACATCATTTTACAGCCAATCCGATAACAACACATTATGCTACCGACCAATAGTAGCACGCCACGTTGGAATTCTAGAACGTTCCATCACACTCTGATTGGCCAGGACTCTTCGGCTCCTCGTGGGCCTCTGGAGGCTCCGTTGAAGTTCTCCGGAAGCCGACCCAACAATTACATTAAGCAGCCCAGAAATGTGGAAGAACATTGGGAGACCCACAGTTTTCCCAACAACACAGCTGGCACACAGTGCATCTGGGGGAAGCTAAATAATGTTGGAGAAGTGCCATGCACTGTTTCTAAAGGTACGGTAACAACAAATGCAACATTGTATCTTACTAAGAAGCCAGCACTAGACTTAATGGGGTTGGACCTTATAGAAACACTTAAACTAGCAGATCATTCTATCAACAGTATCTGCAGACGAGTAAGTACAGACAACACCCCAGAATGGAATCAGAAAAACGCCATGCTACAAAGACACCAAAACGTGTTTAGAGAAGGATTGGGAGAATGTACGAAAGCCAAAGCACTGTTAACTCTAAAGCCTGCAGCTACTCCCGTTTTTCGATCAAGGAGACCCGTACCATATGCTGCTCTACCAGTGGTTGAACAAGAACTAGAACGACTTCAGAAACTAGGTGTCATTGAACCAGTGAATTTCTCAGAATGGGCCGCACCGATAGTAGTAGTAAAGAAGACTAATGGTAGCGTTCGTTTATGTGCCGATTACTCAACCGGGTTGAATGAAGCCTTAGAAACTCATCAGTATCCATTACCCTTACCTGAAGATCTTTTTGCTAAACTGAACGGAGGTAAGCTTTTTGCAAAGTTGGATTTATCAGAAGCTTATTTACAAATCCCTGTTGCTGACGAGTCTAAAAACCTGCTTACCATAAACACACACAAGGGTCTATTCCGGTATAATCGATTACCCTTTGGAGTCAAGACGGCCCCATCCATATTTCAGCAAATAATGGATACTATGCTACAAGATGTTTCAGGTGCTGCAGCTTACCTAGATGATATAATAATTATGGGAGTAGATAGAGTAGACTTAGAAAAGAAGCTTGACCAGGTGCTGACGCGAATAGCCGAATATGGACTTCGACTTCGTCCAGAGAAATGTGACTTCTGTATGCAAAAAGTACGTTACCTTGGGTTTATAATCGACAAAGATGGAAGAAGACCAGATCCGGAGAATACCCAGGCAGTGAAAACTATGCCCAGACCGACGGATGTCCCACACTACGATCCTTCTTGGGACTAGTTAGCCATTATGGAGCTTTTATCCCAAACCTTCATCAATTACGTGCCCCCTGAATAACCTTCTGGTGAAGAATGTAAAATGGAGTTGGTCTGCAACTTGCCAAACCGCTTTCGATGAAATCAAGAAAGTACTAGTCTCGGATCTGCTGCTCACCCATTACGATCCATCCTTACCCATTGTAGTGGCATCAGACGCATCAAACTACGGCATTGGAGCAGTTATTTCTCACATCATGCCAGATGGATCCGAGAAAGCGATATCACATGCGGCTAGATCGTTAACGTCAGCAGAACGTAACTATAGTCAGATCGAGAAGGAAGCATTGTCGATTATCTTCGCTGTCAAGAAATTTCACAAGATGATATTTGGACGTCAGTTCACCCTATTAACTGACCATAAACCATTACTAGCCATCTTTGGGTCGAAGAAAGGTATACCTGTTTACACCGCAAACAGATTGCAACGTTGGGGAACTACACTCTTGGGTTATGACTTCAAGATCAAGTATCAGCCCACTACTGATTTTGGACAAGCTGACGCTTTATCCAGACTGATTGGTTCACAAGTAAAGCAGAAAGAAGAAACTTTGGTGGCAGCAATCGAGACGGAAACAGAAGTACATCGAGTTTTGGAAGACGCAGTTGATGGTTTACCGGTTACTTTCAAGGCCATCAAAGATGCCACGGAAAATGACAAGACTTTAAGAGAGGTTAGTGGTTATCTTTTCACCAAGTGGCCGAACCGTCGTTTTCAAGGAGAAATGCTACAATATTTTCGCCGACGGGACTCACTTATGATGGTCGACTCATGTATTATGTTTGGCGACAGAATTATTGTTCCAAAAGTATTACGCTACAAGGTTCTGAAACAATTCCACAGCGGTCATCCTGGTATCAATAAGATGAAAGCATTGGCTCGAAGCTACGCATACTGGCCTAAAATGGACCAAGATATCGAAAACAGATGCCGCAATTGTTCATCGTGCCTACAAGCAGCCAAAAGTCCAAGCAAGTGTGAACCGCAACAATGGGAAAAGCTGAATAGTCCCTGGGAGAGGTTACATGCAGACTTTGCCGGTCCAATCCAGGGGAAAATGTTTCTAATTATCGTAGATGCATTCACTAAATGGCCGGAAGTATACATCATGCCAAATTGTACAACGTCAGAAACGATCCGCAAGTTGTCTACCTTATTTAGCAGTTTCGGAGTACCAGAGACATTAGTGACGGATAACGGCTCTCAGTTTGCCGCAGAATCGTTTAAACATTTCTGTAGAACAAACGGAATAAATCATCTTCGTTCTCCACCCTATCATCCACAATCAAACGGACAAGCAGAGCGCTTTGTGGACACTTTTAAACGAGCATTACTGAAAGGGGGAGGAGAAGGGACGACTGAGCAGGTGATCACAAAATTTTTAACATCATACAGATCCACCCCAAACCCAAATGTTCAAGACGGCAAATCTCCCGCGGAAGCCATGTTTGGAAGGCGTATTCGAACAGTCTTCGATGCCATGTTGCCATCCAAACTAGTGGATGAGCGTAGTCGCGATCCAAGTATCCGGAACTTCAGTATTGGCGACAAAGTCTACATTAAATCCTACATCGGGAAGAACCGATGGGAGCCGGGCGAAGTGGTGCAAAAACTGGGAAGAGTACTGTACAAAGTTCGAGGAGCTTTTGGGACATGTATACGTCACACAAATCAAATTCTTAAGGACAAAAGAACGGTGCAGACTCGAAGTAACCGGCCGACTTTCCCGTTAGATTTAATCTTAGACGCACCAATGCCACAAACGCCCAGGAACACTGAAAAGAAGTCTTGGACAAGAAAGACGACAAGAATAATGGGACGCCGTCGCAATCCAGTTATCAAACTACAAGTGGACCCCAGAAAGAAATCTTATTCGGGGGAGGTGTTGGGTCGGCTTCCGGAGAACTTCAACGGAGCCTCCAGAGGCCCACGAGGAGCCGAAGAGTCCTGGCCAATAAGAGTGTGATGGAACGTTCTAGAATTCCAACGTGGCGTGCTACTATTGGTCGGTAGCATAATGTGTTGTTATCGGATTGGCTGTAAAATGATGTTGATTTAACAGACGCCAAAATCTATAAATACCCATGATTTTCTGTACAAAAATGAACCTTGGGATAAAGTGCTTTCTCTCATTCTTGTGTCTTCTCTCTGGAGTTCAAGTCGCTGTGTAGTTCTAGACTGCGGGTTATTGGAATAGCTTAGGAATCGTATATAGCGTTCAACCTACACGACTTATCAATGTAATATTATGATTTATGCATATACCGATATCAAATTAACAACTTCAACAATGTCTAGTAATAAATAAGCTCCATGAAACTGATAATGTGATTGAATTTTAAGTATACAGACCAATTATACATGGAATTCTCATTCTTGTTGGAATTCATCAACAAAGCGTATCCGCATACTCACACACAAACACATCCATCCATACACATGAGACATATAGGCGTAGAATTACAAGGACATAAACATAAGAGGTATGTGTATTGCAAGTAACGATTTCCTGAGAAAGGAATAAAATTATCAGGAAGGTAAAAATGATTGATTAGTTAATAAATTCTATCGAAAATCGAAAATAAACCACATCGGAATATAATAACATAGAAGCTACTATAGGGTACATATATTTATATACACACACACTACTCCTCATAATAATAATAACTTACTATTTGAGCATGACGACCTAATATCATTTCCAAATCACGTTGAGCTTTTTCTTCTTGTGCAGCAACAGTTGTTGGATCGACTAGGTCATCATCATCGACATCAGGTGAATGTATCATTGAATCAGCACGACCGCTAGTAACAGCGGGAGGAGTCAGTGAACTCAGCCGGTTAACAGATGATAACAGAATATTTGACGTTGTTAACTCGTGTGGTTTAGAATCAGTAGTACTACTAGCAGAAATATTACTATTATTATCAGTATTGCTGTTACTGGTACCAGAGATACGTAAAAGTGGTAAACGTCGTCGAGGTGTAAGTTTTTTCTTTATCACCTACATACATAGTTAAAAATAAACAAAAAGTGATATTATTAAGAGTTAGTAATCCCACTTTGTTATTTTTACTTAGAATTGAAGTTCAATAGTCTCTTTTGCCAGAATGTATTGAGAAACTGGATCGATTGTGGCGTAGGCGGGATGTTCATCTGCCAATGAATGGATAAGTTCATTGAGCGGTAGTTCTATTTTGAGTTTGAGATGTGGTCATTAAAAACAGAAAATATTTGTAAGCGAATAGTGTTTGATTTCTCAGGGGAAAAACTGAACTTCACCTGGAGTTAGTGAACCCTGTTTATGAGCTAATGAGAGCAGATGCGTAGAAACAGGGCTGCTTTGAAGGTATTCATTAAGAATGCTGTAAAGATCAAGTGGAAAGTGTTGGGATTAAAGATAGGGCACTAGATAAAAATGGTTAATCGGTTGATAAGGTAATAAATGTTCATCGAATGAAGTGTCTGGAACCGTAGATACAACCATTCATTGTCCACCTTTAGATACAAAGTTTCAAAACTATCATATGCTCTTTTTATTCTACAAAATCATACTTTCTTCTCGCATCACATTGTCAATACCTAACCTTTTCCACTATTAATGATACTATTGTAGTGAACGAGAACTTAGGTGGGAAAATTCAATGTGAAAAATTATACATTAAAAACTTTATTTGCAAATATTCCACCAATCGTCTCAAATTACATCGTTCCTTCATTGCAATTACAATTACACCCTATTTACATTCCACTTCTACTCAATCAGATCTTCTCAACCTTCTGCTGACAGTCATTCCATTTCTGATCGGTGTTATATACTACTTATGTCTGTCGACATATGTAGCATACACCACACCTATCACTACTTCTGTTGTTCCGGTATTTGTCTTGATAATTTAATTGCCATTTTAATATAGCGTGGTAACCCAAACAGACGCACAAAAGTTGCAGGTTCTAAGTCGCGTATGACTATCTCGATACAGAGCTATATTAAAAGTTTTGATATTTTTGATGAAAAAAGATATTATGTTAGAGTTTGTGTATGAGCAAAACACATCGCCAGATGACGTGTTGTAAGTAGGATGAAAGATAAGTCCCGGATTCTATTGCTAGCAATAACGGAAGCGTAATAAAAACATGTGATTAAATGAGAGAATAGAGGTAATTCACTTAGAATGGATGCATATATATCCATGGAGACTTAACTAATCAAATAATATTCGAAAATTAAATAAATGATTATGCATAAATGTAACATTACACTTAACTAACATATAGGTTTATAGATACGAATTTAAGCTTCATTACACGTGTATAAGAATGAAGAATGTTATAACTGGTTACTGACAAAAGAAGTAGGTTGAGAAAAGAATTATAATTTGTAGCTTTGTAGTTTATCAAAGACAAGGTATTCATCTATTGGTTCACTGGTAAGTACACTTATACATAGTAGCAATACGTCTTATATAGCTGATTAACAACATCTAGTTTCAATTATCCAGTTGTATTCACCATTTTAATTTTATTTCATATATTTCTTATTCTCTATTTCTATTCATTCCTTTAACAATAAACATTCTATATTGTCTTAATTATGATGTCAATTCTTCTACCTGAAGTTTGTGCTAGTGATGTCGTTCAGAATAACAATGAAAGCTCCATGACCAAACTATCCAATTCAGAGAATAAAACTCCACTAATATCTCTAATCTTTTTCGGAGTTATTGAATTCTCTAACCTAGAGATGATTGATTGATGAAGTATTGATTGTTGTTCGAAATAAAATCATTAATATTTACTTCATCTCAACATTATAGCACGCGTACTGATGAAGTTGTCTAGAATGATAATGAGAATTCCATAATTAAATCAATTTAAACAATGACAGAATTCAACACTTTCATTAAAAGCAATCAATTAATTTAGAAATCTATATTGGATTATTTCAATATTTAACTGTTTATTTTAAAGATGATTCACTATTTCAAAAGATACACATTCATACTAAACTATTCACATTGCTTCTAATTGACAACTTTTAAAAGAAGATTTTCTTTGGACAAAAATCCATTATTAAAGTGAAAATGAATTGAGATATAACTTACTTCACGAACAAGTTGTTTACGTATACGCGTTTTTACTTCCATCACAAAATCTAACCACGTCCAAACACAATTATGATATTCCAGTGTTGGAATAAACAATTCAAAACGTGTTACATCAGTGATATTTTTTTGTTTTTCACCCTTAAAAAGATTTAAAAAAAAAAACCCGAATAAAATGAAGATTTTCTAAAAAGAAAAGCTGTAACAAATGGAGTCCGGCTCTGTCAGATGCGAGAAAGGTAACCATTATAAAAAATGGAAGATGGTCGGACAAAATCGTACATTGACAGAAATTAGACTTGTACACCATTAGGTCCCGGCTCAGTGGTCTAAAGATTCAAGTGCCAGATTGAAGATCTTATGTTACGTTCCCGGTTTCAGAGTCATGGACATCTACTACTGAGTTGTCCCGTACTAGGACGGAACAGCTGTTCAGTGTTTTCAGACTTTCAGTGATTTCCTAACTCATATCGGTTCATGATTTTAATATAAAAAGTATACTTTGAAAACACTTTTTATCCTATTTTCTAGACAGTCTTAATCAGGAGCAGATTTTACACCACATGGAGGGGAGAGCATCAGTAGCGAAAATCCTTTGGTAAAACTAAAATCTTATGAGCAATAATATACTACAAGATAGATCCTTAAAAAACTTTATTCCACTGATGCGTGGCAATGAGAGTGAAATGTGACTGGTCACTAAATGTGAACGAACAGCCACGTGGCTTACTGACCGCCTCGTATTAATTTCTATGTCAAGCTAATTGAAAGTGACTAGTTGTAATTATGTGGAATAAAATATTGTCACAATCGAATAAGGTACAACAACAGAGGGTGGAGATAGGAAAAGGCTTAGAGGTAGGCGTATTAACAAGAGTGTAGCTTAAGTCCTATTTGGAGTTCGCGTGATTATTGGAACCAGGGGTTGGAGACTTTGTACGACATAGCTCCAAAAAGCTTGCAGTGGCTCAGGTGCATCTATTCTTTGTCTTCCTCCAAATCCTGAGCTTTTGAATTCCCCAATAATTTGTTTTTACTTCACTAGGTTATATTTTCTTCTGGAATCGTATCTTCAATGATTAATTTTTTCAATTATCCCTCATACTGTTACTACCTCCACTACTGTGGGATTTTCCCCGATAATTCTCTTTGTACTAATGGGGCGTGTAAATACGAACCAATGTATGCACGTACCGGGTTTTACTTTGCAGCTGACTGCTCATTAACCAATTACAGTTTTTCCCTAATTCCCTCCTCAGCTGAAAGCTGGTTCATTTTCTGCCACAGCAGGTTGTTGATGGTTTTCCAAGTTTAAGTTCTGTACAATGGGACTGTTTTGATATTAGTGTTAAAAATTCTGACTTTAATGTTGGCTGTCAGTTGTTTTTAAGGTCCAGATATTGTTCATTCATAAGAATGCTACCCTCGCTTTGTTAATACGTGTTTTCATATAAGTATCATATCATCCTTGTTTATCAATGATGATGCCAAAATAATTTAAAGGCTTCCATCTTTTTCAAACTTTCCTCATCAAACGCAATTTGACTATTTTTAAAGATAATGATTTGCATTTAGAACTAATGTTGGTCCAATAAATACACGAGGATGCATTAAAAAGTGATTAAGTCAATGACAAACAGTGCAATTTAGTTTTCAACACATCAAACTATTAGTCAGAAACTGTATAGTTTCATTTTATGTCTTTTCTAGTAATTAAAAACAGCTTCTAATCATAGAAAGTCATATTGCTGACTACACTTTCTCTTTTTTTATATATGTACACATAAATTTAATTGAATAACAACACGAAAGTATAATCAAACAAAACTAACCTTATAACTTAATCGTATTGGGAAACCAGGAATTTTAATGTATAGAAATACTTTGTTTTGACGAGCTCTTTCCTATTATTAGTCAACGTATACAAAGAAAGACAACACAGAAAAGAAAGTTTTTTTTAAAGAAGGCAACAAATAAACAGCATTATTTGTGTTTATAACTATTACAAACAATCTTGATTGAATAAACAGGTTATGATTAATTTAGAACTACCAATCAATCAATTTATCATAAATTATTCTGATCGGTGCATTAAGAACTCGATAGATCAAATAATTTCAGAATGATATTATCCACAGATCATCTTCAAGGTTATATTGTAGTGAGAGATGTAAATACGAGAATAGGATACTATGAGTAATCAATTTATTCCCGTAGTCAAAGATACTGTCCATCTATCTTTATTTAAATTATTATATGAAAGGATGGCTATTTAGTCATTTGAGTAAAACCATTAAAAAAATACATATAATCACTAATTAAATTGAGTTCGTAAATAATTGCTATGCTCGAAGGATTAAGAAATCACCTAGGACTGAAGATCGAAATAAAAGCCAGTAACACAATAAAAGAACAAGCTAAGCCATTAAAATGAGTCCCAGACCTGTTAACTAGAAGACCAAATTCAGCCGAGGGTAATGTATATTACACAAGTAGTCAGAAGCAATGACAAACAAGCACACAACCCATGAGTATATAAATAATACAAAAATGTCCTTGAAAGAACGTTACAAAATCGCTTACTAAAATAAAAAACGAACCAATGATATTTAAGGTCTTTCCAGGTGGGAAACACAAGATGAAGGTAAAAGTGTAAGCTTTGGCGCCAAAATGAGAAATTCAAATTTCCATAATAAAATAACAAAACTAAAAAAATTAGCAAGTGATATCTGGGGATCTAGCATCTCCAACAATAATAAATACGAATGTAGTGAAATCTCAGTTCATGATGAAAATTGTTTTAAATAGACTGAGGAACACATCAATCTCAATGAACTATTTCAGGTTAAACTTAATAAAATGTATACTTGTTGTTAATAGTTTCTAATGGAGACACTAACAAGCTCCAAGCTAGTACAATGTTTAAATTAAACAGAAGAGACTGTTGTCAAAATAATTACCTTGATTCATCACTATGTTTACTGAATTGTCGGGTCATTATTTCTTTTTTTATTTTCTCTCCCCGAATTCTTTCATACACTGCTTTTCATACTCCCATCTCACACCATAATACACATTCAGACTAGACAAAATCTTGCCAAAGTCTGAACATCAAGCCATCGACAAAATAAAAATTAATAGATTTTTCTATTAAACGAAGAAAAAAACTAACCTGCATCACATCGACTGGATTCAATGGTATATTTGTGTTGTTAATATTATGCTTTGAATGATGCATAGCGATTTGATTAACTGATGTTATTTGATCCGTTGGTAGAGATCCATAATTCATTGGATTATACCATGACATATTCAAAGAATGAAGATGATTACTAGAGGTTGAATGAATCGATTTACAATATGTGCATGTATTGTTTACAGGTAATAATTGTTGTAAACATATCGATGGTTGTTGCATTAACATGATAAAATTATCAGTAGTAGTATCGTTATAATTTGAATAATGTGTCAATGGTATTGAAAAACATTCATTAGATTTATGATTATGTGATAATGATGATTTAACGTCAGATTCATTCGTGTGGAAAAGATTGGGAAATTCCAATTCGCTACAATTCGGAAACAAAATATGGGAAAAAAGGAGTAGGAATTATGTGTGATACAATATGTCTATATGTTATGTATGCATGTATGTAAGTAGTATGTAGGTGTGTTGTATCCATGTATTGGTCAAGCCAGTGGGAGCAATGATTTAGTAAGATCACTACTTTTTGAACAAGTAAGTCATCGCTTAAAACTTAGCTAAGTCTACTCAGATTTGAGCATCCAGGTAGCGTATTATTAGTTCTCGTAAAAGCAATATAGTTTATAAGACGAGTAAATAGACCTGTACTTATCAGTATCGGGTTGTGAAGATTATCGAATGATTGCTGTCGAAATATACATCCTGGCTACCCTAATATATAATTAACGATTAAATTCGCGTTGGTGAATAACGGAATTAAAATAAGTCAAATACGAAAATGAAGTTTTGACTATGTATATTTGGTAAATCGACGATCCTAATAGACAATCAGAGAGACGAAGCGAAGAGGATAGAGCGAAACGAAACGGATTGGAGAAGACATGTTAGCCAACACCTTTCGATCAAGCGTGAATCGATGTTTATAGTCAGACAAAAATAAGTTACAGACATGTGATGAGTAGGATAAGAAATGCACACATATGTGAATGAGTGACAGCACAAAAATGTGGCTTGATATAGTACCAGCCCTTACACAGGTTTCTAATGGCGGTCTAAAACACTGATCGACCCATGATTTCAACGAAGTTTCAACAATCGACTAATATCGAGAGATAATTCTCACAGTTAAACCATGTCGAATATCAGTCAGTTACTCATTCGCTAAGAACATTGAGAAATGGTTGGGCGATATCACAAATTAAAGTCCAACATGTGAATCAGTGGATAGCAGTCTCATTGGTCTAAAAGACAAGTGTTTACTGTAAGATTTGAAAGGCCTAGAGCTCGATTCGTGACGATTTTGTGCACATGTTACGGTGAGAAGTCCAATACCACGGCGAGACAGCTGTCCGACACTTCCTGGTTTTTAATGGTAATCCACGAAGTACACTACTTATATATATATATATATATATATATATATATATATATATATATATATATTCAATAACCCGTCGAACCTACTTTTGGCTCCTTAAATAATCAGTTATGGGTAACTTCGTGCGCATATTCATCATTTGTAATAATTTAGACGTTGTAGCAAAAGAAGACGTAAGCGATAGTGACGATGCTACTGTTGTTTCTGTCCCTGATCCCGTTGCATTATTACTCAATGCATTCCAATCATCATTGACACTACAATAATTTCTTCCAGATATGGCAGCTTCGATCGTTAAATTATTTGATGGAATGTACACTGATGCTGGCGACAACAACGACGAAGTAAGTGTTACTGTTGTAGCCGCAGTTGAAACAACAATCGGCATAGATAAATCTGACGATATGTTTTCTAAAATATCTGATTGATGAGATTTATGGATAACATTTAATGGTTGTGGTAATGATGATGAAACTGATGGTACTGATTCGCTCTCATTCTTTAAACGATGAGGTAAATATCGGGATAGATAACGTCGTAGCCATGATTTACTTGGTAAACCGATATTTTCTGATGAGTAACCTGAAGTTAGTGATAGAAAAATGTACATCAATTATCTAAACAATAGTGCATCATTAGTAATAGTATAAGAAGATCCATAATGATTACAGAATTTCATGATTTAAACCAATGAACACCTGGAAGCATTAGACGGTTAGTTCGTCCTAGTATGGGACTTCTCAGCAAACTCCATTACAAGGGATCGAACCCGGTACCGCTCAATATCGCGTACACACACAACCTTTAAATCACTGAGCCGATATACAGTGATGTATGTGTCTAACTTCGATCAATTCACAATAATGCACAACCACCTTCTATTGTCGTGGATAGGGACCATTAAGGAGTTTTATATTAGGAAAAAACGGCAATTCAATGCACCCAAGTTTTTAATGAGAGTTTAGCTAAGATCGATTGGTGATTTCAAGCATGAACACGGTGAATGAATTGATAATGATTGTTTCAGACTTATCTCTGTATTCCACATAGTATATTCGTATAACCACTCGTAGGCTGTGAAACCACTGGTAACTATCACTCCATAAGATATACATTTCTGTAAACTAATTTACAGGGCTTCTAGGTTATATCCGTCAACGACTGGTTACACTTGGGACATCGTTGAAAACTAGGAAGCACTGGACAATTATTTGTCCTAGTGTGAGACTCTAAAGTACTATGAACCCACTAGAAATCGAAACATATATATCAGGAGTAAAACAATTGTCATTAATAAAATTGGATAATTGTCGTGTTATATCGTGAATTAATTGGTAAGGTTTTTTGTTATTGCTATCATATTCTACACTGTTCAAATATTGAATTAACAGAGGAATTTATTAGAGCCCTAAAATGTCTTTGTTAAAATGTTTTTTAAAAAATGTGTTATTGAAAAGAGAATAAAGGAGAATAACAAACTGTGTAGCCTACCTTTCAGGATATTATTGCTCTTAATTTTCAACGGGTATTTACTAATAGGTAGGTCACGTGTTTCCCTTATTTCCCTGATCATAAGCTTTTACTTGATCTACAAACTGTTGTCATATCTTCTCTTATGCCCAATGTGTTGTAACTTAAGTAGGGACTATGTATTCCAATTGTTATTCTAAAGGCCTTATTTTGGCGTACACTGTGTTTTCTAAGTTACTGTATCGTTTGTCGTCTAGCTGTCTATTCATTTAATCACGGAGACTATTCTTTTTCTTAATGTAATCTTCGGATAGAGAGATTTGTCCTATTATCTTCTTTTCCTACTGGTTCTTGAGAAAAGAAAATATTTGAGACAGCTCATCAGCATCAGTAAAGCTGAACTATTCAGTTCCGTTATTAATATAGTCTATCCAAAAGGTGAAGTGCATTACGGATATGAAAAAGTTATGAATCAAATTCCTTACATATCTAACACCAGAGCTAGTGGAAATTTAAAGGTCATCAGAAATTATACCAACGAGACAAAATTTGACTTACGTAGATTATTTGGATTTGTAGAGAGATTGGAATCCAGATAATGAAATGGAACACTACCGATACCACTACTACTCCCAACATTGTCTTGTGGAATAAAAAACGGATGACTAGTAAATGCAGATGAATTAATGCCGTCTAAAAACAACAATGAATTCGGTTAATGAGCTACTGTGATATTGGTCCAATCATTACTGAAAACTATATATTTGTGAGGAAAAATGAACATGTACAGATGCGTATCGATCAATAGACGATACACAGTCTATCCAATAAATACGTAAACTGAGCTACTAGAGTTGTATGCTTTCAAATGGTAAAGGGTAGGATGAGTCCGCTTTTCCAAAATGTTTTAATATGGCGATTTGTTTATAATCTTTGAAAGAGAAGTACTACTTACTGCATTAATGTGACGAGAGCGCTTTTATGGAAGTGTGAAGATGAAAACCAGATGTCTGGTGCTTGAATCGAGTTGATGGATATGAAAGGAACAGAAGCTGCAACACCTCAATTAGAAAACTATGACCTTGAAGCAACGAAAAACATACAGGTCATATATGCGCTACACTTCATCATTCCATTTATGTAAAGGTCGGAATACTACCCGGGTGCCCACACTGAAGCAGGTGGTTTTCTTAGGAGGCCACACCCGGAGTCTTAGACATAGAGGTTAAATCCACAAGGCACTGGAGTAACGTTAAAAGATGCAGTCCCATAGTAGCCGGTGAACAAAAATAAATTCAAACGCCATTTCTTCCCTCAGGATCCTGGAGCCCATGTACACCATTGGCTTGGAATCAGAGTTTTCCAACTCCCTTAGGTGGATCCTCCATATCTACCAACCCTATTAAAGCGCCGGATATTCTCTTACCATCCTCTCGTTTTCGTAAACAATACCCCAGCCAAGAGAAGGCAGTAGGTAGTACTTCCCTGACAGTGGCTGAATAAGCGTGGTCATGTAAGAGAACTTCGAGAGGTAGAGAGGAATTTCGCCATCCTCGGCCGCACCAGGGCATTCGGGGGTCAAGTAGATTGAACCACTCCCACATTTAGATATGTGACTTGAAGTCAAGTACTATAATCCGTACCTGATAAATGAGTTATTAAATAAGCCAAAAGAATATGGTTTACAGCTGAACAATATAAATAAATAGTCATGAACAGATTGAGGATCTGACAAGATGTGTACCGACTCGATTCGCTATACCCCACAATTCATCCGTAGGTAATTAAAAATAAGAAACGAAACACAAAACATTTTGGCGATAATAATAGCAAATATCGTACAACATAAATAAACGATATTAATGTAGTTTGAAAACAATGGATAACACCAGAGAATGTGAAATTTCGAGAACAAAATTAAAACTCGAGATACAGCGTACGATGCGAATTCAGTTGCAAAAATATGAACGACTTCCACATGAATCATTCAATAAACTTAACCATAGGCTGGAATTGTCAAATGGACTCTTCTACCAGGAATTCTACACATATCCACACACAGTTCACACTACTAGTCAGAAGTGACTTCGTGGATTAATGGTGTCTTTTAAATTTTCAGAAGACCATTATCTTTTCTCTCTAACCTACCCATTACCTCAATGGGTTAGAATATCATCTAGGATTACGTGCCTGTTTAATGCTGCATCAAACAATCCGTTATTCGAGATCGAATCCTGTTTCAACCCAACCCAAAAATTTCCGATGTGGATAAGGTTGTAACTAACCGGTTATATATATATATATATATATATATATATATATATATATATATATATATATTGCAAAACAGAAACGTTTAAACTAACCTCCTATTGGGTTTGCTACAGTTACAGTATGAACAGGGGTAGCGGTGACAGTATTATTAGTAGTAGTATCTTCAGTTTTTTCAGGAAAAAAGAAAGGCATCATAATCCTATAGAATTGCTTACTCATCTACAAAACACAAGAAGAGATGTGCAGAAATAGGTATAAAAGATAAGGGAAAGATTATAGTCATTGTGAAACTATATGGCAAAACAATGTTTCGATCAATACGAGGTTCATCTGTTGAGAGTATCGTCAATGATTTTATTTTACTGTTATTGTTATTATTGTCATGGATCAATTCGATGAAACATTTTTTCTTTAAATAAACCCTACGGTATCACTCAGTGGTGTAAATTCAAGCAAACAAAACCGACATGATTGAAACCCATTAGTCGCGGCTTCTCACTGGAACTCCGAGAATTAACTCTCTAAGCAAGTCACTAATGAGTAAATGATAACTACCAGTATATGGTTTTGGAGATTGTTGAATTTCATTGAAATGTAAGACCACCGTTGAGAACCTGAAAGGATTGGATGACAGTTTCGTCATAGCATGGGGTTCCTCAGCAGTGTGCATCCACAACTCTTCACTTCAGATTCAAGGGTGGAACCTTTTGTCTCGCACAAATGCCAAACCTCCAGACCACTGAGCTGGTATCAAACGGTACTAATGTCTAGTTCTAGTGAGCCCTGGTCAGTGGAGTTCAATCGCATCAGATGTGAAGCAGTTACCTAGCAAACACAATGGAAGATGGTCGCGCAGTATCGTGGATTGATTGAAATTAGACATTAATACCGTTCGTTGCCGACTCAGAGGCCTGGAGGTCAAGCGTTCGAGCGAGAGATCGAAGGATTTGAGTTAGGTTTTGACTATTTGCAGAATAAATGATCTGCAAGCTAATTTCCATCAATCGGCTACCATATTTAATTAATTACTTATTTCCCTATTACTACCGTTATGTACATATTGTAATTCCTTAGATGTGTTGTCGGATATTCTAAGTATATTACTGTATGGTGTTTGAGTCATCATTGAGTTGAGTACAATAATAGAAGACTGGCTTGCTGACTACTTATGGGACTGAAGGGAGGGAATAGAGGAACGAGTTCAACAAAGAACCAATCTTCTTCCCAACAGGGTATTCTGATTAACCAGTGGATTAGAGGGAGCTCGAGGACTAATAAACATTAACGTTTTCGTTGGTGTTCATCGCTTGGATTGTGTTAATTAATAGGTCACCTGCCCTATTGAGAATATAAATGAGCTAGTCTATAACGGCCTAGAACGAGAGAGAGAAATAAAGATCACACAATTATTTTCCTGTCATTACAGACAGAACCCACAGGACACAATACAACTCAAGCAAACAATTTCTTCTCTTTTCTTCTGACAACATGTCCAAGTAGACACATCATATTAAAACAACGAGATAAAATGATCGAAACAAATACAAAAGTTATAGAAAAGATTAAGTATAAACCATAAGACTAAGGGAGAAAGAATGAATTCATAGAATTTTAAAACACTCAAGGTCAAGAGGAAATTCATATGGGCTATTGTGACTAATTCTGAAGCCATGTATCCTACTCCATGTATAAAACCATTAATTACAACAATCGCTCAGGACCCAACCGAGTTGTCTGAACCTATCGATTTGATTTATTTTCCGCAGTTCATGAATTTATAAACAAATGTCATGCCCTGTTTTATTATTATTATCATCATTATTTAACATACGAAAATGAATACCTTGTGTCTAGAGAAAAAAAACTATATAAAACATAAATGTACGCAAGTTTTTTTTCAGCTTACCTGTAATAAAATTGGTGCAACACTGATTTCCATCGCTTCTTTCACAGATATTCCACCAACTGGAGCTAAATCAGAACAAGCAATACGTAGAATTGGACCACCAGCATAACGACCACCAGATACATCAGGAGCTAAAACTTCCTAGCAAAGAAATAAATAATGAAATATCAGTGTACATATAAAGTAAAGATAAGGTCACTTTCTTTAAAATAAATAGATCGCAAGAAAAAAATACCAGATAGATAAAGGCGGTGACCACTGGAGTTCGATCATATAGAGTGTAAGGCAACAGCCTACTAGTGTCATCAGAAGACGATCGTACAGTATCGATAATTTAAGCTAAAAGAACTAACCATTGGATGCTGAATCAGTGGTCTAAAGGTTAGACGCTTGAAAGTCCTGCGATTCAGCTTACCTTAAAGTAGTGCATGCACATTGCCGAGTAGTCACACATACTAGGACGAAACCTCGGATTACTGCTTTTTGGTCCCCAATGATTGTTTAGCTAATGTTGGTATGAGATATAAACTATAAAATTCAACAAACTGCTTACAGCAATGATAATAATATAATCACTAGTGACTAATATAGAGAGGCGATCCCCAGTGTTCTAGTGAAATGAACATGAGTAGTGGAGTTCGGTCACCTCGACTGAGAAAGTTACCCACCAATTACATTGGATAATAATTGAGTAATAATGAGAATTTATGGAAGTTAGAAATTCAAAAAAATTGGATGTTTATATGGTGGTCTAAAGGTTATGTAAGACCATGTCTTGATTTCCATTCATAGAGAAGTGATAGTGAAAGTCCACTGCGATCTGGTCAACAATATTTATCAAACTAAGATCGGTTCATGATAAAACTATAAAAACTAACGGATATGTAGGAAAAATGGGACACAAAAAATAATCAAACACTTGCTTATCGATATTGGGAAGCAATAAACCCTTCCCTATGCTAAAATATATGAGAACATCAGATAATTACTATGGGAGATTGTTGAATCTCAAGTCTCATATCGCGCGGTAACTTTCATTCAACAAATAGTGAGAGCTGTAAAACAATGTTGCATTCTACTGATCAGTAAATAACAATAATATACAGTGAATGTAGAGTCACAACACCTAGACGTAATAAAGAAAGTATTTAAAGTACTAAAAAAATATGATAGCGATCAGTATAGGGTTTTGTGGAGATTGCAGATCCATCATAGTTTAGATCACGAACTTATGTTAGCTAGACAATTAATCAAAACCAGGAGGCACTGGATGTTTGTGACCAATGGAGTTCGACAATGTGGGGAATGATACATTTATCTACCACAGGCAATGGGTATGATCGAGTAATATCGCAAGTCGATAAAATCAGACATATACACAACTGGATGGCAGTTCAGTAATCTAAAGGTTAATTGTTTGTATGCGAGACACAAGGCTTTGAGTACAGTACCTTGTGGTGGAGTTCTGAATGAGCACTGCTAAGAAGCCTCATATTGGGAGGAAACATCAGTCCAGTACTTGAGGGTTTTCAAAATTGATCTAGCTAAGATTAAATTATGATTAAACCACGGAAACATGACAGTTACTATTATTCAATAATAAACTAATAGCAGCCCTTATATATCACGTATAAAACAATCGGATAATTTGACAAAATGTATAAACACTTACTCGATAAAATGAATTCGGTGCCAAACTACAAACACGTATCCAACCTAATTCTAAACGATGTGAACCAGAATCATCTTGACGATGTGTTTTTGTGTAAATAAAACCACGTAGTTCCACATCAGCTAAACCTATTTGTCCATCATTTTCAGTCATACGCCATCTTGCATGCTCAAAACACACCTAATGATTAAAACAATATCATTGTATGTTTTTTCTTTAAAAAAATAATATTACACTGGAAAAAATAAAGCCTTTATTTTATTGACTAAAATGTTACACTGAAAATAAAACTGATATGTAAATGTTGTATTGGGAATAAAACTAATGTCATAAAATGTTACATTAATTCAGAAAAGCCAGGAACTTGCCTTCCTATCTTGAATTATCAGAAAATAACGCCAAGTACTGTAGAGCTTTGGCTTCGAGTTTTCCAATACTTGGCATAGAAATTATTTGTAGCCAATCGATAGTAGCGTTCGAGTACACACAGTTCAAACAAACTTAAACTTGTTTGAGTCTCAGGCTGTTCTTGATGGAAATGAGGCAACTATTAAATAATTCTGAAATTATTCACTTATGCATTCCACTACATAGACTCATATTTTCGACATTACAAATGAGCCCTCGTACGAGAGCATGATCAGAGTCAAGATGCCTGCTCTTGAATGAAAGACAGTTTTCTATCGGACCTCTTTAACATTTATTAATAGCCATATGGCCTATTTGTGCCCATCGTTCAGTCGATAGTACGAGTTGTCATATCAGACGATGATTCTCGTTATGCTTAAATTAGGTGTTCACTAAGAACAACACAGTTGTCTAAACATAATTCTAGTAGCTGATTGTCTTTATCTGTTTGTTGAGCTGGGACACTGTAAGACCTATACAATTGTTTTTCACTTTGCTTTGAGCTACCTATTCAAGTATTTAAATCCTTAAGTATCATTATTAGGTCCGAGCATTTATATTTTTAGGAGGGCAGAAAGCTTTGTATAAAGCTTCTCCTTAACCGGATCCAAACTGTATTCATTGAGAGTATAGCGTAATTTGTTCTAATGAAAATAATTACGCTTTATCAACAACTTAAAATTGCTCCTCCAACATCTCGTCTTTCCTTTTTTCAGCACCACGCTCGCAACACGCAAATATGGAGCTTAAACTTTGACCATATATGAATTCACTATGATCATGATTTGTACCGAACACTCAGTTTTGGATACTTTATAATAAATGTAAACTTAATGTATAGTTCTACTAAACAAACCCACTAAATACTTAATTGATATATGCATCTGTGCCTATAAATGTTCTGTTGTGAAATGCTGCCCAATTAGTCTTTTTCCTAATAACCATGCCAAGCTAAAATCTCAAGTGTCAACACACGCTTTAAATGACATAAGTGTCAGAAATAAACAAATAAATAATATCAGAAGCGGTTTTGTAGTGAATGTAGTAATTTCAGTAGTTGAGATCATGAGTCAATTGAAGCTAAACTACCATGAAAAACTTGGAAGCACTGGACATCCGTTTCGTCTTATTGTAGGACTCCTCAGCAGTGAGCATCCACAATTAGTAATTATTAATTGCAATCTTTGCACAGTTGGAAAAAAGTGGCTCAAAGGTTTCAAAGTGCAAACTTACATTACTTATGAGTAGTAGTAAAACGTAAAACAAAATAAAACGATGGGACGGATTTACCTCACTTCGTCGAACAACTTCCGCTGGTTTACTATCACCACCATCCATAAATGACGATGATAACAATGACTTATTACCACTTTCTGATATGACAGTTTCAGTATTGTTATTATTCATAGTGTTCGTAATAGCATGAGTTAAATAGTCTATAGAAGATGCACGATGTAAATTTATTCTATTTTGTATATAAGTTTCCGATTCAATATTGTTGGTTTGAATAATTCGATTAAAATCATCATTAGCTGAAAGAATATATGAACACCAAGTAGAAAAGAGTAAAGTAATAAATTATTTGATGAATAAACTTTACATTACATAGTTAGAGAAATTTTAATTTATAAACTATATGGATTGTAACTAAGATCATGAACCGATCAATGATAGACCACCACTGAAAACCTGAAAGCATTAGAATGACGTCTATTCCTGGTACGCAACTCTTCAGCAGTGAGCATCCACGATCCCACCGTCCAGTGCTTCCAGGTTTTCAACGGAGGTCTAACATTGATCGATTCATGATCTCAATTCAAACTCAACAATCTCCTGAACCCTATACTGATAAACGGATTGTAGTTAGCGATGAAATATAGAATGCACGTTTTTTACTACTTAGGACTTGTCAGATGGGTGTATATGCCTTATAGGTTTTATTTTCACATTGAGACTCAAACCTAGTGTTTTTCGATTCAAATTACTTACAACCAAGATCAGTGTATGAAGACCTGATGCAAATATGTATTGGTTTAAGTTATCAAATCATATCATCAAAGTCAGATGAAATTATAAAGACGAATGTTAGAGTATTAAAATTAATAACAATATTAATGGTAGTAGAAATACATTAGTTCTAGATAAGATGATATGAGGAGTAGTTTTGAAAATCATCATTCAAAAATTTGACGGATTTGAAGGATACAATAAGCCTATCATCAAACGTTTCTTCCTTTAACCACAACAATGATTATGGTAAATTGTAAAGAATATAAGTACTCATTATTTATAACTAAATGACAGATTAATTATTTAAAACTATCAGGTATTTTGTATTAGAAATTCTTATTCTCTCGAACAGAGTAGTATCGTATATATTGCGAGAAGTAGTGAATACACTATGAGTATCTAATAATCGTAACCAACTATTGAAGGTATAGAATGAATTGATTAATAAAAAGATCGCAATAATGTAGGTACATCCATGCATTATTCTTCGGAAACTTGGGGTTTGTAGCATTTAAGACTACTTCATGCCTCCTATAACACACATATTCGCTTTATGAATTACTCACGTGTGGTTCACACAGATATGTATGCTAGTATATATGTGCCTGTATACTTACTTGTATAAAGTACGATGGAGGTTACACGCGATTAATTGTCAAAGGGAAAATGTATATGTATGATAGAATTGGTAGAAAGATTAGAATAGTCCACGGGAACGTGGACAAAATGTTACAAGTTTTAAAAATTAATTTACGACGTTCTATTCTGAAAATTCATTCATATTTATAGCATCATCATACTGCTGCCTATAATCAATATTTCCTAATAACACTAGTACTGTTAATACGTCTACTACTCTGATATTTATCCTGATAATTTCATTATTTATGAATGACTTATTCTTTTTATGGGCAACATTGTGGAGCGGATTTAATGGTTATGAAGTTCAGTGTTTTGGGTTCAAAACAGTTAGACTACAACATATTGAAATAAATACAATCACTTACATGTTTTTTGTACTAAACTAACATTATTACAATTTGTAATTGATGATAAAGTCTCATTATTAAATGATAATAATGATGAACATGCTGATGATTTATTTATTGGATGATAACGTCGAAATGACATTGCTTTACGTATATGTCGACGTTGAATTTGTATTTGTAATTGTTGATAATGTCCTAAACGCTGTGATAGTATACCATTTAAATCAATAATACGAGATTTTAATTGATTAATTTGAGTTTCCAATTGACTGTTTTAATAATTGATTATTTTTTAAAGCAAAATGAATAGATATTCATTCCATTGACAAAGAGAGAGAGAGAGAGAGAGAGAGAGAGAGAGTTGAGAATATTAACAAGACGATATATATGTGTATATATAATATTTATGATGAGTAAAAACTCTGTAGTGTTAAGCATTAAGCACTCATTGTAAAACTTGACGGAGGGCACTCCTCAACAAGGTACATAAGAAATCTTGGATAGTTCATTTGGACCGCGATTGGTTTCTCAGAAGTAATGGTAGTATCCAATATCGTATTTTTCCAGTCCTTAATTCTATTTAAATTCTATCGATCAAAGAGTCGTGAGATTTCCCAGGAACATCCAGCTGACATATGCCGAGTATCATGAAATTGTCCTACCGACTTATCCCCAATTTATATAACTGTAAAATATAGTGTACTCTATGTCAGAGTTATGTCGACTAGTAGACTAGATTTCAACTTGATTGATAAGATTCGATCACCGTAAGGAATCAGACAAATACTGCACTTTTTCCTAGGTCTATCAAAGTAGAACATGAACAGTAGAAACTGGTCATGTCATTAGAAGAAATAAGGGTCATTCGAATAAGAAAGTTTTTCTTTTCTTTCTATGATATTACTGCAGTGTTAATTATAACTGCTTAACTTAATTATATAGACTATAGTAAAATATATGTTTTACGCAATTATCAAAACAGTCGAAAAATTCCGAGTGTCTAAATGAATTTTCATCATAAATTTCAAGGGATGTAATACTGGAAGAAAGACTGAATAATCGTAAAATAACTCATTGAGAATTTTTCTCTCAAATCGTAGTGTTAGAAAGAGTTTTGTTAATGTTGCCCTGGTCGTAGATAAATACTGACGAATGACACCTACCCAATTCTTCTTAGTTTTAAACGGTTATCTAAAGTTAGTGAGGTCATTTCCTTCTGATACGGAACTCCTCAGCAGTGCGCATCCATGACCTAACAACATCATACTGACAACTGTTATGTGCTCATTCGCTAGCGATTAGTTTCTAAAGAAAATGTCCAGAGTTCTAGTGAGAAGCCGTTACCAGTGGAACCAAATCGTGTTGGTTGTAAGATAGTTAACCGCTTGACAGTTCAATCAGTCCTAATATTATTGGTAAGTGATAAAAATCTAAACTTGAATACAATATGTTCACTCAGTTCTCATTAATTCATATTACCTTCATTTTAGATGAGACACTATTCTGTCTATTAAATTTAGTGCCCACTTTATACTAATTTACTGTATCTTACTTTATAAGTGTAAAACCAAGACGAAAACGAACCTAATTATCAAGCAATCGACTATATTTGTTTACATCTTATAATTTGAGTTTGTCAGAGTTATCAAATAGAGTTATGTTGAAATTCGGCGTTAAGTACAAAGTACGGAAGACAGTTCTATTATACGAAGCTGAAACTTCGAGAATTGATAAAAAGATCAAAAAAGCACAGATATTTATGAACAGTTGTCTACACAAGATACCCGATAACCGTTGGCCGAACACGAACAACAACAACGCACTGTGGTAGAGAACAAACCAGCTTCCAAATAAAGAGGGAATTAAGAAAAGACGCTGGAAGTGAATAGGACATGCATCGCAGAAATTATCAAACTGCATCACGAGGGAAACCCTAACTAGGAATCCTGAAGGCTTAAAGAAGGTCCAAGAAGACATTGCGTCAGCAACTGGAGGAACACATCAAAAGAACGAATAGAAAATGGAAACAACGGGAAAGGAGATCTGAGGACAGAGTTGGTTGGAGAATCCTGATGGACAGCCTACGCTCCACTAGGAGTATAACAGAAGTAGGTAATTAAGTAGTTATATATATATATATATATATATATATATATCACTTAGGTGATTAAGCCTATCAGTGCTTTATGTCTCGTTCATAGGAAAGCGAAGAAATTATTTGGTTAGTCACGTATACTTATTATCTGATGATTTCTGATTGACGCACTGCATCAAACTCCCACAATAAAGAAAACGTATTCATATAACATGGATAAAGCTGATAGCGAATAATTGTCGGCTTACAAAATAATTATTTGTGTGGTTAACAACATTACATCAAAATTTATATTATTCACTGTCTCATTCTTCGATGGAAGAAAGTAATACTTATTTACTCACTCACCGAGCACTTTGTATGCAATCGACTAATTTCAAAGTTAAATTTGATGTTCGCGATGTAACATTGTTACTAATGTCAGTAGTAGGAGAGTGATAAAAAGCTGTAGGATATGAATGATCAATTAATGTATTATTGGCATTTAAGCCTAGTTCTTGCATAGTTTGTCTAACGTATGACCATAAATAACGTTCCAGCTGACGTTGTTCAGAGATCAAACGACGTAAAGTTTCTTGATCACGTAATATAGCTAAACGAACTTGTGATTCAGACATTAAACCGAATGTCAAACGATTACGTTCCAATTTAGCCTAAAAAACAAGGTAATTGTAATAAAACGATAATTTTAAGTGAATTTATGCTGAAAAAAACAACTTTCACAAGTATATTGGATTGTTATACTAGGATGAAACGGCAGTCCAGTAATTCCATGTTTCCGGTGATGATCTAAGATCAGCTCGTCAAACATCAAAATCATTGGATGTCGGCTTAATGGTGTGAACGTTACAGATTCACGAGTGAGACTGGAAGCCGTGGGTTTGATCTTCAGATACACTCTGCTAGGGAGTCATATACTAAGAAGAAACGGGAGCTCAGTGCTTCCAGGTTTAAAATTACGTTCTAGCTAAGATCAGTCGACGATTTAAAAATTATGAAAACTCCATAATCTTCACAAATACCCACACACTAATAATAAATTATTTAATCGGCTTAATCAGAGTAAATAAATAATGAATTGAGAAATCTGAAAGTGGCATTATCTGCAATTCACCGATTTACAAAGATTAATATATTGTTATATCAAGTGAATTTGAAAGATTAATTAAGGTGTAGTGAAAAATAGAATGGTTTACGGCAACCTCGTTCATTTTAGCTCCATCGTGGCGTTAATCTGACTGTGAAAGGTCTGATCTAGAACGCGTTAGTGAGGTGTTCCATTTTAGACTTACGAACTCTGAAGTTTATAACATAGTGCCATTATCTCATAGAAGATAACTGGCATCTCTCAGTCTATCAAGACAGAACGGTTACAATTTACATCATGGACTTATTTAGTTAGACAACATATTTTGAAAAGCATGTGGTAGTCAACTCAGTGATTTGAAAACGTAAGCGTTTATTATTAACGATGAAGACCACAGGCTTTTTCTTTGAAGGGGATTAGTGAATGTGAGCTGTGTTGAGAAGTTTCATATTCAGATAAGAAAGTAATGAAATACATGCTGGTTCTCAAGTGTTGTCTAGTTAAAGTCCAGGATGTGAATAATGCACTAAACAATCTCAATCATCACATATTTTTTGAATAATTAAACTACCTTTCTTTGTGGTTCAACATACAACAGAAGATCGTTCACAATTTCTACAATCATATGATATTGGAGCTAAAAATATATATAAAAAAGAAAGAAAGCATAAATGAATAAAACAATGGTTTGCACGAAATATACATTCTATGTTCAACATTTGGAAAGACAAATGTTCCTGTATGGCCGTAAAATAGAAGCATTCAATAGTAATCTTGAGATACTCTTGTGGGTCTGTGCATTCATGGTCTCTGTTAAGGAACCCCTAACTACCTGCTCACTGTCTTCATGTAATGATGGTGTTTATACAAAAGTGAAAGGAAAAAACGAATCAATCGGATAAGTGGATACGAAGAACGCAAACAGTTACACACCTATGGAATTAGATGATTGGCCGATATCGAGAATGAATTGAAATTAGATGTGTAAACCATTCAATGCTAGCCCAGTAATGATCTAAAGGTTACACTCTTGAAGTAATAGATCCGGAAGTCCTGGAGCTCAATCCCCTGGTGAGGTATTCGATGAGCACTATTGTGCGATCCTTTACTAAGACAAAAAAAACTGTCCAATATCTTCTGGTTTTCAACGATTGTCTAAATAACACCACTCCGTCATGTAAAATATAAAACTCGAAAATTTCCACAAACTTGTTGTACTAAACATATTTAATCATATTTCAAAAAATGACATCAACTAGTATGCATATCAACACAAAACTCACAGAATTTGTGGAAACATTTAGCGTATGATGCAATAAAGTGACTGTGTCAGCTCCTTCTGGATTACGAACAACTTCTGTTTCATCTAGTGACTGTAAAGAAAAAAAAGTCAAAACAAAAAAGAAACAGACAAATTTAATGCAGCACCAACAAAAAATATCAGGTCATTGAATAAGTCTTTACAGATCACAGGATAAGGAGTAACACTTGCAAGTTGTATAAATTTATTATTCTTGGAATAAATTATAATTTCAAAGTATTTCATGGACAAATACTTTACAGGAAGGACTTTAAAGAGGGCGTTGTAATTTATGAAATAAGAATCAAGACGAACATGGAGAAATGATAAATTAAGATCATTGAATTTGAAATCAAGTAGTGGACCGGAAACCTGTTCAGAGACATATCTGAACTTTATTTATATATTTGAACACATAGATATTGGTAAAAAGAAGGCACCAAATACATATGCGCCATACAAATCTCGTTTGATATGTATGAGGGCTGTGATATTGCCCGGGTGCCCAAACCGAAGCAGGTGGTTTTCTTAGGGGTCCACATCCAGAGCCTTCGACCTAAAGGTCTGATCCATAAGGCAGTGGAGCAACGTAAGGAGATGCAGTCCCATGGTAGTGGTGACCAACGATTGGTCCATACACCATTTGTTCCCTCAGGATACTGGAGCCCATGCGCAGCATTGGTTTGAAATCAGGGTTTTACAACTCCTTTAAGTGGACGCTCCATGTCCACCAACCCGGTTAAGTCGCCGGATATTCGCTTACGGTCCTCTCAATTCCGTCAACAACACCTCCGCCAGGAGAAGGCAATGAGTAGGACTTTCCTGGCAGAGGCTATATACGCGTGGTCATGTGAGAGCATTTTGAAAGGGGGAGCGAACTCTCCCCAATCTCGACCGTACCATGGCATTAGGGGGTACATATCTAAACACTTTAATGTTACCATGATATGCCTGTTTCAAGAAGGTGTGTGTCAAATAAGATACGATACAAATGTGAACATCAATAACATTATGGTAAAGGGTAAATATAAGAGGACGAAAATAGAGGAAATTAAAAAAATCAATCAAGGTTATTTGATAAATACCTAGTCATCATGATCGAAATAGGCTAATTACACATTCCTCTTGCATATATGGGTCAGCTCAGAAAGATTCGATAGCGAATATATCTCTTACAAAAAGTTTAGCTTTAAGATCTAATCCCTGGAGTTCTAGTGAGAAACCTTGATTACTGGAGATCAACTATGTTGGTATAAAAACAGTTGTCTACCGTAAGCAATGAGAGATGGTTCCACACTACCTTAGACTGATTGAATTTATACAGATACATCATTAGGTGGCGACTCAGTGGTCATCAGGTTTAGAGACCGCGTGCGAGACCAAAGGGTTCACGATTCGATCTCTAATGTAAAGGTCACGGGTGCGCACTTCTGAAGAGTCCCATATCAGAACGAAACAGCTGTCTATTGCCTCCTCGTCTTTAATAGTGATATAGCTAAGAGTATTTTGACATGTAAACAAAAAAAGCCCGTCCCACGATTTGAAAAAAAAAAATCATTGAAATTAGAACTTACTAATGGTGGGATAAGATGTGGAAGTGGTAAATTCGCTGGATCAGCAGGTTCATAATGTATATAAAATACTTCACATGAACAACGAGATATCATACGTTGTAGTTGAATAGGACGAATATTATCCGTATGGAGTTTAGAAGTAGAACTAGTGATTGTAGTAGTAGTTGGTGTGGTTGTAGTCATTATAGAAGTTAAAGTAACATTATTTTTGAGTGTCGCATCATTACTCATTAGTTTTGTACCAAAGGTCAATGTACTTGTTCGAGTTAATGAATTCTTATTGTTACTAATATTATTATTGTTGTTTGAAGGTGTTTTTTGGAAAACCAACACATGCTGTAACTACACCACCGACGGATCTACCACAACCTACTACTTCAGGTCGTCCACTTAATGCATCTTCATCAGCATTTAAATTATGATGAGTCCAATCACTAACATCAGCTGTAGATAACCACTGATCAGGTGTTTCTGGAAGAACCTAGGACAAGAAAAAAATGAAGGACACCAACAATTAAATTATTACTTGAAAAAATACATTTTCATAGTTTATAACAAGAACCGACCTTAACTAAATCACCAGTGAAAACTTGGAAGCAGTGGATGGCCACTTTGTCCTAGTACAAAAATCCTCAGAAGTGTGCATCCACGAGCTCTTATCCGGGAATCGAAATGATACTAGAACGAAGCGGCTATACGGTGCTTCCAGCTTTCTAACGAAGACCTAGATAAGATCGATTGGTGATTTAACCTGTGAAAATTCGACAATTTCCACAAATCCTCCTATACTAGTCATAAACATCTTTCTTTATAAAAAGATTGAGATAAGTAACACCTGTTAGCAGTATAAAGGCTTGACTACTGTGTACTCTGACCAGGTTCATATAAGGATCCACTGCCTGGTCTATTTTTAACCGATCGGAGCTAGTGAATGAATGGAGATGTATTGTTGATGGATTCCACATTAGGACAAAGCAGCAATCCAACGCTTTTCAGTTGTCAATCGTTGTCTAAGATCAGTGTCTGAGATATACCCTACTACTAGTAGTAATAGTAGTAGTAGTCAGGGTTTGGAAAGAATTTATTTATTCCTACTCAGAAATAATAAATTAATGCACTGTTTACATCTCTGAATAGTAAATTAAACAGTCCACTTCGTTAATTTGATTCCTCGATCTCAATCAGTCAGTTGACCAATCCACCTCTGACTAAAAATTATGGGGTTTTGATTACTCACTCTAATTTTTCAACAACTCTTACAAACTATAAATCAAAGATTACGATGTTAAAACGTTGATTACCTAGGGAAAACTCAATATTCAATTTGAAACGGAATGGATTATCCTGATGTTGATATTTTGACTGAAATTTGATCAGTTTTGATCGGCATGGGTACATCCTATCCAAATCACCTTGATATAGCTCATTACAACACAATTTACTACAGAGTAGATGGAATGTGGATAACAAGAGAATCTAGAATGCACTTTTAAAACAATTCGGGTATCGTCAGTAAAATCTAACTGCATCCAAGAGTTGGTTTTTATTCTGAGATTCAAACTTAGTATCCTTCGCTTTGAACGCCAACAAAATACCCACTTTGCTACTGAGTTTAGGTAGCCAACCACTTGTAAAACGAGTATGATTTTCAATTCGATTTTAACTGAAGTGAATTATCCCGTCGTCAATATTTTGACTGTATTTTGATTGTTCATGTTATTGCGTTCGAGTTCAGGAGTGAACATCAACTCTGGGTTGCAGGTACATTCACTTGAACATTCTCAACTTGGATGAAACGTTCATCCTACAACCCGTTAGCAGTCATATTTCATTTATTCTACATAAAATGCAATATATTACGTTAAAAAAATACACTTCTTTCACTACCACAACCAAGATTACTCACTTGTCCAACAGTAGCATAATATTGCATACATTCCAAATGTCCAACTAAACTAGATTTATTCAACAATTGTGAATCTTTCCATATCGGTGGATGAGTTAACGCATCCAACTTGGCTCTGGCTGCGGACACTAAGACATAACCGGCTAAATGATTTGTTTTCAACATTAACTATAAATATAAGGAAAAAATAATGATATATATATATATATATATATATATATATATACTGGTCTAATTGTTCACAGTAGATCCAGTATATCAAAAATTACAAGAAAACCTATCAAAGTATTTAATAATCTTTTTATCATGATATTAATTCAATACTAAAAAGACACCGATATCAAAATAAACTAGTTATTCAGTTTAATGCACATTCAAGAGCCCCTTCTCCCCAAAAACAAAACATTACAAAACTTACTTGAGGATTGATTAATTCCAAATGCCAATTACGTTCAGCAACTAAACTAGACGCACAGATATGTAAACCTTGTAGTTGTGATACTACATCAGTTTGTTTGGGTTCCTGTTGGGAAAAAAAAACACAGCAAAAACGTTCATATAGACGACTTCATTAGTTAAATAATAACAAAACATGGAAATAATATGATAATACTGAAAAAAGAATTAGAGATTTTTAATTATGATGTCAGCAGATAGAGATGTGAGCAATTGGTAAGCAATCCTGGACCTGCATTTCATGTTGTTGAATAGTCTGCAGTCATGAAAAAAATAATACTTCTTTCAGAGGGATTTCAATTCAGATTGTCTATAGTACGTTACAGTTTGATGAGTTACACCGTCATGTGTGATATAAATAGACATGTGATCCTTTTAAGTGTAGGACCCAAGACTATACACCAAAACAAAATGTTACATAGTACCCTAATTTTAAATAAATACAGCTAACCCAACTAGGCGGAGGTTCATGTATTTAACAGTTGGAAAATAAAGAAAACCTTCAAAATCACAAGCGATCAAGTTTTCGTATTCAAGCTAATTAGTTCAAACAATTACTCTTCATTTGTAGAAGAGTTGGTATTTCCTCTTTATTGATAATCATGACTATGATTGACGAATTTCTCTCAATATATGTGGATCCTGAGCGGATAACCTCGATATATTCATTTAGTAACACGTTTTCCTGACAGTTGTAATTCTTAGCATAAACTGTGAAAAAAAACACAAAATGATAGATTTGGATAACCAGAACTTGGTAAATGATTCAAGCACAACACTGGCCGATAAGTGGCTTTAATTTTTAAAGGATGAAGAGTCACATATAGGACGAAAGGCAAGTAAGTAATACATAGATTAACTTACTTCTTCACAATAAGCATAAAAACGTGCTGTATCCACTTCCTCTAATAACTGCGCCAACATTGGTATCTGTTTAAAAAACGTTAACTTCGTTTTATTCGACTCAGACGATGGTGATGAGTTTGCTGACAAATATACATGATCATAATTATTTTCCTCCATTTCTGAGTTATTATTATTATTATTTGTTGTTGTTGTCGCCGTCACCATAGTCACAGCATTTGATGACATGTCGATATTATCTGGTAACACTTCATCACATGTAGGCATTTTCGTCAGAAGATAATTATCATTATAATTTGATTTAGTCGATTTAGATAAATGACATAACTCAGTTTGTTGAATAACAGTAGATAATGGACGTTTATCCGTAGAGTTTAATAATTTACAACCATTATTATTAACACTGTTTGTTAACTGAATCGCACTACGAGCACTATTCATTAAAGCAGAAAAAGTAGATGTAAGTGAATAAGGAATGTGAGGGGGGGGGGGCGAAAGTACTCATAAGCGTAACGTAAATAAATGACAACTGTGATAATAAGAAAAAATTATCAGTATGGAAACTTGTAGAGATTTTAATATTTCCACAGTTGATCAAAGCTAAACCACCATTAGAAGATGGAAGCACTGGACGACCGTTTCGTTCTAGTATGAAACTGTGAAAATATTACAATCTCCACAAATCCCCGTAATGATAGTAATCATGTGCATACTAGTGGCTAGCTTCAGGATATAGCTCCTGAAGTTCCAGCGAGGTCTAATTCGTGTCCGGTGTGAGATAGTAATCTACCTCAAGCAATGAATGAAGGGTTGCGCAAGATCATAGATCGATTAGATTTGAACATTAACACCGTTTGATATCGCCTCAGTGATCAGGAGATTACGAGTTCGAGCGTGAGAATCGTGTATGCGCACCGCTAAGAAGTCTCATGCTAGGACGAAACGGCTTTTCAGTGCTTCCAGGTTTCAATGGTGGTCTAGCTTACATCAACTTGTGATTTAAAATGTGAAAATATTAAATTAATCCCTTTAGGGAGAGTTCAAAGTATCTGAGGATTTTTCTTATTTTGAAAATTAATACATGTAAATCGTGAAGTGCAAGACAGACCATGGTAACATTTTTATCAACTTATATATCTGTAATGCTCTTTGTTGCTATGGGATCGTGTTATAATGTTTATTATTAGTAATGACCATAAACTGTTATCGAACCAAGGAAGCGGTGTCTTAGCGATGGTGACATTCATCTTTTAACCATTAAGTCCTGTATTTGAATCCTCACTCCACCTATAACAGTTGAGGTGGTGGTGTGGTATTATTACCTTGCAAATTTTGAGTGCTGACTAGTAATTCGCAACGTAGAACGTGGTACGCACATACATCTCAATTTCAAGTATGGCGCATAGTGAATGTATTATGTACTTTCGTTAAAAACCTCTAAACAGTACAAACTCATTGATCAAACAAATTTTCTTAAGCTTGAATCTCTGAGTCAAAAACTAGATTTACTTGAAAGCAAATAGATTAACCTGAGCTGAAACATTAAAACATGATGACTGAAATCGATAAATGCTTCTATCACTAAACCAAATTGATAACCCGTGAAACTAATTTCTAACTGTAACGTTACTTCTTATCAAATGTATTTTTCAGCATTTCATGACCACAATAATGATGTTTCATGTTTCTAAATTGCTTAAAATAACAATTGATACACAAAAACCAATTGAAAAAAACTCTCAAGAGTCAAGATATTGTTTTAGTGGAATGATGAAATGGAGTAAGTGATTTTAATAATTTCGAGTAGGACGTTACTACTACTAATACTGCTTACTTTCGACTAAGAGCTGTGCCACCGCCACCACTTGTCATTGTTGTTGTTGTATGACCATTACTACTACCGCCAGGATGTAATCTGAATCCATGTAGTGCACGAGCTGATAAATTCTTTTTCAACGATTGAGCATGTCGATAACTATCCATTAGAATGTAAACAAGATTCCTATGTTGTTCTGTCCATCGCATTTTAAATTCATGTATTTCAAGATGATGAACAGGAGTGAGCTAAGACAGAAATAGAGGAAGAGCAGGCGAAAAAAAATGGAGTAACTCGATTTGTGAGTCAAGGAAATTTAAGTGTATTTTTGTGATGTTCACTAAGTCTAGGTAGACAGGCAGATAGGAATTAATTCTATAGCATTACATGTATCTCATCCGCTTGGTACCAATAAAACCAATCACATAAACGGTTTGTACACTTCGACCGAACACAGAGTAGATCTGAGCAAAATATAAATTATGACAAAAAGAGGATAGGAAAAATACAGGTTACAAGCCACATATCTCTGAATCACTATTCATTTGTATGAAAAATCAACTAAACAACGTTGAGTTCTGTTGGGATATTCAGGAAAATATCCCAAAAATTATTCTGTTAAGCCTAATGTTATCTTCGGACATGAAATGGTATCATCTTATTGGTCAATATTTGTTTAACGTGTCATTTTCCTACTGGCCATTATTGTACAATGTTATTTTCTATTTTATGGGACGTTGTGGTCTGCTTGACTGGTATATAAACAAAGTATGTTTGAAATATAATGATTCATATCTCCGAGGCTGTGACTTGTGTTCTGGACTCAACTGGCTGGGTTAGATAGGAAGCGAGACCAATCAGAACCCTAGGTCGTTCTACGCGTTTGTGCGTCTTTGGTCCGAACAATAATTCCCTACCCCTTAATTAGCAGCATCATTTTCACGTTATAACAAGTTCTACAATTATACAACAAGTAAAAGTAGCTGAAGGTAGACTGTAGAATACCCTGTAGCAACAGAAAGGACTAGACATACATGACGTTGAGAAGTTACAGTATGCATAGATTGATGATATCGTCTCAAATTGAGAGAATCGAATTACACAGGAAACATTAGTTTCCTGAACGTTGCAGATACAACTTGCTGGTGAATGTCAATTACCTGTAACCACCTAACATTAGTAACAAGGTGGGTTTGATGTTGAGCCACTAAGACAAGAGATCAGATTGAAACTTGGTCAACAGAATTCGGTATGCATTATAAATTAAACAAACAGCATTGGTCACGACTCAGAGATGAGCCAATAGTAAATGACATGATAAATTGCAATCCTGAACGTTAATGGGAAAACAGAAACAACCAATTAAAATGAACGAAAATTCACCACAATGCACAAGCCAGCGGATATCTAGACACAATAGTTAAGTGGATAACTCGATAGCATTTGAAGCAAAAGGTATTTGGTCCAAGTTGCAGCATGAACATCAATTGAGGGATGAAGATACATACAGCTGACCAGCTCTAAATGGTCAGAAACACATGTCCTGGATTTCACTGCTAGCCGCTATATATCTCTATTTATAATTGTAGAGATAATTCAGTATTATGATTTATACCAAAGATTTGTCTTAATTAAACAACTACCTTGAATGTGTAGCGTTGAGGAGTTTCATAATGTTTATTAATTTCTACTTTTTCAATGGTTGTCTATATAATGTATCCAGTTAATGATGTAAGGTAAACATTTTCATCAATATAGCTTAAATAATAGTTATAATGGAAAGAATAATATAGAAGTTGTAACTGATTTTTCGAACTATTATTCATCATAATTTTGTTATATAATTACTGTAAACCTAGATTGTTATGCATATAGATTCCACTTGACATCATTCAGCCAGCTACAACGTAGGACCAGGCACATATATGCATCGGTCCAAGTTGCCACACCTCATTAACACAACAAGATGGACACCGGATTCATAGAAGTATTTAATTCAGTGGTGGTAATATATGAAAGAAAGATTGCATGTCAGGACATAGTACAGGAAGAAAGAATTAGTTCGTAGAAAGAAAGATATGAAGCGATTTTAATCTCATAGTTTAGAGCGAAGATAAAGAGTGTATACACCTACGCCATTGTGATCGATTCTGAGCCATATGACCAAGAGTCTCCAACCATCGGTTACGATAGTCATGCGGACCCAAACCAAGTAGTCTGCATCTGCCAACATGGCTCAGACTAGAATTTAGTGACTTCAAACGCTGACGCCACGTTTTGGTTTGGCCGCCCCTAACTTTCTTCCAACCATCCCCAACACCGGTTAGCATTGCACGTCGTGGTAATCGGTGTTCAGGCATACGTAACACGTGGCCTAACCATCTCAGCCGATGAAGATTCACAACCTCATCAACTGATTTACCACCATTCCCTCATACCCTGCGTCTAACCTCACTAATACTTACCCGGTGATCCCAGCAGATGTGAGTAATATTTCTAAGGCATTTGTGGTTAAATTCCAGTAGCTTACGAGTATCCTCTACTCTTAACAGCCACGTTTCGCAGATGGACAGTAGAAAAGAACGAACTGCCGCGCAGTATACCCCCTCCCTGGCCCTACGTTGTAACTAACTAACCATAGGTGACGTAAGTTGGCAAAAGCCAAACGAGCTTTTCGAATCCATGCTGAGATTTCGTCAGACACTTGACATAAGCTTTCATTTAACTCGTGAACTACTGCTATAAGACTTACTATTCTTAATTTGGTGCCAGTCTATTACTCACGGTCTCCCCTATTTACAGACATACTTGCCTTGTTTGTAATCATAATCTTTCATTTTATAGTATCATGCAGTCCAGTATGTCTATAGGCAGACCAAGTCTATTTGAAATATAGACATTGTAGACGTTGATTGCTACTTTTGAATTAAAGAGCTGAGAGTAGAAAGGAGCTAGCGAATACTGGACCGATCAACAGTGGTGGTCGGGCATGCAACTGATCATGTCACAGATGCTGAGCTATAGAGTGAATAATAGATGTGAACCCATGAAAATCAAAATTAGGATTCCGACTAGTGACTTCTTGGGAAATGAAATTAGCTAGCTGTTTCAAGAACTAACAATGATATTTTGTACAACAAATACAACTAGATGACAACAACTTACATCTTCATGTGTCAACTGATTGTTACTACTGCAGGGTGTAGCAGTAGAGTTATACCTAGGGGTTGGTATATGATTAGTAGTACGGTTGTTATTATTATGACTGAATGGCAATTTTTTCTCATCATCAACATGTGATGTCGATGTAACATCCGCACTTATATTCTCAGTAATTGTAGACGTAGAATTGATAGGTGTATTATTCTTTATGGATTCAACTAGATGACATTCAATGCTAGAAGGACTGAGATTAGTATTTCCAGAACTATTGTTATAAATATTACTATTTTCTTTGATAGTAGTTTTAGTTGTAGATTTGGTAACAGATGTCATTGTAGTAGATCGTGGTCCAGGTATATGCACACGTACAGTTATATTTGACGGGAGAACAGTTGGACAAAGTTGTTGATAACGTAATAATGGGACTAGAATAAATGCTTCAGTATCATTATTCATTTCTTTAGTATCCAGTTGTTCTATGTCATGAATGCTGAAATTATGATGGTTTAACTGATGATTGCTACTAATATCATTAGTCTGTTTAAATAAAGATTGAAAAAAAAACATAGAAAAACATCAAAATAAGATCTGGGAGATTAGAGCTAGACAGAATTATTAGTAACATTTAAAAATAATTAATAAGGTAGTGGTTGGATGGACGTTTTGTGCTAATATGTAACTGTCGTATACTCTGGTATGAGTCAATAGTCAATAAACTCGATGGATTAATATCATGATAGTTTGATTATTGTTTACACTTTACAAAATTTATTTCTGATAAGAATGGCGAGTTTTCATGAGGCCAAAACAGTGGTGCATCCCACTACTGGTCAAGATTTGACAATATTTTGTAAGGAGAAACGTGCTATTTCCAAGGCAAGAAAGATCAAGATATTTCTGAATACCTGTACATGTATTCTTAATTCTGTTTCGGGCGATAAAGTTCCCTACTGATTCTCGGTCTTCTCACTCCAGTAGTTGGTATGAACTAGTATGTAAGAAGCTTGAACGTCGAAATGAAAATCGGAGACTGCACAACATAACAACTTCAACCAACCTCGTCGGTACAAGCGAGCGTCGGCTCGACGTTAGGGGCGTAGGTCAGAGGAGTATTTGGTCAAGTCTAGAACACTGGGCTATAGCAGAAATAGTGAATCTAGAATAGAAACATTGGTGAGGCTATAATTTACGCACGAACTAATAAGATTTAGAATAGCATTTATTGGATTCATACATATCGTTCACTAGCAATTTCGTCATAATGTCTGATGTAAGTTCTTGATGAAAACCTTAAACCAAATACCTGACGCTTACTACTAACTACATTTCATCCTAATTCTTCAAAATAATCCGTAGCCCTCTTTTGACCCCTATAGGTGAATTTTCCCAAGGTCAATTAAGCATTGACCAAAAGGTTGTCCATAGATGTAAATCCTCCGAAAAATTTATAATTAGAATTCTGATTGGTGACTTTAACGCGTGATATCGACCAACGATCTAAAGCGTTAACAATTAATTTAGGCTTTCTTTCAGCTTACTTCTACGCCAACATACGTAATATATATTACTTACAAACCTAGTCAAAGAAGATTTACTATCTCCCATTTTAACCGATCTACCATTTTATTTTTTACCATGTCTAACATCAAACCTATTGAAACTTAAAAAATGCTTTAAATATTTAAGATATAACAAGACATATTACATATATACATCAATAAAAGTGAACTTACACAATTCTGGTGTGTATTCATACACTGTAATAACATTTGAATTAAAGGACCAGGAAGATTATCTCTATGTCTTAAATGTATTGCAATATCATGTACACTAGCGAATAAATTCAAAACACTCCAATTAACAATAGGACGTCTTGATAAACCATTACGTTGAATTGATAATCTTGGTGGAATCATTACATATGGATGTAGAATAGTTGTTTGTTCATTGAGATTAGATGTAGTGGTAGTATCTAATGGGATTGATTCACCACCTGATACGATTATAGACGTAGAAGATGAGGCTAATGAAGTGTTCAATTTTCCAATTAATCGATTAAATTTAACCTCATTTTCTATTTTACATTTTAATTTGCCAATAATTTGTATTGGTCCAGTAGTAACATGAACACCAGTACGTTTAGCATAGGAGACCCAAAAGATGATTTCTAATTGGGGCATGTTAATACTAAATTCTAATGATCTAAAGTAGGAAAAGTGAAGTAGAAAAATGCAATGATTGTATGTATATATAGTTGGACATATAACACGGAGGGCCCACCTAGGGGAGTTGGGAAACCCTCATTCCAAACCAATGATGTACATGGGCTCCAGGATCCTGAGGGAACAAATGGCGTATGAACCTATTGTTGGTCACCAGCTACCACGGGACTGTATCTCCTAACGTTACTCAAGTGTCTTGTGGATCAAACCTCTATGACAAAGGCTCAAGGAGTGGACCCCTAGGAAAACCACCTACTTCAGTTCGGGGGCCCGGGCAGTACTCCAACCCTAACACAAATCAATAATCATTATTACTGGACCCGATGTTAGCGTGTGTAGCATAAGTGTTTGGTGCTCCCTTGTACCAATGTTTATGTGTTCAAATAAATAAAATATAACACAAACGTAAATTCACCCACACAGTATTAAGTAGGACTTACTGAAGTAGACGTCCAAAATGTGGCTTTCTTGGTGGCTTATATTGATATAAAGAACCACGACGAATAGGACGAGGAATTTGTGACAGACAATTCTAAAATCAATCAATCAATCGATGAATGAAATAGGCAAAAAGCACAAAGTACAAAGAAACAGTGGAATAAAGTGTTGAAAGGCTGCCAGAGAACTCTATGGAATATATTTTTAATAGGCAGCGAAACATATGAAAACTATTTCTTCAATCAAGAATGAAATAGGTGCAGACTAGCTGGTCCCATTTTGCTTGACTAATCAACGGTTGGAGATTTTGAAAGATCAATTGCAATAACGCAGGTGTATTCACTTTTATCTTCGATTGGATCCCAAGTTTTTAAATTCGTCATAAATTGACTTTAATGAGGTGGAGTGAAGTGACTAGCACGCATTACAATCTCCAAGAAATGTGAATATCCACATACCACCGAATGTCACAAACAGTTACTAAATAGTATCGAAACCTGATGAAGCTTGAATATGACAACACAGCAGTACCATGCCAACAAGAAAGATCCAGTTAAGTACACATGGATGCAACTGAATAATTATCAGTATAGAGTTTTGTGGAACTCATAGAATTTTCATAGATTCTAAATCACCAACTGATCACACCGTAAACGTTGAACCTCTAGACTACTGAGCCAGTATACAATGTTGTCAATTTCTAAATTCAACCAACTTACAACCATCCTCCATTGTCTAGGGTGGATAACTGAACCGTCCCTGTGATACCGTAATTCCTGAATTAGATTCTCTGTGTCAGGGTCGTAGTTGAACACTGCTGGCTAAGATTGGTACTAGGATGAAACGGTAGTCCAGTGCTTGTAGATTTTCAATGGTAGTCTAAGATTTGTTTTTGATTTAAAAACTATGAAAATACGATAATCTCCACACATTCCTATATTGATCATGATCATTTCTCATTGTTAATTGGTTGGTTTAGCAATTTTCATGAACTGATAACATACTTAGATTAGGCCGCTCTTAGCTTTTTCCAACTTACTCTTCACTAACTAGTAAACATCGTATATGAAGGTAGAGAATGATTAGGCATACGTAATTCATTAACTTTTAAATAGATAGTCAATAAGGCTGTAAATACACAAAAAAGTTATATTATGTATACTTGAAATTTCATTTGAGAACAATAACAAATGTACTAAAAAAGAAAGCTAATAGTACAAATTGTTACTATATATGCACGTTTACGTTTACATTGTTTAATGTTAAATGTTTATTATGAAATAAATATGAGGAAAATAGTTTTGTGTTCATTAAGCCATACAATAAATAGGTTGATGTAACGCATAGGTTAATTCATTTCCGCTTTTGTTTTAATTACATAACAACAGTAAAACATTAATTATTGAAAATAATTTATATTTTACCGAGCGTATAGTGTTGTATGTATTCAGTAGTATACTTAGTTAACTATACACTAATCTTAGGTTCTAAAATATATTATTTAAAAAGAAATAAGTAAACAAGAATATAGAAATGATAAAATACGAAGAACGAAAAATTACCCGTAGTTTATCAGCAAATTTCAATACACTTGTATAGAATGAACACCAAGGTATTTGATCCATAGTAGATGATCCAGTTGGAGGTGGTTTTACGGTGAAGTTAATATCCATAGCTAAACGATTCGCCGAAAGTATTTGAAGGAATCGTGCTACAAAATATATTCATAATGGGTAGACTTAAGAAAATGTTATTCATTCTTTTCACAAAATTAGTATATGGAACAGTGTGGAGTGTTGAATTATGTGGTCGATATCATGGATTGATCGTAGTTAGGCAACTAATGAACACAAGAACGCACTAAATAGCTATTTCGTCCTAGCATAGGGATATTCAGCGTTGAGCACTCACAATTCAACTGGGTATTTAATCTAAGACCTTCAGGTCACGTAGATCAATTAGTTGTTACCCGATGGTTTGCATATGTAACTCCAATCAACCGATGATGAAATAGTTTCTTCGCATTATAAACAGTAACGGCAACTAACCGAAAATTTATTCATTTTTTAGTTAGTTAAAACGAATAGAAATAAAGTGAAATCATGTTAAAACTGAAGGGGGAAACTCGGAATGAGCAGGTCAGGATTACCGCGACAGATTTTCAGCCATATCGTATAAAATCCTCAGCCACAAATTTACTGTTATATAAAGTAGTTCGTACATCCTGAAATGATTCAATCCAACAGTAAATTATTTCAAGGATTGTTTCAATAATATCAATTTTCATAGTAACCTATATCTGTTATCATTTGTAACTGGGAGCAATGACTAGACCGATACGTGATACATGCTCCAAAGAGATTAGGGTTAGAAACGTTTTATAACTACAAAGATGAGTACTTATGCACTTATTCCTTTGATTTTAAGTTGGAGTCCGAGAGTAAAAATCAACTCTGGGATGCAATTACATCCAGCTGACAAGTACCGAATAGGATGAAACATGCATCTTAGATTCCACTGCTAGCCACTACTCATCTATGTTTAAAATGCTTGTGGCTTAATGGTGATATCGAGGCAATCCGCACAGCATGCACATATGCCAATAACAGACTGATCACTTGTAGTCTTGAACATTAATGGGAAGATCTGAAGAACAAAAGCATGTGAATTTTTTATTAGCTTGGCAGCTTTACTAATTTGTGGTCTTTAATTTTTCGTCTTCGTTTGTTGATCAGTTTAGAGTCTTAAGTGAATATCAGTAGGTTATATTTGGTTCTTAATAATGTACAAGGTATTTTTTACCGTTTTTTCATTGGGGTTTCGTTTTCTGAACCGAATGGTTTAAACGTGGAGCTTTTACTGTTCTTCGGAACAACATCATTAAAACAAGCTTCAGGCAGAAGTGAGATATTCGGATTTCTTCACATATGACTCACAGCTTGTCCTGTCGACCTCGATCTTGATTGGTTAGTGTTGACCTCTAATCTGTCATTATCTGCATCTTTATCATGATTGCAAATCCCTTTGATTTGATTCGTAGTCCTATATTCGTACATGATTTTTCTGCTTGGTTGACATATTGAATCGATTCCTCTGTTTTTTTTTGATTGCTGATTTATCTGAGTGCCAAGCTTCTAAAAATCATCTAATGTTCCCATCATTCCATTTATTCAAAATCTTTCTAATTGTACGCGTGTTCTTAATATTCCACGTGGACTGATATAAGCAAAGACAAATAATGAAGTTTGGTACCTAGATGATGTTCATGAAGAAAAAGGTGAATAAAACACCCACGTTGTTCGATTTAGTGCTTCTCTCAGTTGGAACAATGAAAGCTCTACGATTAAACTGTCCAACTCATGGAACAAAATTTCACATGTGCTACAAATCCTTTCCACTTTTTCTGTTCGTCACTATGTTTTGAAATTCGCGCAGTTATACAGCAAGCGCTATTTTAAATCTAATTGGTCTATTATCGAGTGACTGACATGCCTGATACACCACGTATAAGTAAATACTCATCCTATAATAGATATTTCTTTCTTTTGTATCTCGATATTGATAATTTTCGTTCTGAACTTATACAGTACACATCTCTACTACTCTATTGAATGGTTGAATTAATAAGTATGAGTCTAATCATGTGATTAAGCTAACGGTAACAAAATAGCAAATGTCTCCAAAGATTTATATCGACTTTATATCGCCAATTATTGTTATCTGGATTTTAGAAACAAAAAAAGTTAATAAACAAACCTGAGTTTGTTCCCTTGTTGTTAGACAGTCCGTACAACAATATTTCACTGAGTGGTGATCATTTGGATCACGTAATGATAGCCAGTCTAATTTCACTCTGTATAAAGGTAGTATAAATGATAAATCTAAGTTAAGAAATAACTGCAAACAATTAATTTACATACCAATTAAAAAATTAAGTTTCAATTTTTATTCACTAAAAGGATCAAGAAACTACGAAATCTAAGTGAAGTAGGATTTCCTATCAGTAAGGCAGTCAATCGAGAACCTGTCACATAAAGTGCATTAGATCAAGTTATCACAACAAATTGGCACATTGTGACGAAAATATGACGGAGGCCTATGGTTTGGATGCGATTGAGAGTAGATTCATCCTGCGATATTTGTTACAAAAACGACGTGAATCCCTTTTAAGGATAGAGACAACCATCGACTCATTCCACGAATTCGGAACACTCTCTATTTGCCAGACCTTTGTAAACAACTCAATCAGTTCCGTAACCAGAAAGTCGCCACTATCTTTAAGAAAAGCCGGATGTAAGTCATATGGGACTGGTGATTTGTGGAGCTTCAGGAGTTGGAGTTCCTTGAGGACTTCTGCTTCTTAAGGTGGATCAGCCGTCAAAGGTCATGGAGGGTGAGACAGTCTGATCGATTTCGCCGGGGTAGCAGACAAGTTGAACTAGTAAGGTACATTAATACCATAAAAATGTACATTTTTCCATACTTAGCATCCTAGATTAATGATTTAGATTATTTACAATATGTTAGCGAATCGGTTGATGAAATAGTGGATGTTTCGTGTATATACACATTTATTTAGAATGACTTTAATTTTTGTAATATCTATAATTCATTCATATGTGCGTATATATTATTGATACGTTGGAATAAGGAGTTTAAGCGTTTTCTGAATTGATGTAACATTTTATGACATAAGTTCTATTCGTAATACAACATTTTGATAACCACTTTATTCTCAATGTTACATTTTGATCAGGACAACAATGGTTATATGTTCTTCTGTGTAATACTACTTTAGATCAATATATTTTGTATTAGCTAAGTGTAAATTTCATTGAGTATGAAAGATGTGATCCTCTCGTTAAATGTGACAATTGTACTCTATGCACAATTTTTGTATGAACTTGCAAATGTGTATATTTTCATTGATGTGATGTTTATTGAAATGATCATCATCATCATCATCATCATGTGTGTGTGTGTATGTGTAAAATCAGTATATAAATGAATGTATTTAATTCAACAGCGATGTGGGTTTGTACGACTTGTTTTGAAAGAATCAATAAAACTTCCATTTATACCAGTCCTTTACTTTTACTATTCATTGCAAGAATTACATTGATTCCAGTTTTCAAGTATAAGCAATGGGATTGGAAATATAACAGAACCATCAAACATACATAACAGAGGTGACATCAGACTATAATGAGATAAGTATATTGAACTAAATACCAGATTAGAACAAATAAACACAGACTTACGTCATTTCTAAATGTGGTATATGAAATAATCGACATATTCCATCATATTTTGATGCAGTTTGATAGACCAAATCTAAATCACCATCAATTCTTATAACTCCTATGAAATACCATTGGATGTATAAACAAATTTATAAAAATCAAAGGAAAAACATTATCTAATGTATAACTTTATAGTTGTAAAGAACCAACGATTTTAGATAAAAAAGATAACGGTCGCGTTTTGAACACGTTATTGAATAATACAAAAGTATGGTATAAAAAAGGTGATCAAATATTTTGTGCTGATTAGTTCAATAACAGAACAAGTTGTTTTTCCGACAATTTCGGCATAACTAATCTATACCATCGATATTGAGCTATCTTAAGAGCCCTTGAGACCAGCCAATCAGAATGTAGCTTTTGTAAGGGAATGATGCATTACGAAAAGATGGTGACATTGCAAAGAATATAACTTTGACATAATATTTTAACTTTATTGTCCTAAGCCTAACACTCATACCTATAATAATTCTGTCCTTGATACTCTTAAAATACTTATTTTTGAACTGTCTGGTTTTCTGAACATCACACACCATGACAATATATATATATAAAAGATGCTTTAGTTGACAGCATTCTGCAATTGATCTACGATCGTTATCACCAAACAAATTAGCAAAAATATGAAATCCCATAAAAAAGAGATGGTATTTGGTAGCAGGTTATCTGTTATTGTGTTTTAAAAAGTGTACATAAATTCAACTATTGTTATCTCCATTCCGATTAGTCGACTCCAAGGGCATTTTAAGACCATCATGATCGTCTAGTTAGTTCTATCGAACTTTTTTAAGTTATCGACCACTGAAGTAAAATACTGATTACTACTTCAATCACTATTCGGTTCTCAATCATTTATGATGAATAAAAAACATAAATAATTTTAAAATAGAATACATATTTAAATAATACACAATTAAACATTATACCATTTTCCCAATGCACAACAGTACGATTCCATTGCCATGTGAAAAATTCCGTTGTATTATATGGACTTAAACTTGTTGAATATGACCAATGCATTGTATCAACAGCAAATAACAAATGACCATGAAATAGTAAACGTATTTTATCCCACCAACCTAATGGTGGATAAGATTTGTCTTTTGTTAATGGTTTAATATCATCTAAACGTTGATTAAACCATGATACAGTTGGTTCCCAATTAGCACCATAACATATATGAAAAGATTTTACATCTGTTAGGAAAGATAGGAAAATGTTAAAGCAATATATATATATATATATATATATATATATATATATATATATTTCACAATAAATCACGAGCTAATCTGAGATAGACAACCACTGAAAACCCAGAAGTACAGAACAGCTATTTTGGCCTTAGTATGGGACCACTCAGCAGTTCACATTCATGACCTTCATCCGGAAATCGAACCCGAGACCTTCAGTCTTACTCGCAAACGCTTAACCTCTAGGTTATGAAACTGGAGCGCAACGGTGTTAATGTTCAACTTTAATGGATTCAGGATACTGCTCAACCATTTTCGATTGTCATGGATGTGCACTATGACCAGTCGCATATCAGGAAGAAATGGCTGTCCAATGCTTCTTTCTAAGTTTCCAACGGTAGTTTAGATAAGATTAATTCATAATTTAAATACTGTGAGAATTATATGATCTCTACAAAACCCTATACTAATATAAATGTACATATTGAAGCATTGCAGCTCAGGTGTTATTAAGTTATCCCAAGTAAATACAATTTATTTTTCAGTTACTCACTGCCATTCTAAGTATATCAAAAACTATACATTCGATGAAGAACGAGCGTTGGGAAATAAAGTTTTTACTGTGGAAGATTGATATATATAACCCATAAAATATCAATCTATTTCTTAGCCGATGAAATGCACTTGTCCTTCATGTCACTTCAGATTGCTATAAACTGACCTTCTGACTTGGCTACTTCTGATCGGCTTACCGTGTCAGTTTCACATAAGGTCAAATTCAAAACTTTCGAGAATCATGAAAATCACATGACTTATTAAATAATGGAGTTGTGGACTTATAACTGATAATTCAGCTTTAACAAATACAACCATTATGAACTACGATACGCAGGTATCACAATCATTATGAGATATGAAGTAGTTGTATTGCATATCATAGTAATTATACAAAGATCGAATAATTCTGAACAAAAAACAAAAAAGGATAAAACTTTTTAATGGTCCGTTCTGGTTTTTACTGATTCAATACTCTTCAGATAATCTAACCATTTGTAACTAACTTCCAAACATTATTTTTAATTAAAAGAAAACAACCAATTTAATTCTTGACAAACGGTTATTTACCTGCATTTAAATCATAATAGAATTTAGTTGGTGAACTGGATCGAATCAGTGTATAATTTGGCCACGGATAACCAGGTTCAATGGGAACTTTACGCTGACCTGTAAAGCAATGAAAACCAATCAAAAGAGGAAATAATTGACAAGATTTCGTTCTAGCTGACACATGATATCAGTAAGGTGTAAAACTGTAATTTTCAGGAAACTGATCCTGCCTGTACCAGCATCTCAGAATATGGAACTAAATGACGCGAGATTGATTCCTACAGGGTTGTACATAAGAAAGTTATTAGTTGAGATAGGTGGGGCATAGTCTATCCAACAAATACATGAAATACGTCCATCACCTTAAACCAGTTTGACTTTGGTAGGTTTTCTTGATTCAGAAGGTCACACATGAAAGTTTTAGTTCTTCTATGAGTATATTTTACTGATTAGGAAGTAGACAACAACATGTTAACATATTCAGCAGTAACTTTATGCCGGTCATTGAGTCGTGATTCAGTCATCAAGCCAGATTATCCTTGGCAGGATACTTTGATATTTGAAATCCATTGTGGTCATCATGAGGGTAGCACTTTGATAATACAAGCACGAAAAATGTGACAAGACGAAACAAGTGTAGAAACTAGTTTTTAACAAACTCCAAGGATGTTATTTGGACAAAAGAAGCATAATCAAAAATGAGTATTACGACGATGATAATAATAATCTTGATTTACTGTGAATTTCGTAAAACAGTTTTCGATGACCGTAAGTTCATCTCATTTGATTGAACAGACAATGTAAAATAATATGTCTAGACATTTACTGTCCTGACGCTAAATGTTAGCCAAAATAGCTGTTTGCTGAAAGTAAAGAACCTGAACTATCATGACATTCGTAAGACATGTCCAAGCCACAAAAGTCGATGTTTCAAGATAGTGATACCAACTGAATCATCACCGCTGTGTCCGAACACACAGTACCAAACCTCTGCATTTCTAACATAGTGTCGCCACTGAACATCAGTAACACCTCGAGACGACGATGATCTAACACAAAAGGCCATCTAACATCCTCAACCCGGAGAGCCCAGGTCCGGAAAGTATACAGCAAAACCGCTCTCACCTACGCGTTGTATTTCCGACATTTTACAAACACGCTAACATCATAAAGGCGCAAAAGATGACCAAGATCGAAATAAGCCTCTTTGACTTTTATTATATGTAAATTGGCCTTATCAATCAGAGTCATTTTCAATGGCGTCTACGACTAACCGACTGAATTGATTAAATTTATTTACACAAACACAAATAAAATAACAAAAGCACCACTCACCTTTACTATCAGCCAACTGTTCAGATACAACTAATTTACCCCATAGAAAAAGATCGGTTATATTCAAACATGGTTTAGGATAATCACGTAGATGAAAGCGCCATCGTTCAACATTCATTGTAATAATACGACACCATAAAGTAGAAAAATCTTGTTCAGTAAGATTTGGCCATGGACTTACAAACGAAGACAGAAGAGGGTCAGGGCAAGGAGAAAAATAAATTGTTTAAGTCAGAATACGAATAGATAATTTGAATTTAAAAGAACCTAAGTATACATATCTTGCGTTCGCACACATACTACACTTCAAAGTTGGTCTACAGAATATGAAAGAACTGAAAACGCGTACTGGTTACTAGAGAATCCCGACTATTTATCTTATCATGTTGTATTGAGCCAAGACTAATGTGTTAAAGAAATAGTAAGTTTTTATGTATCATTTTAATGTTCAATGAGTATATCACTCAAACTAATGATTAACCTGAAAATATCTTTTTCTCCTTTCTACTCATTATTTCCATATTCTGAAAGTTTTTTTTCAGAATTTCAGGAACAAAATTAGTAGCTTAACTTTCCAACTATTCAATATGCCGCGTGATAATTTTACGACCTAGCATTACCATTTATATTTTATTTCCACTCTTTATGCACAAACCTATACTACCCAATGATATCCATTAACTTGTATAACTATGACTTATCGAAACGACTTTATATATATATATATATATATATATATATATATATATATATATATTAACCTACCTGTCACTATCCATAATTTTCATTTGTGCTATGACTTGTTCACCATGTGTAATACTTTCATCAGCTAATGCTTTGATTTTTAGATTATCCATAGTAAATGTGAATAATTCATCGGAAAAAGCATAATCACGATAGAAACGATGTAAACGATTACGATAATCTTGAGCACGCTGTATTTCTATACGAGTGAAACATGCTTGACGTTCTTCATCTGTTTTGTTTTATTGAATGGAAAACACAACAATGACATCAAAATGGGATATGAGTTTTATAGTTCATTATACGGACTGATCTTATAACTTATTTATACAGCCATTGAAAATTAGTAAGTACTTGATAGCCATTTCGTTTTATTATAGAGTTTGCCAGAAGTGTACATCCGAGAACGTATCAGTGATTGAACATAGGAAAATCAAGGTTGCGCAGATTTTTCCACAGGTCTTAACGCAGCTCTCGGACAGCATCATTACACACTGCCAGTCCCTGCGGATTTGTTCACAATGATAAATGGAGGGAAGTTCTTTGCAAAGCTGGATCTAGCTGATGCCTATCTACAAGTGGAAGTAGATGAAGATTCAAGAGAGTTACTTACCATAAATACTCATCGTGGCCTGTTTCAGTACAATCGCCTACCATTTGGTGTTAAGACAGCTCCATCTATTTTTCAGCAACTAATGGATACCACTCTATCGAGTATCCCAGGGGTCGCGACTCATTTCGACATCTTAATTGTTGCTACATCGTTAGAACAGCTTGAAGAACGCACGATAGCTGTACTACGACGCGTCAGCGATAACGGATTCCGATTACATCCAGAAGAATGCCAGCTATTAAACTGATGCCGATTCCTAATCATATTTTTGAGCTATGATCATTCTTGGGATTAATTAGCTACTACTCAGCTTTTGTTCCGTCCATGCGTGATATACGCGCCCTACTAAATCATCTTTTGAATAAGAGTACTATTTGGAACTGGACAAAAGTGTGACGCTGCATTTTGCAAGCTGAAAACTATAATTAGCTCTGAACTATTATTGACGCACTACGACCCATCCATGCCAATTATTATGGCTGCAGATGCTTCAGCTTTCGGACTCGATGTTGTCATCTCACATCAGTTCCCGGACGCAACAGAGAAAGCTATTATGCACGCATCTCGCACATTAACTCCAGAGGAAAGAAAGTACAGTCAAATAGAGAAAGAGGCTCTCGCCCTTGTGTTTGCAGTACGCCGTTTTCACAAATTCTTGTACGGTAGAGGATTTACTTTTCTCACTGATCACAAGCCTCTTCTCACAATTTTCGGATCGAAATCTGGTGTTCCAGTCCACTATGAAAACAGTTTCCAGAGATGGGCTTTGATACTTTTGAGTTATGATTTTGACATTCAGTACCGGCGCACCCAACAGTTTGGTCAGGCAGACACCCTGTCACGACTCGTCAGCGAACACCATACAGCCGACAAAGATACAGTTATTGCCTCCCTAATGACAGAGGACCACGTACAATATTACCTGACATCTGCTGTTCGTGCTTTGCCCGTTCCAGCAGCTGAAATACAATCTACCTCCAGGAACGACTCCATCATTAAGAGGGCGATGAAATACGTCACCAACGCCTGGCCGTCAACTGGACTCGATGGTGACTTGAATCAGCTTTACCACCGTCGAGACTCATTATGCGTCATGAATGAGTGCTTGATGTTTGGAGATAGAGTAGTGGTGCCAGAGTCCCTAAGATCAAGAGTGCTAAAGCTGTTCCACACTGGTCAACCTGGTATAAAACTAATGAAACCCATCGCCAGAAGCTATGCTTATTGGCCCCTCATGGACCAACACATCATGGATTTAGTAGGCAAACGCTCGCAATGTCAGCAAGCAGCGAAATGTAATGCGAAAGTGACGCCGGTCCCGCGGCCACGGCCTGGGTATCCCTAGTTCAGAACACATGTCGATTTCGCCGGCCCAATCAATGGGACTACCTATCTAGTCATGGTTAACCCCTTTTCAAAATGGCCAGAAATTGTCCCCATTATGCCACGGAGGACTACCAAAACGATACAACTCTTGTCGGAGATGTTCTCTCGCAATGGGCTACCGGATGTAATTGTATCAGATAACGGTTTTCAGTTCACCTCAACGCAGTTCCAAGATTTCTGCCAACGGTTATCCATCAAGCATCTCCGCTTCCCACCCTACCACCCACAATCAAAAGGCCAAGCAGAGAGATTTGTGGGTACATTTAAGAGAGCTCTAATCAAATTGAAAGGGGAGGGGACGCCAGTGGAAACGCTATAAAATTTCTTATTCGTTTACAGAAAGATACCTAGTGATGTATTACCCGAGCGGAAGTCCCCAGCAGAAATCCTCACGGGAAGAAAATTGAGGTCGGTTCACAATATGATGCTTCCGAAAACCACACCATCGCCATCACCAACAAAGTCCCAGAAGCTGCCAACATACGAGTTTAAATTTCCGGTTTTCGCTCGGGACCACAGACCAAATCATGGTCCCTGGACTGAAGCACATGTGGTCGGAAAATTAGGTCATGTCATGTACGAAGTAGAGGTAGGAAGAGACAGGTGGACTCGACATCAGAACCAGCTATGCAAGCGGTTATCCCCAGTTTGCCCATCGACAGAAGGGAATCTCCCTCTTGACATCCAATTAGATACCTTTAGTCTACCCGCAGTCCTGACACAGGAAGAAGCAGATCGACAGGTCGATCTACGACCCAGAAGGTGGTCAATCCGAAAACAGCGACAAACAGTTAAAATGCAAATGGACCCCAGAAACGTACGTTATTAAAAGGGGGAGATGTTGGAGATGTTAGATCCCCAGAACTCACTTGATAAATGCCTTAATTTTATAATTTTATTTTGGAAATTTAAATTTCCTTGTTTTCGCTCCAAAAGAGAACTTTTCACCTTCATGTCGTATTTTCCACTTGAGAGAATCTTCAACGCTATTCGTCTGTTGTGTATTTTTAGTATGCTATTTTTGCTACGCTTCCTAAGGACAGTTTTATGCTGTATATATACGTTTGATTTGTGTCTGTTATTATCCACTCATACTTCTGGCTTATGGAATATACTTTCCCGTTCCATGCTTGGACTTCTTCCTCTAGTTAGCGGGCTGGGACGCATCAGAATATCTAGCTTACTGGTCTTCGGTCACAAGTCTTTGTTCCGTTCGCATACTAAGTGGACTCGTAATAGCTTCAAACGTAGCAAAGGTGCTGTGGAGAGAAACGACAATTTGATGTGTTCAACTTAGAGTCAAATAATTCTTGAGGAACTGATGTTCCCCACAGAATTCAAACCTATTTCACTGTCAGAAACGTTATTGATAAGCTATTTAAGCTTAAACGGACACAGTTTTTAGTGCTGATCGACTCCTATGTTTTAAGTTTTAATATTATCAATAAACTGAGTGGTTTATCATCGCGATGAACACGATGTGATATTAAATGAACGAAAGTGGACTTTTGAAAACACAAGTGTCGAGTAATTTAGGACTTATGTATTTTTCTGTACATTTTTGACAATAGCTTTAGTAAACAATTTTCCTGCCTTCTTCGGTCTTTTCAATTCGCGTCTGTGTATTCAAAGTGTTCGAGTGTCGAAGTTGAATCCCCTATTAACCGTAATCAATTAGCGAACTTAACATTCAACTCATCTTAAATGTTCATTACAGTTGTGTATCTTTTGTTTTATTTCGTGAACTCAAGCCATACATATTGAAATACAGCACAACAAGTAAATCCAAGACCTAATACAATGTTTATATACTACGTGAAATTTGTAATACATTTTCAATAACTCCTGAAACAACCTAACCCGAACCTTCGTGAAGATAAAACGTAATGAGAAGTAATTCCTACCCCAAAAGATGAAGAAAAGAAAAAGTCATTGATACTTTTCTGATGTCTTTTAGGGGTGGAGATGAAGGTAACTAACCAAGAAGCGAGTGCATTAGTGACTAAACGGTAAACGGACAGTTAGAAAAATCAGAAATGTCGGACATGAAAAATGATTATTTTTGGGTTGATACTTGTAGTGTTGATTATAAGTAACTGATTTTTGTCGGAGATAGTAGTATTCTTATCATACATAGATCGATAGACGAACATAAAAATGAGAAAAAAAAGGGAAAAGAATAACATATTCTTTAAAAAAACCACCACTAACCGGTAACACGTATGCCTGAATGGATCGCTCTGTTAAACTGTTCACGTAATGTATTTACACGTTTCTCGTGAATAGCGAATTCATCCAACAAAATCTACAGTAAGGGGAAAAAATTACAAGAGAAAGTTCAAAAAAAAAATACAAAGGACATGCATCAAACTTCTGGCACCGAAACAGTATGCCGACAACATCCCATAATTCTATAAGTTAATCAAATAGACTTATGCTGAAAGAAAGGCTTAGATCAATTAATGTACTCAGTGGTTAATTGTCGTTGAAAATTCAGAGTGTAAAATTCAATGAAAGCGAAACGGCATGTAAGAGATTGTATCACGTCACCTTGTGTTTATGAGTTTACATATGTGTGTGACCATGCATAAAAAATAGAAGTAGTCGTAATAAATATGTCAGGGTCTCTGAACATGTACCAAAATGGCTATAGAAATAAATCAAATGACTCAATCAAAGCAAACGACAAACATCTATCGTTAAACACATAGTTGAAACAATTCATAAGATTGATCTGAAATCGACCTTCGTGTCTTTGAACAGAAGTTGTCTAAGACAAGTATTCCGATACATAAACAATAGTTCAACTGGTTTCACAAACTCGAAAGACCTACCTAGAGATAGAGCAACATCGTGGCTTGAGGTACTATCAGATGTATCTCAGAAAGAATTTACTGGCGGGCCTGTTGTAATTTCCTTCTACTTTCTTCATAAAGTGAGAGAAACATCTTTCACTGAAATTGATAAGTCTTGTCGATCGAACGGTATATCCGTTTTCCTAAGCTATTCCGATAACCCACAGACTAGAACTACACAGCGACTTGAACACCAGAGAGAAGACGCAAGTATGAGAGAAAATACTTTATCCCAAGGTTCATTTTTGTACAGAAAATCATGGGTATTTATAGATGTTGGCGTCTGTTAAATCAACATCATATTTCAGCCAATCCGTTAACGACATATTATGCTACCGACCAATAGTAGCACGCCAAGTTGGAATTCTAGAATGTTCCATCATACTCTGACTCGCTAGGACTCTTCGGCTCCTTTTGGGCCTCTGGAGGCTCCGTTGAAGTTCTCTGGAAACCGACTCAACAGAAATAATCCTTCTTCGTTGTACTTTTCTTAATTGAACTGCTTCTCTTGCTACTATATTTATTACTTTCACTTCCATACAGTAATTTCTATTCAGTTATGTTCTGTTTTTCATTGAAGTTATCTTCTTTTCTTGAATCTTTTCACAATCTCATTTTATTATTGTGTGTTGCAAAGATATTTTGGTGTCCATTTTACTAATATTTATGTATTTGAATAAATAAAATGAATATGGATTATATACCTAAAATTATTTGTTAAAACTTACAGTATGAATATCGTTTAATTTACATTCGAATGGATCATCTTTAATTTCAATAATGAATTTCTATTTAGAAATAGAAAACAAATGAAATGAAACAAAACAAAACTGTAAGTATTATTGGGCTAAGCGGTTTAAAGTTGATAGTTTTTAAAATAAATTAATAGTAAATAAATAAATAAACATTGAACAGAATGTTAGTATTTAAGCGTAACAAGACATTAGTGATAGGCCACAATAAGTATAGAATCCGAATTTCTGACGTTTTGTAACTCAATGTAAATGGCTTCATCAAAGTCACTAAGTTAATCAAATAAACACAAGTCTAAACAGTATTGTAGTACTTAATACTTCACAACTACGTGGAGTATTCTAACTTTTGGACAGACCCTATCAGTTATTCGCTTTTGTTTTTCTATGAACGTAAATATATATGTGTGTTCATCATATAATCTCGTCGACAAATATCTTGTTTTCCTGTTTGATTATAAATATGGAAGCGTTTTATAGAATCTATTTGACACATCTGCTTTCTCTACTTTTCATCTTATAGTGTGTCTGAGTAAATAATTGTCCGAAATAAACCCATCCAACTTAATTTGAACCTGGCTTTTATTACCGCCGTTACCCAAATGGGGTTGGTCTAAGTAAAATTCCAGCGAAAGTCAATACACTGTCACAGTATACAAGAACAAGGGAGAAGTTTTACTTCAGTACAAAAGTCAATGCCATGTCGTTTTAAGTCAAAGTGAGTGAGTGCGAAATATTACTCTGTGTGTTTGTGTGTATGTTACTTGATGTGTGAAGTGTAAAATTTGTAGAGTCGACGTTTCTATGTGTATGTCGATGGTGTGATAGATACATCGAGTAAAATGTAGTTGTTTGGATAAACAGTCCGAATCCGAACTGGACTTTGACTCAATAGTCCAAAAGAACTCTTCTTCAGACCCGAAGATTACAGGTTCAACCCTCGGTGCATAGTATTGCGGAACAACTCTGATGATTCTCATAATTCGCGATTGTCTAACTAACATCAAACCATACTGTAAACTATGAACTTCTTCAATCACCTTTCAAATACAGTATATCACACACCTTAATATAAATAATCAAAATTCTCCCTAAAAATGGTGTATATTAAGCATTTTCTGGAGGATAACATCTTTATTCACAATCTTAAGACATTTACCTGATTCTATATATATGGTCAGATTTATTGAAATATTTTGAATAACTTGGTTTACAGACATTAAAATAGAAAAGGTTCGTTATCAAAGAATGCAAAAATACCCATGAAAAAAAACTGCAGTTGAAAACGACATTTGCATATCTATTGACATACTTTGATATGAATAATCCTATCCTGTTTAATATATGATGTTGACGGTTGTATAAAATCTTTTCGAGCAGTTGACGATGAAGATATTTCAAACTTCGATGGTGATGATTGTATAAATGTTGGCGAAGATTGATCAAAATGTAATCGTTTACATGAAAATATGTAATATTACCAGAGTGTAGTTTAAGTAAGAATTTTCTGACACATGACGCCTAAGATATAAATTAGAGGAAATAATCCTAATAAAAGTTAATTACAATTAATAACTAACAACCATATTAGTAAGGAAACATAAATTAATCTAGGTGTTTATTACTTAACAGTAGTTTTGATGTGTTAAGAAATCTTTTTGAGAAAAATTTCCCTAATAAATTTAGGCTGTTTATATGATTGACTACTTTCGCTTTTAACTCGAAAGTTTCTCAATGTTGTTTAAGATGTGTAATAAATTAACAGTAACTTAGGAAAGATACAAGATATAATAAAAGTTTATGCAACATGAAGTGTGAGAATACAAAAATACAATCATTCAAGTGTTTAATGATTAAAAAACAAAGATATCAATTATGACTTCAAGTAGGAGACAATTCTGTAATTCCAACTTTACTAATACTATCTGTAAGCGTTAAACAAGTTTACAATATATTTCGTCTCTAAAATAACATACTGAAGAATGTGAACACGTTGATAGTAGAACATTTTCAGAAGGAACCAGGCATAAATGTGAAATTATCATATGAGTGTTTTGATAAGCAGGGATAATAATAACAATAATGATAATAATGGTGATAACTACAGATAGCAACTAAAGTTGATTAATGCTTCTGACTATTCATTGCGTTTGTATCATTTTAACGCATCAAATGGGTACAAAGTAAAGATAACTATGAAATAAACTAACTTCTGAATAACGATGAAACCGAGAAATACTTGATGAAATAATTAATACTGCGTAATCAATGTATCCATTCACAACGATAATAATAATGTTGCAGTTGGGTATTAGCTAGCAATGAAATGAAGGATGTGCATTCTATCGTATTTGAGACTCGTAGGTTGGATGCATCTGCATTCTGATGTGAGATATTCACACAGAGATTCGAATCCAGTACCTTTCGCTTCAAATATCAATGGGTTATCCATTAAGATATAGAGTACCGTTAGCCAGTAGCCTAGTGGGTAATTTGTTGGCATGCGAAACAAACAGTACATAGGTTTCACGATCTGTCTAAACATTAACACTGCCGTATGAAAGCACATCTACCTAAGGAGACACAAATAGGAGTCCACTTCTAACCATGATCTAATTTTAATAAAAATGATTATGACTACTTAGGTCTGTTATGGCTAATAGGGTTTCGAACCAAAGTTCTTCGATTAAGCCTGTTCAACTTACAAGTGTTACTCCTTTTTTGGTGTCTCCCTCTAATTTTCGATGCAATGTATTCTTTGGATTGCCACTTTTTACCTCGTAGACCTCGTGGTTTTGAGGGAGTTTGGTGATTTTCTCAATGTATGTCCGATCCATTTTCAGTGTTCTATTCCTAATTTCCACTTCATCTGGAAGCTGGTTTGTTCTGACACAACAGGTTGTTGCTAATTGTATACAGACAACAGATCTGAAGTTTCTTGCATAGATAACCATTTATAGATTTCTATACCTTTTCGATGATGGTTGTAGTAGTTCTCAAATTTTCAACTACGTACAATAAAACTACTTTGACGTTAGAGTTGAAAACTAACTTTGACTTTGTGTGATAGTGTCAGTTATTCTTCAATTGTGGGAATGTTAACTTTACTTTGCACAGATTCCCTTGGGAGGTACATATATTAACGGAAAATGACCGATCACAGTACTTTCTAATCAACAATAGTGAAATATAAAACTTTACAAATAGTAATTATTATTATAAACGTATCCAAATAAACTTCGCAATCCAAGCAAATCAATAAGCCAACCAACCTCTTGATAAATATCACGAAATATATATCGATATGGAAATGTAACGTAAAATAGATCCATATAAAATTCCCTGTGCAAAAAAAGGAAATGAAAGAAAATAATGAGGAAGTTTTTTTTGAAAAAGTGCTTTGTTTCCAAAAGTTAATTAAAATAATCGCAAGTAATATAATTTGAAAATGAAAAAAAAAAGACTAAGAGAAGTTAAAATTTGTAGGAAATTAAGATTAACCAGGGAATATTCGAGGAGAACCGAACAGATTTTTTTTATCCCAGCACAAGACTTCTCAGAATCGAGAACACAAACATAAAATAGCTGTTGTTGATGATCCACCAATCCAAGCACGAAAATTTCATGCAAAAGAGATACATTCAATCGCTCATCGTTTCTTGACCCTAGTTCTCTTCTCAAGTACGTTTTGGTTTTATTTTTGTTTCTTTCAATTATTACTTTTTAAGCCGTAATCATTTATTATTAGTCTCTGTCAATTTTTCATACTGATAATTCAGTTGCTGTTACTACATTTATTTTTTCTTCATTTTTTGTTAGGTATACAATTGTCCGTCTTATACTTTTGACCCGTAAATTATTTTCATTCTCCTAATCTACTCTAAACACTTGATCATTACACAATCTTTTTCGATATTTGAAATTTCGGATCACTTTAAAGAATGATCTGTTCTACCGTCCTATAAACCTTAATATTTACCAAACAACTATAAATACGAATGTGACAGCATAACAATCTCTTATTTTGATTATCTTACAATGTTATTTAAACTTCCAATATGGGGTTATAAAGATTATTGAACTGAGATCAGTTAGTGTATTCAATGCAATTTTATTCAACCTATGAACTTATTCAAAGTCGTTCAAAATTATTAACAGATAAACATTGACGAAGTTATTGTGTTTAAACAAGGTAATCGCTATCATAGAACAGACACCAGATTAATGAATTCTAAAAGACAATGTTGTCACTTTTGCTTTACGACGGTGACATGTTACCGAATTTTAAAAGGAGTTATTTTTTTTTAATTTAAGAAACGTCATGAGATTTACATGAGTTTTACTCATTTTTTTTAAATTTGGGATTAATTCTTTTATTTCCAATACGGGGTAGTGGAAATTGTTGGGTTTCACTAAAATCATGAGCCGATCAAAGTTAGGCCACCATTGAAAATCTAAAAGCACTGGACGCTCGTTTTGTCTTAGTATGAGCAAACACTTAAGCTCCAGAGGCGAGAACGAAGATTTTGGGTTCCACTCCCGCGTGCAAGATCGTCCATGAGTACTGCTGAGAAGTTTCATAATAGAACAAAACCTCTACCCAGTCCTTCCATTATTCCTTTTCGTCATTATTGTTATGACGCGAATTTGAATATCAATCTTTTCTATTAGGATTTTCATATTATTTATCACATAAGTATCCTACCATTTAAACAGTTTTTATGATGATTATTTCATATTTATTACCATTTTATCAATCCTTAATGAAGAGAACATTTCTGATTTAATCGTTAGTGTGCATACTGATTTTTAATGATTATTGTGACGTTGTATGGAGTTGGTGAGAAACCATTGGAAATAAAAGGAATTCAAATTATTCTGCTACGTTTGTTGCTTTGTTGCTAGATTTAAACTTATTTAACTTACTAACAATGAACACTTAGTCATTTTAAATTACTAACAATTTCGCCATTTTACAAACAAATCTAAATGCACATAGGCCATAACTTTAAACGATGTATTTTGCTTTTGTATATATATGAGAGAAAGAGGGGAACTTACCAAGAAGGATTGGCTCGAGTAAGTAAACCCATTTTTAAATGTTCTGTACGATGTTGAATATTTTCTGGTCTTTGACGTATTTTTAAATTCTAAACAGAAGAGTATCAAATGAAGTTGATAAGTATTGGATGATAAAAATTTACGTAAATGTTTTTTTGTTTGTAACCTTCCAATTAAATTATTCGCGATTGAATAATTAGGTTTCATAAAAAGGTTTCGACACAGTAAATACAATTGAATAGTAAGTAGATACATCGGTTATCACAGAAACAGTGTATTTCAATATAGAGTTTATATAAATCTATATTGGGTGAAATAAGTTACATTATTATTCAAGTTTTAAAAAAAAAATTTTCAAATCCTGTCTAAGAATTAGGCACAATGAATTGAATAGCAGAAAAACTTTCCAGTTGAAATTTGACTTAGCCATTATTCATTAGTAAGATATATCTATCATCTTGAGGAAACTTATACAGTTTGTAAGGTTTGAACCCGGGTGAATTAACTTTACAACAGTTTGAAAAATTATCGATGACCAGCATCAACTATTATAATTTACTATTAGATGGTAATAGCTTTTATTTAAGTGATAATTATATTGTATTGTAAAGGTTGTAAAAGTTGAAATTAATTTTCGAATTATTGTTAACCATACTATAGTTATGTAATTACTAAGTAACTGGATTATTATCTCTATGTATTCTCTTTATTATAAGCTTCTAGTTAACACACTAAGCCTTGGTAGATGACTTGTCATTAATTTGTTGCCAGCTAATAATTGACAGTCTCCCGAAGCCTAGAAACCATTTCTTTTGTTAATATGTCATCGTGATTTTTTATTTTATGATATGATGAGGTCCATTATGTGTTGCATATAAACCGACGTATGTTTGGAACATAGTAATAATATGTAGAGAAAGTTTGTGCAGTCAAACATTTTAGTGAAAATTATTTACCTGAAATACAGCGATTGTTTGATCTTCACACATAATCACTGCATGCTCACAATTCACTTTCAATCGACTAGAAACAATACAACCGATATCATTTTTATTGTTATCATCATCCATATTAGTATTATTCGTTAACAAAACTTCTCTGTTTTTGCTGCCATTACTACTGCTAATGTTACTGTCAGTAGTAGTTATTGTCTTTGAATTATATTGAAATGAGGTATTTTTTACACGTACTATGATAAAATGTTTACTTGTTAATAGTTTAAAATGGAATTGAAAGTATGACTGAATTGGTTTTATGCTGAAATGCCAACCATTACTACTATTTAGTTCAATAGTATTAGTAGCAGTAGTATTGTTGATTGTAGGGACTAACAATTGACCACTTGTATTTGATGAATTATTGAATGACTAGAATATAATAAAGAAAACAAGAAATAAACAGTTAAGGATATATATATAAGGGCCGTTTAGAGAAATCGTCAGAGGATGATTATCACCGATAGAGGTGGGTGAGTAGTTCGATGAAAAGGCCATTATTACAAAGAAAAAAGCAAAAGATTTTCAACTTAAATATCGGCATAGGCCACTGAATAATAGGGTTAAACTTCACCCATATTTTTACCAGTATTAACAATTGTAAGTGGCAATGTCCACAACATTCATATTAGTGTATTATAACCGGAAATCAATTGGGTTGCGGTATAATAAATAGTAGTACTGATTTTAAATTTATCATTGCTGGATGAGATTCGAATTTCGAAATACTGCAGTAAAGAGATATAAAAAACAAAATGTGTTTAACTAAAGATTCGATCACAATTAGTCAATGCCGGTCATACAGTCGGTAGAAACAAATTGATTGTAGTGATTTACAATATGCCTACTACTTTTACTTAAGGGGATCGATCTTATCTCCCAAATATTGTAAAAGCTATAAGGATTAGAGCTAACAAACCAAGTCTTTGCACTTGTAAGAAATTCGCAACACCAATCTCGCTTCCTTGATCGGACTAAGCTTTGCAAACAAATTTAATGATTATTTTTATTCTCTTTTTCGTTTCTTTTTCTTTTTCTCTTTATCAAATATAGTTTTCACTGTGTACTAATTTGAAGTATCTTCCTATTATGCAATTTTTATGATTTTTGATGAATGTTATATCAATGTGTCCTTTTCCAAGTTTTTGGTCGACTTCATGTTATGAGACATTGACTGAAGTTTTTATTATTTTTTCTACAACCAGTAAACCTGTCAGTAAATTATCAATTTTTACTGTTTACTATGTTCTGTTATGTAATCTATTCCACTGTTGTTAATGACTCAAAAATTACTTTGATGGGTTTAATATTTTCATATATGCATATAAACACATCACTGTATATAATTGCTAAGTTTGAAGCGGTTACGAGTTCACATAGTATGCGAACGGAAACAAATACTCGGTGACCAAAAACCAATAAGCAAACTATTTGATGCGTACCAACCCCGCTAACTAGAGGAAGAAGTCCAAACTTGGAATGGGGAAGTATATTCCGCAAACATACAGAAACGAGCGATAAAAACAAGCACAAATCAAAAGGAATATACAGATCACAAAACCGTCCATGAGGAGAGTTGAAAAATAGCACACTAAAAGACACAACGAACCAATCGCACTTAAGATTCTCTCAAGTGGGAAATACGACATGAAGGTGAAAAGAGCGCCTTTGGCGCGAAAACAAAGAAATTCAAGTTTTCTAAATAAAATTACAAAATTAGGTCCTTTCCCAAGTGAGTTCTGGAAATCTAACGACCCCAACAATAATACAGTGAAGCACGGTGAGGATGTTATTGTAAACAACATTATTGATTTAAATGTATTGTTGACGTTTAACAAAACTGACTACAATGCAATCAACAAGACTTAATTGAAACACATTTAGAAACATATCTGAAGATATGAAGATAGATTGTCGTTTTTTTAATAAATTATTTTAAATTAACTTAATGCGGCATCACCTATACATCACATTACTTAGTTTAAAATGAAGAGCAACAGTTCAGCCTATAAGACGGAAAAGTCCTGAAATGAGAGCTCAACGCATACTGCGAAATCCAGATTTCTTTCAGCCACTTTAACACAAAAAATTTTCCATCTTATAAATACATCGTTAAATAAACTCTCGAAGACTATTTAATTAACAAACATACACTACATGTTAAATTTCTTCATAATTGTTGTTAAGTTCGTTTACATTCTCTCTATCTCATCAAGTCCTTTGCTGTGCATTGTTTTATGCTACTTATTAATATTCAGTAAACAGTGATATTGCTAAAAATTTCAACGCATATGTCGTGCAATATGCCAAGAAATTTACATATACCTGCTGTATTTATTATTATGATAGCTTTCTCTCAACCAGTGTAACAGTTATTTTCAACTTTGTCCAATGGTTGAATCTTTATCTAAATGCAACGGTATCCATATTTGTATACTCTTGGTTCATTTTCTGCTTGTTTATACTGTTATCAATATTAGACAGTTATCAGCTGTCCTTGACAATATCGTATGTTATGTTGTTACTATTGCAGAAAGCCTTTTTCTTTTTAGACCTACATATGCGCTAATCACCTAACGAGTTGAGATTGTAACTAATTTACACTTAATTCCCTAATAAAGAACCGCGTTTTAGACAAATTATTGTTTTATGAACTTAATCCATATCTCAATTGCGTGATTAGACGCTTCGATAGAATTGACACATACATAAACACTGAAAACCTGGAAGTACTGGACAATCGCTTCGTCCTAATATAGGACTCCCCAGAAGTGTGCATACACGACCATTCAGTCTTCGTCCTCAGAAAATTAGTAAAAAAGATTATCATCAATATATTAATCAATTAAAAACTTACTACAGTATTGAACTGTTTGAACAACTTCCTATGGAATTGTTTCCAAGAATGTAATAAATTGTAATAGCACAAATGAAATCCTAGTGACCAGATGAATTCACACGATTGATTATTTGGTGAAATTTCAATAGACTGATTAAGATGTTTTATTACAGGCACATTAATACAACAATATAGGAAAAAAATTACAATATTTGTAATTCAATCTAAGAAATAGGTTTAATAATAACGAAAGAAACTTGAATGTTCTTCACAAGAACACTGAACAAACTATGATAGAATATTGATAAGATTTGACCTATGGATAATTAACTCATAACTAGATCATATGTTACACATGGGTTATTAAATAACCGACCTTAAATTGACAACTATATTAAGTGACAAACAATAGTTGATTGACGAAAATCGTAAACAGTTCGAAACAGAGTGAACCAGAGTAGACAAAAAAGTAGTCCTGTATTGGTACTATAAATAAATACGTCTATTTTCTCACACTGGCCATAATTCACATCTTATATTTATCAAGGTTGAACGCAGATAAAAGCATCAAAATTATACTATAGAAGATAACCAAGTTTAAGATAAGCAGTTTTTCTACTGATAATCACTTTGCGTCACTGTATCAATATGAAGTTCGATAGCTAACCCTGCTACCTAAATTCGTTTAGTATAGCTATTTTACTTATGAGTAACTAGGATATCATCGGGTAGTTTTCTGCCTTGTATTTCGTTGGTTAATCGTAAACTAACTCATCACTTATATGCATAGGAGATCGTAGAATTTTCATTGCTTACATGACGAACTGATCTTAGCTAAACAATCAATGAAAACTAAGAAGGACTGGATAGCTTTTTCTTCCTAGTATGGAGTTAATCAGCAGTACCCACCCACGACCCCACCGGGGATCGAACATAAAACATTCGGATCTGGAAAGCAGTGTGAAAAGGTCAAGCACATGGTGTAGAACTTGAAGTGCTCGCGTTCGATCAGCGGTGAGATCGTAATACCGTACTATCAATAAATCTAATACTAAGAGGGAAAAGCCCGTTTAGGTTTTCAATGGTGGTCTAGCTAGACAGAGTCTGTCATATTCAATAAAAATGTTCTTTAATTTGTTGATACAGCTGTTTCTATCTACTCGACTACAAATTGAAATGGTCGTCTGTGTACTTGTCTGCATTGAACCAACTTGTTACACTTTACATATCAGTAACGAGACAGCAGATTTACGAAATAAAACAAGAAGAATACCAGTGTGGATATTCACACTGAGAAACGACATCAGTGCCCGTCGCAACCAAATATATGCCGAAAACTTATAACATCAACGTTATATCGAGGCAATGTATTCGTGGATGAACATCTTCAAAACTAAAAGTGATCAAGAGACAATGCAAACCCTTTCTAATGATAATTTCAACAATTAACATTGAAGAATTAAACACATGAAAAACAAACGTACTCGTTCGGGCAATTTAACATCAACATGAATTTCAGGTAATGACAAAACCAGATCATTTTTTATATGGCAACTAGATAGTATTGCATAACGACATGGTGATGAATTTGAGGATAATGATGCTGATGTTGACGAACAGCAAGATACGGTATCCATACCATTGTCCAGTGTCTTATTACAACTGTAAACTAATTTAGTTCCAATTATAGTGACCTGTGATAGACTGTCTAATTTCAATGGTTGATATATAGGATTAATTGAACGAAATTGTGCAATAAACGTTGGCTATCTACACGTAGCATAAGAAATGCTATATTTGAAAACAAAAACACCAAAAAATCAATGGCATATATAAGTATTAAAGGTTGATGGATGGCAATAACTAGTTTTTATGTACGTACACAACAGAAATAAAGAAAATACCAATCTTCGAAGACCGAAGTAACTGGAAGAGGAGTAAGGGCTGGGAATGTAAAATCAGCCATTTGGAAGGTAAGTACTTTTACAGTAAAAAAAATCTGCATATATAAATATATATACGGCTCTATAGAGATTACATTTTCAGTTTTTAAATCCCGAACTGATCTGAGTTAGACTATCGTGGGAAACCTGATAGCACTGAATGACCGTTTCATTATATTATGGGACTTCTCAGCAGTCCACATCCGCGAACCTAACATACCGGATCCAAACAAAAACATTCTGTCTACCACGTGGAACCTTAACCTCTAAACTAATGAGTCGGAATCCAACGGTGTTAGTGCCTCATTTCAACCAATTCATGATGTTGCGCAACTCTTCATCAATTACCTGAGGTGGATAAATGAATCACACCCAACACGATTGACCTTCATTGTTTATGGCTTTTCACAGAACTCCAAGAATTTGAAACTAGAAGCTAGTAGCTAATGAGCACATGATTGTCATCAGTATGGGGATTTGTGGATTGATGTACTTTCACAGTTGGAATTACGAGTCGATGTAAGCTAGACCACCATTGGAAACTTGAAAGCAATGGGCGCCCGTCTCATCCTAGTGTCAGACTATTCAGCACTGAGCATTCACGAACCCACATGCAGGACTCGAACCCTGGACCCTTGGTCTCGAGCGCGAACGCTCAATGTTTAAACCACTGAGACGGCATCTAACAATGCTCATGTCTAATTTCGAGCAATTCACGATATTACGCCTCCCATAGTAAAACGAAACAGCCATCCAATGCTCCCAGGTTTTCAATCATAGTTCCAAAAATTCTCTCCTTTTTTCATTAACAGATCAAAACTGAACGTTTTTGTGTGCATACCACACATTTTATTGCCCCCAAATGCCCTGGTACGGCCAAGGTATAAGAGAGTTAGCTCTCCCTAACGAAATGCTCTCACACGACCACGTCCATACAACCACTTACAAGGAAGTCCTACTCACTGCCTCCTCACATAAAGGGTGTTATTTACGCAGTCGAGAGAATGGAAAGAGAATGACGAGCGCTTTAACCGGGTTGGTAGATACGGACGTTACACCTAAGGGAGTTGGAAAACCCCGACTCCAAACCAATGGTGTACATTGGTTTCAGGATCCTGAGGGAACAAATAGCGTATGAACCAATTGTTGGTCACCGGTTATCATGGGACTGCATCTCCTGACGTTGCTCCACTGGCTTGTGGATCAGACCTTTAGGTCGAATGCTCCGAACGTGGCTCCCTATGAAAATCACCTGCGTCGGTCTGGACACCCGGGCAGTAACACATCCCACACACATATCAAATGAGATTTGTGTGGAGCATATGTATTCGATGCCCCTTTGTACCAGTATTTATGTGTTCGAATAAATAAAATATAACACAAACGTACCCTTAACTTATGTCACAAAAATACGGAGAAATAAAAAATTCACAGATGTGATAGAGATTATCTTGATGGTTTAATACTCATATACTGAAAAAAGACAAGGCGTTTTAAACGTTTTTGCATCTTATTCCTTCAATTAATCTGCATCGCTTATTACTCTATCCAATATGTTAGATATAGTATATGCTATATTGTTTTGTAGAACTGAAGGTTTCCTATGGGACTGAAAGTTCACTGTGAATATTGTAAATAATTTGGCATTACAATCGCAAGTGTTTGCTGACTGTTTGATATGCAAAATGATTTTGCTGAATAATCGATCTCACTGGCATTAGTAGTTGCTTTCCAAACTTCTCAAAGGCCATTGTCACTGGGGCAGTGTAATGCATATCTCTACTGTTAATAATAATGAATTTAACAGCCATGCCGGAGAAACAGGTTAAAATTGACATTTTCACACTGCACATAATTGACTGACGTGGTTTTTGATCGCGAATAATATACTTAATGACAATATATACGTATGATGCAAATGGTTCACTACGGTTTTAGGTACCTGTATGGTTTCACCAAAGGATTGAGCCTTGCTATTCAAGTTGTGGTGTCAAAGCATGGATAGTGTCTAGTCCTCCTGAAAAACCCACATAAATCTTACACTAACTTGTTAAACTTCGGCGTCACTAATAAAATAACATAAATGAATCACCCTCACCGAAAGGTTTCTGAAATGAAGAAATTTATGGTATTTGTAAACCACGAACAAGATAATAAGACACTAAATTTAAGGACTAGTTTTAAGCTAGACAAGCATAGAAAACTAAGAAGCATTTTTTAACTATTTCATCCTAGTACGTAATTCCACAACCGTGACCATCATCAACCTCAACCAGAGATCGGAACTCTTATAAATAATGCTGATAATAGTAAACTAAGCAACAACAACAAAAAAACTTACAATTATTACTGTTTATTAAAAAAATGTTGATATTCTCTAAAAATCCATCAAAATGAATTGGATTATTCAGGTAATTTTCTGTAAAATAAGACTGAATTGAAGAGGATCGATTTGTTGACAATTTCTTGACATGATTATTATAACACTGATAAACATTCTCATTTGAATAATCCCAATGTATATAATTAATTAATTCATTCATTTTAAATGATGGCCATTCTATTTGCAATATGGTGGATTTAAAACTAATTTGATATTTGTGATTCTATAGTAGAGAATAAAAAGTAGACAATCAGTTAAACTGAATTATGTTGATCAATGAAGAATATCTGGTTATATCCCTCTAGATATAAACACGATCTATAACTGAAGAGATTGGGTGATGTAGCAAAGAATGCTTTGTAATGGTGTACGTGCATTCATTCTTTGGTCTCTTCTAGATTCTTCATATACATTTTCTTCTTACTCATCCTATTCGATCAATATTCGAATATTCAGTCTTTCTTACAGCCATTGATAACCTTAGTATTTCGACTAGTTCACCGATCATCATCATCATCATCATGTTAATTTTCTCTCGCTACATTGATATAATATTAGTTAATGCACTATACGAACTAAGCTCTACATTATGGCTAATTGACGCGTATATTCATTGACATACAATCCAATCTCGTTTTAAGCCCTACTTAATGAAAGGGCTAATGATACTGCAGTGAACGAGAACACAAGTGAGGACAACCAAATGTATTTCAACACAATATTACAGAATGTTTTGGTAAGATCGGAGATCCATACAGTAAATACCTCATTTGCAAAATATTTATCGATTGTCTCAGACTTTGTTGTTCCTTCGTTTCCATACGAACCACTCTGTTCTCGTCCTCTTCTCTTCGATCTGCTCAAACTTCTGCCGCTAGACATTCCACTTTGGATTGGTGATACATACTACTTATGTCTGTTGAAATCAGTAGCACACGTCACAATACTACCACACGACTAGTAAAACCAAAGCACATTTAGAGATAAGTTTACACATCCAATTAACAGCTTATATTTAACCACTAAGGTTTATAACATTTGCATGAACAAGACCTGATATTTGTTTATTTTACTTATTCAGTCAATCATTAACAGCACTACGAATAAAATAAAACTTACCCAAATATCGATTCCATGTACATAGAACAGGTCATCCCAATGATGATTATTTAAAGTAGGCAATTCATGTATTAATGAATAAATAACAGTGGACTGATTACAACGAACAGAATAAAGACTATGTAAACAGGATAATGATGATGACGGTGCCTGTGAAGTATCTGTCCCACTAACAATAGATTCATGAATTTTATCCAATAAACAAACATGAAAATTCGATAGCGTTAAATTTAAATCGGTTAGATTCAACAAATCAAATGGTTCTGTATAAAAAAGAATGATAGAGAAAAGGGTTAGAAGCGCTGCATATCTAAAGAAAAAATTACAACAGAAATAATGTTTAAGGCAAAAGATACTTTGGTTGGAGTCTCAATGTAGACATCGATATCGGGATTTGTCAGTGCTATGTTTGAAGAGATTACGAGGTCATCTAAATCAGAGAACGGAAAGAAAAATCAGAGACATAACGACAAGACAAGCTAAACTATTCCGATGCGTCCCAACCCTGCTAACTAGAGGGAGAAGACCTGGTTCAGATGAGGGAAAAGTATATTTCACAAGTAACCAGAAGCACAAAATAGCAACCCATCAATGACGTTTAAAGTCCTTTCAAGTAGGAAATACAATCTGGAGGTAAAAATGGGCAATTTCAGCGCGGAAACGAGAAATTCAATTTTCAAAAGTAAAATTACAAAAATAAGACGTTTACCCAGTGATTTCTGGGGATCAAGCATCCCCAACAGTCAAGTGCATCCAGTTAACGAGTCGTAAATGGGACGAAACTTGTGAATAGTGAATTTCACTATTAGCCACTATCCATTTATTCCATAAAACATGTAATATAAAGTGGTTATATCGAGGCAATCAAAATAGAATGTAATTATGCCATCAAAGATTGGTCGAAATTTCGGTTTTCCTTATCAACAACGTGATAATTTAAACATTTACTAACAAAAATATCAAATATTTGTCGCTAATAACCATGGAGCAATTGAGTGAAGTTGAATTAGTTCATGAGTAGTTGAAATATGTGTTACCGTTGTTGATATCGAATTATGGATCAGTGGAGCCTGAAGATCCTGATTTATATCCTAGAGTTGGGAGGGGTTACGGATCTACACCATCATTGAGGAGTTCAATGCTATGAGTGAAATAGCCATTCAGTGTTTACTAGTTTTTAGTAGACGCGTTTTTCGCTGATATAACTACACCTTATAAACTAGTAGTTTGTTTAACTTTACAAGTTTTCTATACTAATAATGTAAAATATGAATTTTAAGAGATGATAATGCTGATGTTATCCATAAAGACAGTAGAAACTTCGTAATCAAATCATCTGCCTCATAGAACACAATACAATTTGATAATAATTGAAGCAGAAACCAACATTTTAAGTAATGATTAGGTGGTTGGAATAACCTTATTCTCCAACCAATCAGAATGAGGTATTTAATCACTTATTCAATGTGGAAAAAATATATATTTCGTAAAAATGTACATAAACAGTGGTATTTCTTCCAGTCAACTAATTCTTTGCAGTTGTGGGTAAGGTTTGGTCTTTCTTTTATCTTCTTAGTAGTCACTTATATCCAGGCTTCGTTTTAAGAGAGCACGTGAACGCATTAAGTTACGATCGCTTACAGACGACCAGTTAAATTACCTTATTATTGTCTTTGAACTTGTAGTAGTACTTATCGCACCCCATAATCCGATCCACTCCTGTCTGAACAAGCTCGAGCAGTGCAGGTATCATTTCTAAACCTATTCTGTATTTTAAAATATTTTCACATGATTAACTATTAATCTTTCTATACATCCTTTAAATTTTACTGACTTTATTTTACCTGCTGTATTTCACCTTCGCTATAATATCTGCATTTATATCCATGTCTACTTATTGTATTAAAACTATATAAACTGGGTCGTATTTAGCCTAGATCATTTACATCTATTCAAATGCATAGTTGTCTACGTGTGACGGTTTTTGAAGAGTTTTGGCGCGAAGGTGGCAACTGCGGCGTGGAGTGATTGAGCGTCTGGCTGGGTAGTACCTGATCACTATTCAGAACTCACAATGGACTGATTGTGTTTCTAGACGTAATTGTAACTCTTAATCCTTGTGCATATAAAAGATTCTCAAGCTGTCTTCCTCTTCTTACTTACCTGAATGCCTTGTAGAATTATTGTTACACTGCTTTCATGCTGATCCATTATACACATATATATGTATATACATCCTAGCAAACTAGGATTTCAAAGTCTTCATGTGAATGTGTCAAGTCAAGACTAACATACAAAGTGATCAAAGATACAAATTTCATCATTATACTCAACTGGAGTCAAATGGCTATCACACATTACAATCTTCAAGAAATGTGAATATCCACATACCGCTGAGTGTCACAAACAGTTACTAAAGGGTATCGAAACCTGATGAAGCTTGAATATGACAACACAGCAGTACCATTGCCAATAAGAAAGATCCAGTAAAGTCCACACGGATGCAACTAAATAAATATCAGTATAGAGTTTTGTGGAACCCATAGAATTTTCATAGATTTTAAATCACAAACTCATCTCACCGTGAACGTTGAACCTCTAGACCACTGAGCCAGCATTCAACGGTGTTAATTTCTCACTCCAGTCACGTTACAACCATCATCCATTACCTGAGGTGGAAAACTGTCATTCAAAATGACGGCTCATTGGTCTAGAGCTTAAACGTTCGCGTGATACCGTAATTCCTGAATTCGATTCTGTGTCAGAGTCGTAGTTGCGCGCTGCTGACTGCGTTTGACAGTACGACGGAATGGCCACTAGGTTTTCAATAGTGGTCTAAGATTAGTTCGTCAATCAAAATCTATTTTAAAAATAACTAAATAATTATATATTTGCACAGAAAACTAAAATTAACTAACTTTTCAGATTTAATTCATGAAAATCAAATTGAAGATTTACAAGAGAATTTGTAAAACCGAACTGTAATCCAGGTGACTTTAAATGAGGAATGAGTACAAGTAAAATCTGGAAAATGAAGATAAGGGGAAAGGTAATATTTTAACTGATTATAACCACTATATAAATTACTTTTCAAATAAAAACAGAGAAAATAGAATGAGCCAACACTTGGTCTTCTGTCTAAAGTTGGAATAATCAAGTCATTTATAAAAGAATATATACAGTAGTAGGAATAAATAGTACATTATTAAATAGTAATAATAAGTATTTCATGAAAAATTGGCAATGTTAAGTAATAACCTCAATTAAATTTACAATACAATATATTGGTGGCTTGCTTGAATATTTGGGCTACCTGTTCTTGACATCTAAATATCTCAACAAGTTACCTGATTTTTGTTTTAACACATCATGATGTCTGTTAATCGCATAACCTATTCAGGAGCGTTTATGAAGTGTTTACGACCTTTCGCTGTACAGATTACAAAAATGTACAATCAGAGACATCGTGGTGGCTGGCAATATGCATTGAAAAGAAGGAACATTATTCAGATATCGATTCCTGAACTGATGATATCAAAATGGAGATCACTCAATATTTATCGCAAGGGTCGATTAAGAAATAAGAAACGGAAATACTTTGTGCTGAGAATTCTATATTCTACCAAAAATATAATTATTGAATAAAACCATTAATGATAATACTGCTGGATCATTATTGTTTTTAATAACATTTGAATTTGGCATATTGTGATCAGTTAACTTCTCATTAGTTCTATAATTAAAACCTAATCAAATCTGCCAGGAAGTAAATAACACTTTAATCAGGCTATTATTGATAGACGACTACCAATAAACAGTTGTTCGATGTCAACTATACAATTTTCTTCAAAATCACAAAAATTAATACTATCATTCGATTTACATTTACAGATCACGAGAGCATAGCTTTAAGAAATGATCAGAAACTAAACAGCAACTTCTAGAAACTTCTGTCTTTTTTTAATATTGGCTCCATAGACATATGTATATATTTGAACAGAAACTAGTTGGATAGAAGGTTATAGTAAAATAAACTCACTTTTGGGATTTTTCTACTTTTCAATCTTCCCATCATTCCAATATGATTATGATCAGGATAGCGTTGTTCTGTATTAAAATCATCAGTACAATTCAATGATTTACAATCTGCAGTAATAACACCACCGCCAGAATTATCATCACTGATAGTACTGTCAGATGCTCCAGATCCTTCTGCATTATGATGAATAATACTAGTACTACCGGTATTGATGTTATCGTTACGTACTGCAATACGAGAACCACCACCATCACCAAAGTAAATACGTACATTTAACTGACGTGTATTCAAACCAAGATACTCAATTAATCGAAAGAACTTTCTTCTAGACAAGCTTTCTTGTGCCTAAAAACAATTTACAGTATTAAAACAAAAAAATACTATTATGAAAAATAAAACAACGAGAAAGACAATACTGTATAAATCATTTGAATATATATATATATATATATATATATATATATATATATATATATATATATATATATATATATATATATATATATATATATATATATATATATATATATATATATAGCTGGATAGCTCCCTGGCTATTTTATATACTATCCATGATTAATCTTAAATCGGATTACGTTAACTAATCCTATTTTTAACCATCCAGTGATAAGCATATCTTTAACGATTTGTTAACAGTTACATTAATTAGCCCTACATCAAGGTTATAAAAAAAACAGAAATACAACAATAATGAAACTTTTCATAATCACTGTAACTAACAATTTAGCATAAAACTGTTTCAGTTGTTCAGCCTTTTAATATCTATTGTTTTTATGAGATTGACAGTTCAGATAATAATAATAATAATAATAATAATTTGGCCTTTTGTAGACAATTACAACCAGTCCACTATTTCAGCTTGAGAAATTGTGTTGAACAGTTCTTAACTCAAAGTCACCGAATGGATGAATGTATACTCTGACTTGTAACAAAAATTAATCTTACGGTTAACATTCCATTTGCCGTTTTAACAATCGAAACATATTCATCATCATACATATATACTTACCATAAAATTAAACTGTTTTGAATCTGTATTGTTCTTTGGATAATTATGTGACTCAATATTGGTTATAGGTATAATTGGATGATTATTAATAGAATTATAATTTCCATATAATGTTTTACACCATATTCCAAACAAATAACAGATAGATGATAATTTTCTATAAAAATTCATTTCCATTATATTATCATGTATATAAAATATTGATGAGTGTAAAATATTCAAATAAAGATTACAAATAGATGATTCGAGCTATTAAACAAAAGAAACAAATCAAATAACAAAAGATTAAGAAGAAACAATATATAGATGAGATTCCAAAAAAAAGGATTTGTTTTATAACTGCGTGGGGATCAGCCTTCAAATGCCCTGGTACGGCCAAGGGTGAGGAGAGTTAACTCTCCCCAACGAAATGCTCTAATCTCACAAAGCCATGTGCATACAACTACTCACAAGGAAGTCCTACTCACTGCCTTCTCACATAACGGATGTTACTTACGAAATCGAGAGAATGGAAAGAGAATGACGAGCGCTTTAACCGGGTTGGCAGATACGGACGTTACACTTAAGGGAGTTGGAAAACCCCGACACCAAACCAATGGTGTATATTGGCTCCAGAATCCATGAAGTACGACAGAAAGAACGGCTGCGCAGTAAACTCGTCCCATACTTGGTAGTCGGATATCTCGCCTACGCCATAAATGACACAAGTTGCGGATCAGACCTTTAGGTCGAATGTTTCGAACGTGGCCTTTTATGAAAATCACCTGCTTCGGTCTGGGCAGTCGGACAGTAACACATCCCACAGACAAATCAAGTGCATTATGTGGCGCATATGTATTTGGTGCCCTTTTGTATCAATATTTATGTGTTCAAATAAAATAAATAAATGAAATAGTGAGAATCATATATGTTTATTAATTTGATTCCATCCAGCTACTGTCTAAAACACATAGCTTCCAATTGGTGGATCGTAAGATCTTCCGCGTGGGTAGCCTATGAGGTTAGAGTATCACTACTCCCTCTCAAATGCACACTAACACATACATTTACAAACAGTATAGTTCAAAACCAACCTTTGTGAGATATGAGCGCATAACTGGTTTTATGTCCCGGAGACCTTTCTTCATAACACATGGCCGATTCTCCAGTCAGAAATATCTGTCTTCAAGCTAGCTATTCTGTCATTAGATTAGTATTCATAAACTTCAGTAATGATCTCTTCTGACTGGTACAATTAACTTTGAGTTGACGTAAGCTACACACCTATTGATCCACCTATCCGAAGACCTATCCGTGTCTTCAGCCTCAAATCCTATTAGACGACTGGAGCTCAGCTTCTACTATCATTATATTTAAAGCAAACATTAGTTTAAAATACAGTCATACTGAACCATATCGTACTATAATAATGGAAAATAATAATTATACACATAGGAGTCAGAAACGATTGTGAACCGGATAAGCTGTACATAATTGGTTAATAATAAATTATATACATATATATATATATATATATATATATATATATATATATATATATATATATATATGCACTATATACACTACTACTGCTACTACTACACTCGCATTTCTCTGGCTCATTCGTTTGGCCTCTGCTTTGTGGTCTGAATTATCTGCTAATAAAACTGTAGTAGCTGCTTCTTTTTACCTTCTGATTTAAAACGCCGTGGAAGATTATATGACAACAGTACGAGGGTGATTGGTTATCGAAGCACAGCCACTACAGATTTGGCGATCCCGAATCGCGAGCACGAAACAATCTCCGACGACATAATCCAATTCCGAAAATCCAACGCACTCTACTTCAATTCGAGCTTTTATTTGGACTATAATCATAACTGTGGATTTATTATCTCATTATTTTAATTATACGTACATTATCTCACAAACATTATTGAATATAACGATAATATTCATACCAAACAACGATATTTTACAAACAATTGATATTTTGGTGCAATTTAGTAAGTCCGTTCTTTGTTATAAATTGTACCATTTGTTATTATCGTTGTTTTTATCGATTCACTTCTCTCTGTGACATTCACATTATATTTGTATACTTTTTGATTTTTATAAAAATGTCTTTAAGTAACGACACAATAAACATTTCACAAACGCCGTCCGTGAGGTCCATTAATGTAACTATTCCCCCTTTTAAGGTCACAGACCCTGAACTTTGGTTTATCAGGCTTGAACGTTACCTTGTAGCTAATTGTGTGCATACACAGCGGGATAAATTTGGCCACTCGAGCTCACTACTCCCAGATGAAGTAGCAGGCAACGTACGAGAGGTCCTAACTAAGCCAGACATAGAAAAACCATACGACGCACTAAAGCAGGCAGTGATTAAAGCCGTCTCATTAAGCGACCGGCAAGCCGTCAAACAGCTTCTCAGTCAAGTGCACATAGGAGATAGGACTCTATCGCAGCTAAAAAAACTATATGAGAAGCATAATCAGAGACAGAAAAGTAGATAAAATCATATTTTATCAGTTGTGGTTACGACGACTTCCAGAGAACGTGCAGCAGATCCTTGGAGTTGAGGACAGCGATGTCGACATAGACAACATTGCTAGGATAGCCGATAGGATTTATGAAAGAATGAAACAAACGAGTCGCAAAGACATAGTACCACAGTAGATGAATGAATCGAGGCATTACAAAAGGAGATTAACGTTTTATGCCACAAGCTGACGAAACTAAATCAGAGCGATATGCAAAGAAGATGGTCACGAAACAGATCAAGAGAGAGAAGCCGATCATGTTCTAGGAGACGCTCAGCCCCTACAGTATGTTGGTACCATCAAACTTTCGCCGACAAAGCTCGAAACTGTAGACCGCCATGTAAATTTAAACGACCACACCGATTGTCGATAACCGCCGCGACAACTACAACAGCTCCTAGAAGTAGTCGTTTATTTTACGTTCAAGACAGAGTAACAGGCGCTCAGTTCTTAGTGGACACGGAAGCGGAAGTAAGCGTCGTGCCTCCAGTGAGTAACGAAACACGAAATATTGATACGACGCTAACGCTTAAGGCAGCAAATAAACCCGATATAAAAACATATGGCAAGCGAAAAGTAACCTTGAATTTTGGTCGTAGTACTACATTCCGTTGGGAATTTATTATCACAGATGTATCCGTACATATGATTGGTATCGATTTCTTAAAGAATTTCGACTTACTAGTGGATACTCGACGAAACCGGCTCGTGAACGACGACCGTTCAGTAGTGATAAGAGGAGTGACAACTGATCACGTATCCATGAATTTAGTAGTGTCAAAAGACAAGAGCGAGCCATATAGATCGCTTCTCAACGAGTACGCTGATTTGACGAGGGCATCATACGATAACAGAGATCTTAAATATACTGTACAGCACCATATTATAACGGAGGCTAGACCCAAAAAGGTTGAATATTGCGAGAGTTCGAAAATTGATGAAGCTCGGTATCATAAGACCATCTAATAGTCCCTGGGCATCCTCGTTGCATATGGTTTCGAAGAAGAATGGGGAAATCAGGCCATGCGGAGACTATAGAGCTCTTAACAAGCAAACTATAGCAGGCAGATATCCGGTACCACATATCCACGACATTACTACCAATATGGAAAGTGCCACGATATTTTCAAGAATTGATCTCGTTCGGGCCTATTACCATATCCCCGTAGCGGCAGAAGATATACCTAAAACGCCTGTAACCACTCCATTTGGGTTATTTGAGTTTTTGCGAATGCCCTTCGGATTAACTAATGCAGCCCAAACCTTCCAAAAGTTCATCGATCAGGTTGTCAGGGGTTTGACAGGAGTACACGCATATATCGATGATATACTAGTAGCTAGCGCTACCGTGGAGGAACACCTACAACATCTACGACAGTTGTTTACGAAACTTCAAGAACATGGCGTCACTATTAACGTGGAGAAGTGTGAATTTGGAAAGGAATCATTGCAATTCCTAGGTCATATTGTGAATTCACATGGTATCATGCCAGTTCCGACAGAAGTTGCTGCTATTCGTAATTATCCGTTGCCCGATTCACAAAAAGAATTACGACGATTCTTGGGACTAATAAACTATTATAGACGATTTACTCCAAACTGCGCAACAATATTACAACCATTGACGGACGCTTTGCGAAGACATACCCGAACATTCCGTCTTTCGGCAGATGCTATACAGGCTTTTGAGAACGCTAAGCGAGCGTTAGACGAAAAGACGATGTTAGTACGACGAAAGAACGAAGCACCACTAGCCGTCATGACAGATGCATCGAACATAGCAGTAGGAGCCGTACTGCAGCAGTTAGTAAACGGTTCGTGGGAACCACTTTCATTTTTCTCTAGGAGATTAAATCCTACTCAAACGGGATATAGTACGTTTGGAAGAGAACTATTATCAATTTACTTAGCAATAAGACACTTCCGTCATATGGCTGAAGGCGTAAATTTTACCGTCTATACAGACCACAAACCACTAACGAAAGCATTAAGCGCAAAGCAAGACAATTATTCCCGAGAGAGATCCGACAGTTGGAGTTCTTTCACAGTTCACGTCCGATATACAATACATTAAAGGACAAGAAAACGACGTGGCTGACGCACTGTCAAGAGCAACAACAAACACGTTTATTGCAAGTGGAATTGATTATAACAGTCTGGCAAAGTTGCAAGAGAGAGACATCGAGTTAATTAAGCTCAGATCCGAGGGTACGACATCATTAGTGATCGAAGAGATGCGGTTCGGTAACACGAAAGTAATATGTGATACATAAATAGGCCGACCGCGACCATTTATCCCGAAAGCATTGCGACAGAAAATATTCGAAAGCATACACAACATGTCGCATCCAGGAATAAAAGCCAAAATAAAGCTGATCAGTGAACGATTCGTATGGAAAAACATGAATCACGATGTGCGTAATTGGACACAAGCATGCATGAAGTGCCAAAAAGTCAAAGTACATCGTCATACTAGCTCTGCAGTAGGTCCATTTTCACACCCAGACACTAGATTCGAGCATATACACATCGATATTGTAGGACCACTACCTGTTTCGAAAGGATACAATTATATCTTTACGTGCATTGACAGGTTTACACGATGACCGGTAGCAATACCGATTAAAGACACCTCAGCTGAATCGGTAGACAAAACCCTAGTTGAAAATTGGATTTCTTACTACGGCGTACCAACGATTATCACAACTGATAGAGGAGCACAATTTGAAAGTCGACTCTTTCAACAGCTTACAGAACTCCTCGGTATTAAACGAATTCGAACAACATCTTAATAATGAATATGTCTACAGTGGAGTGGAAGTTATAATTAATATTTAAAATAGTAGAAAATTATAGCGACATAACGTTGAGGCCATCTTACTCTGCGGTTACATCAGTCGGAATACCTTTACTTAAAGTGAAAAATTCTCCGGGTAACCGTAGAGTAGTTCCGTATACCAATTCGGCTGGGCAACATCCAATGTGCTGTTTAATTGTTGCTCTTAGAGCTAACATTACTAGAGGAAGTTTATTGACGCAATCGTTGTTAACAATGAAGGATGTAAGGGACGCTTTTAATTGCCTATGTAGGCGTTCGACCATTCCGTTTGCCATTGGATGGCAAGGTGTCGTTCGAATTCGTTTAATACCGAGGAGTTCTGTAAGCTGTTGAAAGAGTCGACTTTCAAATTGTGCTCCTCTATCAGTTGTGATAATCGTTGGTACGCCGTAGCAGTAGTAGTGTATATAGTGCATATATATATATATATATATATATATATATATATATATATATATATATATATATATATATATATATATATATATATATATATATATATATAATGAACGAATCATCGAATCGACTAGGCAGAGAATAATGAAGCTAGCGGAATGAATATATGCGTAGGCGGTAAACAATGTTCAAGCATACATATTTCATACAAGTACAATAATAATAAAGGTACAATGAGTTGTTATAGTATGGATGACTTTGTCCGTTATATAAGTTAACAAAAGGGCTTACTGCGGTCAATGGAAATAAACTCAATTGTACGTGAGTCGCTATAGTCTTGAAGGTTCTGGGTTCAATATTCAGTGGGGCCATAGATTCTCACTCATGAAGAATCCGATGTTAGGGTACAGCTATTCGTTGTTTTCTGATTTTGATCGCTGAAAACTTTCGTTATATTAAAACACAATTATATGAATGAAGAATATTCTTTTCAAAAATTTCTTACCAAGTTCTACAACTATAAATCCAAATTAAGAATGCATAAAATTGGCCAGATTTGAGGCTAGGTACATCATTTAAAATTGTAACATGTGAATTAAGGATTGTTTGTGACATAAACGATGTTTGCGATATATTAACGATGTTATTTTATTTCATATCACAAATAATCCTCAATTCATATGTTATAATTTTAAATGATGTACTCAGCCTCAAATCTGGCCAATTTTATGGATTATTAATTTGGATTTATAAGTGTAGAACTTGATGAGAAATTATTGAAAAGAATATTCTTCATTCATATAACTGTGTTTTCTGATTTTAATGGTAATCTAAGGACGATCCATGATGTAGAATAATAATAATAATAATAATAATAATAATAATAATAATAATAATAATAATAATAATAATAGTAATAGGACTTACTTGCTCGGTTGCTTCTATTAAATATATCCTAGCATCTAATAAACAATGCTTAGCCTGTGAATTCCAACCATTTAATAAGCGTAAATCATTCAAACAAAATCGAAAATTTAATAAAATGAAATGATTAAATAGAATTTTACTGTCAATATTATCATCATTCAACAGATTTGATGGGATTATTCGTGATATTGGTAAAGATAATGAATGTAATGATGTGTAAAAATCAGATGTCGTCTGAAGTGTTTCAACATTTTGATTACATTTTATAGAATTAGGCACATTGAATTCCATAGATAAATGAGACGAAGTGAAATAGAATTGGAGACTTCTGTTCCAAGGGAAAAGAGAGGAAAGGGAGGTACAATTAAAAAGATGTGAATGAGGTCGAGATTGTTCTACTAAAAGATAGTTTGACATTACAAACTGACTTCAGCTAAACGACCACTGAATAGCTGTTTCAACATCGCATCCTCTTGGGACTGTTTAGTAGCGTGCATCTATGACAGAAACGTCAGAACTAACTCAGGAACTTTGGACCAGATGGCCATGAGCTATGTTTAGACCAGTAAGTTTAAAGCCAGAGGTTCCCACATTTCTAACTTGAATTGAACTGCAACATTGTGCAAATAGCATTCAGCGATTACTGACTGGAACTCGATACGATTCGACCCCATTGGTTTCGGCTTTCTCCTACAATTTCGGAAGTTCTTTTTACAGCTAGTCAAAATCAAGCCTCAAGGTCTTGGGTCATTTCTGTGTACCACTAAAGAGTCCCAAGAGATTAAGATAAGATTACTGTTTGGTGCTCCCTGGTTTCAAAAGATTGTTAAGGTGGTGCAAACTAACTTTCAAGATATTTGGGTGTATACTTAAGAAACCAAATCAATATTATCGACACAGATCAATAAGATAACCCGTAAAGTCTCAGATGCTTATTGTATCAAATAATTACAACAACCAATCACTGAGTAGAAACCAGTCATATTTACCTAGCTCTCAGTGCCAATCGAGTTCTGCTGAGGAAGTTGCAATATGATCAATCATTAGTCAGACTGCTCGATACCATGTGCACTCTTCCAACGTCCGATGAAGGCAATTAATAGGAATCCCTAGAGTGTTATTATTTTCGATATAGAAATTGACGTTCCTCTAGTGACTGATAGAAATATTTTAAGGGTAAATTAAGGAGGGTATTGACTAGGGTAAAACTAATTGATTGATTTGATTTAAAAAGAAGATTCTCAGAATGAAATAATTCTATGATAATCAAAAATCATGTAAGATTCGGCTACCACCTACTAAACAGCTAAATTAGAATGCTGCTACTAAATATAACCAACTCATATATATGATCACGCATTTATATTATTTATAAATTAAATACGAAAGCCGAAATCACTGTATCTGAACAGCAGGAAAAGAATGATGTTGGTTCACAGCCTGATATAACATGTATCTTTCACTGACTCTACCTGTTACTATTTATATTAGTAAACAATGAATGAAAAATCGATGGAACACCGAATCAGTAGTCATTGCACAGTGTAAATGACTTTCATAACAAATTACGTCATGGGTTCGAAGCACACACAATTTGCTTTGTTAATATATTATTGATTAATTAACTCGTGCAAATTTTTGTACTTGGGTATGAGGCACACATAAAATGTGATAGTTAATAATATTACCCGGGTGTCCAAACCAAAGTAGGTGGGACGGAGTTTGAACCTGGGACTCGGTGGCCGAAAGTCGGACAGCATAACTGCTGAACAACATTATTATCTCACTAAATCACGCAGTATTATTATTATTATTATTATTATTATTATTAGCTTTTACCTAACACATTTCACGTGCGTGAATGCGCAATTAAGTAAACTGGATGAAAGTAATGGTGAAAAAACGGAAAACCAGTGAAATATTAACACACACAATTCACCTTTTAAATGAATATCTAATTATTTCAAAATAGAATCCCATCTCAGGTACAACTGAACTTGTTACTGATGATGATGATGATGAGGAGGAGGAGAATTGTGGTTGTATCTGTTCAAAATGATTATGATTGAAACTGAACAATTGTAACGGTAAGAACGAAATGCACAATTTTACGGAATTCAAATATTGTTGAACACATTGAAAATTTGATTTTAATGAATTATCGGATATAATATTCTCTGATGTTTGTTTCAAATAACAAGATTTATTATTTTTAAAAGGAAATGATGAATGCCCCAGCATTTGTAAAGTATCCTCTTGATGCTTAATGGTAAACTGATGACAATGAGGACACGTTGATGTAAGCGATGACATTTGTGTGGTTAAGATAGATGTTTGATTTGTATAAAGTTTCCAACTCAACAAATCTATAAGCTCTATAGAATGTAATAATAGAAAATAAGTTGAAATATAAACATGTAATATTCTAATAAAAAAATTTCCATCTTATTCGTTAACAAAAGCAGTACATATAGGCGAACAACCTTGTCTTCAATGATTATCTTAATCAGGAGATTTTTACTCGAATATACTTCAATAATAAGTATATGTAGGTTGTATTTGTAACCGGTTAATATCAATTTGGGGTACTATTAAGAACTATAAAACATTGAATAGTTTCTTCTTTCTAGTATAATGATAAGTCATTTACATAGACATTTAGTACTGATCATCTCCCAGCTCGTTCCTACTATTCCCAGACTACTTCCGCACTTGAATTAAAAAACAATAGAAAAAAGGCATCAAATATGGGCGAAAGCTTTGATTCAAAATTAATCTGTGTACAGGAAATCGAGTTTATTTATATATTTTCAGGTGGCCTTCATCTCTTGGAAATATACTGAACGTAATAACGAAATAAGTTGTTCGATCAAAACGTGACACATAACCCTTCATTGTTTTCAGACGTTTCTGAGAAACTTTTATCCAACGCTGATTGGATAAAACACTTTCAACCTTTTCTGGATGTTTATGATGTTTTGAACCACTAACATATAGTGCTTATCGGAAGTGTGCACACACCACCCCAACAGGGGTTGAACCCAGCCCCAGGGTCTAATGGTATATTTTACCATACATATGTGTTAGAACTAAGATTTAGGCAGTAGGATTAAGATTTATAGGTTAGGGTTTAGGATTCAAGATTAGATTTTACGGTTAATCTGTATGTACACTAAATCCAAAACTCTACATCTTAATTGCAACCCTACAAAAAAATTACTTTAGTCCTAGTAGTATATTATCATTTATACATATTTGCTGGTTACTGATTGCCTGGATTGAATAAAGCATTTGTCACGAACATTTAGAGAATACCTCAAATTTAACCTCATAGTCTAGCTTTAGTAAAAAGGACTTTTATTAACTTACCTTCTAAAATTACAGTACGTAGTCCATACAATTTTAAATCGACCGATTTTACGAACCAACCATTTAATGATGACAGTGTTGCATTATTGAAATTTCGGCATTCCAATGAAATATTGGTGGACAATTGTAAACGAAGATGACCCAATATGTGAGCGTTTTCAAAGATAACATTCCAATTTTTACTGAATAAATCATCACTTAACCAAGTTTCCATGAACACAGGTATACATAGTAACTTTCCACAAATATGGGATACATGTAGATTTACATGAGCCCTTATACATCCGAATAAAAAAGATGGATGTTTAATTAGACAAAAGAATAATTAGAAATGGTGTGATATGAAAAATGTCTATCCAATATTCAACATTCTAAATAAACTTTGTTAAGTTTTCATGGTGTACATCACAGACCGATTTAGTTAGACAACTAGTTGAAAGTAGAAAGCATTGGACAACTGTTGGGACTCTACAGTAGTGGACATCTGAGACCACACCCAGGGACCGAACTCAAGATCACTGGATATAAGCACTTTCTGAGACCCGAAATCCGTGTGTACGATGCAGTGACGGATGGGTATTGCTAAGAGAGTCCCATACAAGAACGAAATACCTCCCTAGTGCTTCCTATACTTCAATTGTATTCTGAATAAGCTCAGTCTATGATAAAGACAAAATTTAACAATCTTCATAATGATGTACAGTAAGCCTTAAGATTTACATAAAATGAAAAAATAAATATAACGAATAAGGAAGACATCAAAATGGTGTTAGAATGTTTGGTATTGAATTTTATTTAAATCCTATCCCTCAGGTTTATCATCCAATCATAATGCTAGACACTTTAACAGTCATAGCATTCACTCGAGATGTACAGCCAGTCAGTCAGTAACAAAGTAGAACTTCGTACGTACGTAAATCAGTTCAAGTTGCCACAACACATTAGCACAGAGATGCAGTTGTCGATTCACATCCTGTAGTGGTAGAGGTAGTAAGAGTATAAACAGTAAGCGGAAACATTACGGTTTCAAGATGTTAATTCAAGGAGTATAATCCAGTGAAATTAATTTGGAAAGAAAAAAAGGATATGGAGAATTCAGAAGATTGGAATTTGGGAGAACACAAAGAGTGGATGCACCTGCGCACACCACTGCAAACGATTTTGAGCCATATCATTCAAGGTCTCTAACCATCGGTTGCTATCACCTCGCGGATCCCAACCAGGTAGTCTACACCTACCAACACGACTCAATCTACTTGTCTATGACTTCATGGATTTGTGCCATGTTTTGGTCTGACCGCCCCTACCCTTCTTCCAACCTACTCCTACATCATAAAACATCACACATTGGGGTAGTCAGTGGTTGGGCATACGTAACACGTGTCCCAGATATCTCAAATGATCAAGTTTCACTAATTCATCAATCGATTTACCATCCTTACCTAGTACCCGTTTCCTAACAACTACGTTACTTACTCGGTGGTCCCAGAATATACGAGCAACGTTTCCAAGATACCTATGATCGAACACTAGTATCCTACGAATATCCTCTTCTCTTACCAGCCAAGTTTCACTGCCATGAAGTACGACAGAAAGAACGGCTGCGCAGTAAACTCGTCCCATGCTTGGTAGTCGGATATCTCGCCTACGCCATAAATGACGCAAGTTGGCATAAGCTAGTCGAGCCTTCTGTGTCCGTGCTGAGATTTTGTCACACACCAGACCACAAGGGCTGATGAGACTCCCAAAATAAGTGAAGTGGCCAACACGCTCAACTACTTCACTCCTTATCATTAGTTCGGGTGTCGAAGCCACCCAATCCTGAAGTAACATCTTGCATTTCGAGGGGGCAAATCGCATCCCGAACATGCTTGCATTGTTGTTGTTACGTAATCAGCCGTAAGAAACGTAAGGTCTGACAATTAAAAAACGATCATGTTTAAGTAATATTTCAAGAATAGGCTCGGAGTAGCCTGAGATTTGAGAAAATTGATAATCTATAATACGATAGAATTCATATAAATCTCCCGAATAATTCAGAGGTGACATCCAATGAAATTAGTTCGAGTTTTATTATTTATTATTAATTGCATTCACAATTTCAGATCCCAGCACGTGCGCAATCTAGATAAAGCAAGAGTTTTATCTAGCTGACTATAGTTGGAAATTACAAAGCAGAGAAATGACTTAATTCGATCTTATCAGACAAAATTATAGTTGATAGGGAGAACTTCGATCAAGCATCAACGTTTTAAACTATTATCGGATAAGGTTGAAGTTTGAAGTGAGATAGAACATCCAAATCGGGAGCGAGAACCAAAGATGGAGTGATCAATCCGTTGAGTAAAATAACTAAGACGGGTAAAGTTATAAACACTACCTCCCCACCTCCCAAGTGAACTAGACCACTTAATGAATTAAAATTACTTTTATGCCGGATGCTTCAGCTTTAAGATCCAATAATTTCTCACTTAAAATCACAGAACGATAGATTCTCTTTGTGGTTGTCGATAATTCACCGATGTATCCTAAGGTTAGGTGTAAGGTACAAATTGGATACATCAAGCCTTTATTGGAGTAGCTAAAGCAAACAGTTATGAAAGCCCAGTTCAGCATTTAATGTTAGCTGACACAGACGTATATCTGAAAAAGACCAAGGAGCATTGAAACAAACATACAGCATCCCCAGCAATACTGCCTTTCCCTAAAAGGAGTGGGTTAGAAGCAATTGACCTGAAAATGGCACACATCACCTTTCATCACTGTTTTACGTGGGTAACGGTAAAGCCTTAAAAGTGCGACGCTAACATATCTAACACTACTCACATAAAGACTATGTGCGACCAGTATTAATCACTGTGTTCACACTCTCAAGTCATCCGGACCACTCATAACCCATGTTCTTGCTTAGATACCTCAGGAAAAAGCATCTTTACACAGTGTAGGCAACCAGAGTAACAACCGACCTGACACCTCTAACAACACTACAGATCAACTTGTACACAGTTAAGCCCAATCTCTATCGCCCAATGTTACTTTTATTTCCACTAGCGACCCTCGTCTTCTGTCTTTAACTTCTTTTACATGCCAACAGTCCTGAGTATGGTATGACGAATTGGGCCAATGCATACTTTTACCAGGCTTTACGATGATGAGAAGTGATCGACTATGAAATTAATTAACTAGTTGTGTAGTAATAATAACAATAATGATAAGATCGTTAATACACAAATAAAACATACTGTCTCATACTGATATGAAATAACATTCTTAACTTTGTCATTCGTAGAGTTAAAGCCAATTTACTAGTTTTATTCAAACGGAAGCATGTTTGACGATTAAATTGAATAGGTTGGTAAACATCACTTAAATCATTGATATGAATTAAGCAATGATGACAGGCAGATCTATTACTGTTATTATTGAGTGCACCATCCTCAGTCTTTTTATAATTCAAATATAAAGCATCATCCAGAAATGTGGTCGATAATACTACTATTTGTATGGATGATATATCAATTGAAATGAACTGCAGGAGAGAAAAAATATTTTTAAAAAGTATCAGAACCCAAAAGCTTAACCACTTTTCTTTTAAAATTGATCATTCCTGTTTATAACACATTTAGTAACATTTTAGATAGGAATCACGCACATGCAATTATAAACTACTGATTCATCATCATAGAAACTAGAATATACACGACTTTGCGCATGTTGAAGTACCTAGCACGTTAATAACGCGACGTACACCAGATATTGATGGAAATTAATTTGTACAAACAAAACAAATTTTGTCTAAAACTTCTCCCACGCTAGCAGTTACAAAATGCCATTATTTTATGGTCGTCATCAGTTATGAAGTTTGGGCACCCAGGCAGTATCATAGCCGACACACAAATCAAATGAATTGTGTGACGCATATGTATTCTGTGCCCCTTCGTACCAATATTTATGTTCAAGTAAATAATAAATAAATGAGGTTAAAAAAGGAACCAATAACCGTTGAAGGAAAACTGGGTAAAATTGTTATTAGTGACGATTTCCCCGCGACTAATCAGAATTACAATGGCGGCTATAAAAAACTTCTGTGAAAAAACTAAAAAACAGTGGGCAATAGTATGTATCTTATCTTTTAAAAAATAAGTAAATCTTGTCTAACTTTTATGCAACCACACAAGGCAGGTTAGTTTAAAAGATATACGTGCTCCATATGCATATTGTATCTGACAGTGTATGATGTGATTCAGGTCATAATCAAGGGTGTTTTGTGATTAAAATGTTTTTTCAAGCGCTACCCACATGTTCGTGTTATGGCGGCATGAGCATTGGAAAATTTGAACCTTCAAAACTGTCCTACCTGGAGTCAATATTTATATTTTAATTCTTTAATTACTAAATACTTAAATTATTGTATTCTCCTGCTTGTGAGTGCTTCCGTAATGCATAAACTATGATTGTGTTGTACCTTTCTCAAGTTACTATTAGTTTATAACAAACCTAGTACTTAATTGTCGAACACTTTGGTGTAGTTATGCCGTTATCACTTAGATTACACGGTCATTAATGATAGATAACGTACTACAAGGAATTTACCAGCCTGTATCTTTATTAAACAAAGTTCTAACCAAGAAATTCTAGCTTCATGAACTGATATTATATCTTGACACGATTTCTGTGATCTTTTTCAGCATATCCTACAGTTAGTAGTAAAGTGTACAATGGTAGTTAATGGTCAAACAAAAGTAACACTTGCTCCAATCGTCTTAATCGAATACTCGTAACCAATGTTTATCTTTTACCCTCATAGAACGTATGCAGTTGGAGCAATCATCGATGAGATGGTATGAACGAAGTTAATACTCGCCACTACATCTAAATCAAGTGAGTTAGTAACACGGTACATGAATTCCATTTCAATCGGTAAAATTAAAAAGGCAATCACAACCTAATGCGGATTTATTGTTTCACAGATTGTTATGACTCATCTGTATTTCCCAAACAGATAATTAAAACATGAACTTATGTGTTACACATTTAAGACCCATATAATTAACGCCAAAGTTAAAATAATATAATCCAAATGATGAATAGCTCTTTTTTCATCCAAACAGTCTTCTTCCACTTACTTATGTATTTCTCGTGTTGGATTAGCCACTAAACTGACGTGATTGACAAGATCCGATTAAACAACTAAATAAACCTATATTGATTGTAGTACTTGCTTACGAGATTTTATCACAAATTGTTAGGTTCCATGGAGAAAAAAACGAGACATGCTATCATGTTATACTGAGGCTGATTCACTAACTACATACAGACAAGCTCAGAACGTCAATACAAGGTTCCCAGCATTACTTGATGGATATCTCAAGCAAGTAACTTTAAAAGATATAAAAACACTGGAGAAATGAAGATTTACGAAACACCTCCCAACTTAACTCTCTAAAAATTATGTAGATGGAAACAATTTAATCTCCTGATTGTTTTACGGTGACAAAAATAAATGTTTAAACATCTATTTCGCTAGTGTCAAATTAACTCAAGAATATCTTTTTCAAAATATTTGGAAAAATGCAATATTACCCACAGACTCAAAAACCTTTGCTTACAATAAATCAAAACATGACCTACCGAAACCAGTCTTATTTTCCATGACATAAAGCCTTTATTCAGACGGGTTCTGATGCCGTCACCTTTGCGCTGCATTAATTTGATAATACCATAAAGACCGGTGTCAGTCACACAAAACTTAGCACCAGTTATCCAAGCAGACAACAAAGTCCTTTTTAAATTAAGGTATTTTAGTATGAAACTTACTTAGCTTTAGGATTCCATAAGCTACTGCTAAAATATATAGAATCCACATACTAAATCATTACTATTTCAGTGAGGGATATTTACCATGCACTCTCCGTTTATGAAAGTGAGAGTAACCCCACGTGCCCAAATAAATCCAAACCTTTGAACGGTGAGGATACATGGAATAAATTTACTAAGAAATGTCGTTAGAACAATAACCAGAACTCTGAAACAAATATGGGAGTTGATTAGAATTACTTTGGGGTTATGTAGACTGCGAACAACAAAAGCACTAAAGTAACTAACGCCCATTGAGTACAGATTATATCCTTCAAACAATCGAAACAATCCCATGACATAATCAACACTAAAATCAAAGACAACCAAACTCCCCGCCCTTCCCCTCTTCCTATTTTGATTGGCTGAAATGAGTAAGGCAGTCCTGTGATTCGTCCTTGTAATTTCGAAAGCACAATTTCAAACACCAAGTTATTATTTCCACACCTTCCACTAGGATGAGTCAATTGACGGTCCCCAGTATTTCTGCTTCACAAAACTCCTTTCAATGAGACAATTAAAATCACAGCAAGGTCATAGTCTGATCTCAGTTAGGTAAGCTCGTGCAACGATGACGGACGTCTAAATTACAATAGTAAGGTGAGGTGTTCTAGTCACTGACTACTCGATAGAAAAAACGGGACCTCACTCTGAGCTAATGAGGTCGTGGTTTTGAACCATACTGCCATGTCCCCGATATTAAAGATAGGAAATATTTAGTCACCTCGCGTTCTACGATACAAAAAAGGGAAAGGGTTCAATTGTTTTAATCGTTCTTTGTAAAGGAGTTTGGTAAGACCCTCCACAAACTTTGCTCCTACATAGTGAACACGCTGAAGATTATTAGTATCTTTAGTAAGATATGAACTGGCTACTTGAAAACATTACTCTAGGCGTGATCTTACAGAGGCGGGGTTTAAGTCCGAAACAACTCGTCAGAACATCTAAATGCTCGGTGAAGTGACCATAACGCTCGAAAACCTTTGGCGGCCGCTGCATTTCAATGCGTATTTTTTTAATAGTCACGAATTATCTGTTACCCCTAAGTTTCTGTGTTCTTGCACGTACTGAAGTGATGTATCGTTGACTGCATAGTGGTAAAAATGGTCGTGTCCGATGTGCATTAGTACACTCTGTCTAGAACCGGTTTATAAGCCCCACCTTTAAATGACATCTGAATGATCCGTCTTGGTCAGCTTAAAAATCAAGACCATCAGCTTCCTACTTATTATTCTGTAGATTTTCATATCATCTGCAAGCAATAATGTCGATAACTCATGCGGTCGTGGTAATTCACTTTTGCCTGGCTTTCATCCAGATAGCGTCCAATCTCCACTCATTCTCTGTTTTCAGCCACAGAGCATTACTGTATAGCAATTTTTACTCCAAAGATCGTGGGCTCCTGCAAATGACCTCGTTGTGAAACCTTATCAATCGCTTTGCTAAAACCTATGATTATTACATCAATTAGTAAGTTGGTTTAACATAAAGGCTTATTCCGTGTTGCTCGGGAGTTAACAGATTGTATGATTCTATATGAATTGGTAACATAGCCGGAATTAATTTTTCATGTGACTTAACTACTATTCTGGTTGGGGTGACAGGTCGATGGTTAGATACGACCTGTTACTTTTTATATTTAAATATAGGACAAACTAGAGCACCTTTCGAATCCTCGAGCACTTGAGTTGAGTAAAGTGTGATGATTCGAAGTATTTGAATTATGGTACAAACTAGGAATCCCTGAAATAACTCGATGAAACCTAGAGGTGCTGGATGACCACGAACGAATGTATTGTATTTCGAATTCGATATCCGGCAGTCATCAAGTACAACGGCATCTTCAGTTCATAACGCCACAGAAAGTGTTATGTTGGACAGTATCATGAGTGGTCCTGAGAGACGACAACAATCGTGGATACAACCCATCAGGACTCACTGTCTTGCTAGACCTGAGGACAATGATCAGTTGAATGACAGATTCCTCGATCAACTGTACAGATCTCATAGTTGGTATGTTAGTGGTGTGATGATGACGAGTCTCGTTAATGATAACCATAGAGCAGACTTTTCTGGAAGAATTTATCAAAGTCTCGACTTTGGTCAGACCTGATTCAGCTAGTATATCTGAAATTTCGTGGGACAAAGATGATTATTGCTCAACAACACATGATTTACAAGCTTTGAGTGGAGGGGTGATAAAACATTTAGATGATGATGTGACAGAAAGGTCCGACAGTAGGAAATTTGTTCTTTAATCACAGAAACAGGTAACGAAGTACAAGCCCGGAGATTGATTGGAAATCCGACCGGTTGTCTATTGGAACAAATATTCAAAGATTGAAAGAGAATTATTTCGGATCCTAAAATTTCATTTTAACAAATTAAAAAAGCACATACTGACCATGAGGCAGTTAATAAGCTTGCTTTACAGTTAGTGGAAGTTTCTATTACATTGTCCAGTAGTCATGATGACCTTGCATTCATAAATAACACACCAGAGTAGTTAGTTTATAAATCATCAACAATAATATTGATCTCATTAGTTTAACTGGACACACACAAGCCTAAGACGTATGGTATTGCATATGCATTAAATCAACATTGAGAATGCTACGCTATACATCCCCCACAACAGAAGGTCGATTTCGGTCACATACCTCTCGAAATATCGAACATGAATAACTTAAGTGCTGTAGATCCCTCCTTCCCTTATTTGGTTACTAAACACTCCCATTCTCGTGGAAACATAAGGAATCATTACCCAAAGAACGAGAAGGAAGTTAACAAATGTGGACACACGTTAGCATGATTTTTAACGTGTGGAGAACTTCACTCACGTAATTTACGTGCTTTTCATCATGCTAAACGCTTCCAGTAGGACAAAACAAAACAAATTGAGTCGGTTTGTAGGAAAATAATCGCTTTCACAACCATCAGTGATAAACTCTCCGATTCTGATTCCATTAGTTTAGATGTTTTTCTGTTCAAATATAATCATTGTTCATGACCTTTAGAGGCACTTTACACATTCAGAAGTGATTGTCCGATTCGTCCCATAATTTTATTGTTGATACAAGCCGTTTAGATTCCATTACCTCAAAAGGTTTAGTTTCTAAGATCGCTGTAACAGCTACTAAATTTTCAGTAGTGAAGAATACAAGAAACAAACTGCCATTACTAGAATGCTGAGATGGTGATCCTATACACATGCCTTGTGAAGTTTCGTTAAGTGAAAAGGGCTGTAAATATTAGGTTTGAAACATTTAAAAAGTCTTAGATTGAGAATGCCTTGTGACGAAAGTTCTGAACTTAAAGATTTGATAGCTGCTTGTTCTAAGTGTGGTGAGGGTGTGAGAATTCAGTTCGTAGTACTTCAAGCACAGGGTGATCCAGTCTTTCTTAGAAGTTGAACGATTCTATAATGTTTCGAATTATTTGAATTATGGTATGAACTAAGAGTCCCAGAAATAACGCAGTTGTATCAAGAAGTACTAGACAAGCACGAACGAATGTATTGCGTTTAGAATTTGAAATCAGGCATTCAACAAGTACGAAGAAATCATCAGTTCATTCAAACACCTCAGTTACCCTATGGTCTTTCAGAAGTAGTGCATATGACACTAAATGATTTGTATGAAAAATAATGATTTAGCCGTTTGCAGCGTGAGGTACTTCCATTGTTCTCTCTTTGAAAGTTCATGATTAAACCCCTAGAATATGTAATGATTACGGATTAACAATAAACACTCATCCGTAACAACAATTAAGCACCATGGTTGAAACCGAATATATTCATAATTGACTTCAAAGATCTGAAGTATTCTCAAAAGTTGGTTTAGAATATACTCGTTTTCAGGTTCTACTATATTGTTCTTCATCTCATTTGATAACGGTCAACAGTCCATCGTGTTTACTCAAATACGATTGTTTTCCATTTCGTTTAGGTTGTTTTCCAGCTATATCTCAACAGGCGATGAACAATGTTTTCAGTGTAGAGGCTTGTAAAGATGATCTTAGTATTTATGGTCTTAATGATGACGCTCATGATCAAAGATTCCATGGTTTTTGCATCGTCTAGTCGCGAAGATTGTCACCATAAGTTCAAAAAAGTGTTCAGTCTGTCTGTACAGTTTTAAATGTCCGACCAATGCCCAATCTTCAGAAAGTCTTACAAAACTAAGTTAACTCGAGAAAGCCCCTAATTGTTCCCATTTTATTCCTGACTTTCCTTGTCGCTTATATATTTAGGATCTTCGTTAAAGAAACTCATCAATACTTGAGACGTGTGCACAAAGCTAGACAAAAATGTTGAAATAATCTTAAATGTAGATTTCCCACATGTTTAGCTAGGCGAGATGAATTATTCACTGCTTCTGATAATGTTGTGTTTGGATGGTCCTACTGTTATTCCTACACCATTAATTAAATCTATTCTTGAAGACCTTAGTGGTGCACATTTCGGTCATGAAAAGATGAAACCTTTGGTAAGACTCCAATATCGGTGACCAGAGATCAATACTGATGTGTGTGGTACAGCAAGCAACTTGAAAGTGTCATGAGTCAAAAAATCATTCTTTGAAGTGAAATTCACGGCCAATATCGTCTGAGGCCTAATAAAAAAATTCAGGAAGACTTTTGTGATACACTTCTCAGATTGAATAGTATAGCCTATGAACACATGTCCAATGCTTCCAGACACACTTGTTCTAATGAGCAGTCAAAATCTTCCGTGATAAGTTAAAAACTGCTATTAATTCCTTCGCAATTACAATATTTGATAAACAGTAGAGAGACGTAGAAATTCGTGCTTCAGTATTAAAGTGCTAAACATTTTGTGACTAAAGAGACTCCATAAAGACTAGCGAAAACGAGGATTTTACCTTCGGAGTTTTTGGAATTGGTTGAAGTTACATATAATCGTGAGAATAATTTCTAACCATCCACGGGGATTGTTGTGATTCGAGTCGTAAATAAAAGTGACTTAAGTACATACAGTCAAAGCAATGATCAAATACAACGAGAGGAACCATATGAGTCAATTCCAGTTTCATCTGTTAATTCAAATACTAACGAGTACGTTGTAGATGTAACAAGTTCTATTCCTGATATAGAACCAGACAGACACGTAAATTATTTACAAAGCTCCAAGAAGTTCACCAGAATCCTTACTCTCACATGAAAATCCCTTTTTCAATCTGAACCAAGGTACGTTCTCGGCAAAGTTGGTTTTGTCAGAAGCCTATTTACAAACTTTGATGACTGATGAGCGCGACATACACACGGGTTTGGCCAACCATAACTGTTCGTCTTTCCTGCAAGCCATTTAAACCTTTCAAAATGTG